CTCCTTGATGTCGAACACCAGGTGGTAGCGCTTCAGCTCCCCAGGGAGGTCCTGGTAGGGAGACGCGGACGCGCACGCCGGCACACGCAGACACACACGCACACAAACGTAGACACACAAACGTAGACACGCACACGCACACAAACGTAGACACGTAGTGCAAAGACAATGATAACCCCCCCCCCCCCATGTAGCCTGTAACAGACTGTTTGGGGCAAGCGCTGTTAGCGAGTAGCACCTATGAGAGAGTGGGGTGGCCGGCACCACGCCCCGCCGCCTTTGTCTCCCCGGTGGCGATGTTTACTACACACCGCACCAGGTACTCATTTGAGGCTGAGTCAACATAGGAGAAGTCCACGACCGGTTCGGACAATCATCACCGGTGTTGGCCGCGAGCGGGATTCGAACTCGGGCCGTCGGAGGGTTCCGAGCGCAGCGCGCTAACCGCGACCACGCGACCGCTCCCCACACACACAGTGACACACACAGTGAGACAGGCATGGACACACGCGGACGGATGCACAAGCACGTGCAGACACGTGCGCAGACGCACAAGCACACGCGCAGATACCGCATTTGCGTAGAGCGATACGAGAAGAAGATTGAGAAACCCGCCTTCAAGTTTCCTCCCATCCTGCTCCCTCTTTATCCAGCGTCACTGCCGCTACCATCGCTGCTGCTGCTGCTGCCGCCAACGCCGTAACGAAATCGGGTCACGTTTGTTCGTCACGTGACAACTTTATTAAATCGGCCGTGTCGGGTGGAGGAGGCTGCACGACACAACATATTACTTACGCGGCCATCTGGCCGAAAAAAACGTGTCAATTACGGAGGATTCTGGGCTATGTTGAGCAATAAGTTGATACAAATGCCAATATCACCATCGTCATAATCATCACGATCCATGGGCAGGTAGCCCATAGGTGTCCACTGCACATTTCGTCATTTGTTGTTTCCACTTTCCTCTGGTCTTGTGCCAATGTGCTCAAGTAGTGGCCACATCTTTCTGGCAGCGATCTCTTATGATGTCGTCGTCAAGCCGTTCTCTTTGAGGTCTTCCTCTCTTTACTGTTCCTTCTATTTTCCCCAAACAATACACTTTTAATTTGTCTGTTGTCCATCGTGCATAGCTACTTAAAATAAGATTAATGGGTAAATTGCACCTTAATAAAAGACAAATCGCCAAATTGGTACCGCCGGTTAGTTACATTGTACGTGTGCGTTGAACTTCTTTAGTACCGTACGTAGCCGACCGCGCTAATCTGAGATGCGACCGCGCCGTCGGCGGCACTCGCGTCGCCCGGACGCACACTCCCCGCTCGGCAAAAAAGCCTCGCCGCACCTTGCGCCAGGCCATCTTGACTCGCGCCAGTCGGTAGAGGTGCCCTCCGGACGCGCCGTTGAAGCTCCCCACTGCCGTCTCGGCTGCCAGCCGCACCTGCGCGTCCGTCACGGGCAAGCGGCTCCCCAGCTCCTCCTGCGCCTGCGGTGCCGTCGGTGCCCCCATCCCGCCGCGGCCGAAGAAGAACAAGCAGCAGCAGCAGAGCAGCAGCAGCGGTGACGGCGACGACGGCCGGGGACGACGGGGCGGCGGCGGCAGCATGGTGGCGAGCGCCGGGCGTAGAGAGACGACGGGAGAGAGGAGTGGAAACGATGCCGCCAGCGGGATGTGGTGCCGCGCGGAGGCGACCGCCACCCCGCCCGCTTATTCCCCCCCCCCCCCCCGACCACTCCGCCGTCCGGTGCCATGTGTTTGACCCCGGGTCGGCCGTTGGGGCTGATGTCCAAAAAGCAGGGGGGGGAGAGGGGAGATGTGGAGGCGCGATAGCAGGCGCGGGCTGCGGCGACTGTGCAGTAAACACGCGGCGCCACTCGGTAAACACGGGGAGGTGGGCGACGCACGGAGGCGGGTTGCGGCGATGGGCAGCCTGCGCGGCGAGGGGTCCCGCGGGGGTCTCTTGCCACAGGCCGCCACGTCGACCGATTGAGCGGCGATCCATCGGGGTGCTTCGAGTTTATTTCATTCGTTACACGGACCCGTTTTAGCCGGGTGCTTGGGTTATTTTACGCGGGAGATCGTTGGTGCCACTCGCCACCTCAACCCTCCACGTGGTACGGAGGGTTGATGTGCAACATTTGCGCGCTCTAGCGAGCTGGCCGGTGGATGTCTTCAGGAGTAGCCTCGTGGTGAATATGTACGTTGGACTTCCTTCGCACCGTTCGTAGCCAACCGTGCTATTCAGAGGTGCGGGGGGGGGGACAACAAACTAAACACAAAAAATCAGTTCATAAGAAATGAGTTTTTAATCTGCATTTAAAAGTGCCAAGCTCCAGTGGCTTCCTAATATCGGAAGAGTGTTCCAGACGGCCGCAGAAAGCGCGCGACGCAAGTGTCCGTCTTTGTTTGACGGCTAGCCGAAAGCCGCTGCGAAGATGGCCGGTGTTTGCGCGACGGTTTGTGCTCCCATTCCGCAATTCAGGCCGGCGAATGAAGTAATTGGCGCTGGGAGATTACAACACGGTGCGAGGCGTCGACTCGCGGAGAGGAAACTTCATTAGACTCGCACGAGAGACCCACGGACTCGCATAGACGCCGCCGCAGAGTCACGTGGGAGATTCGCAGACCCATGGACGTTTAAGCGGCGACGGTGATAATAATGCAATTCATAACGCGCGCAAATTTGCGGACGTAACGGCCGCAACTCAGAGGCGTGGAGCCAAGCTCAGAGTCACTCGAAAGCACGTGGTTGTAGAGGTGAGTTTTTAAGTGTCTCTTGAAGGAGACGATTGAGATGATGCTGCGAATGTGCAGAGGGATTGCGTTCCAGACTGTTGTTTGTGGGTTTTTTTGTGCGAAAGTCGCGGCTCGATGTTCTCGGCCGCGGGGCCGCCCTTAAGCATCCGTCGGTGCTCAGGAGCAACTTGGCCCCCAACATCCACCGTGCGATGTTCCCGACGCAAGTCTCCGTACGGAATCGTCGCATTTGGCTCGGCGAATCGAAACCCCGGGGGTTACAAGCTGGTCGCGACACGAGAAGAGGATGGAAGAAGGGCAAATCGGAGAGAATTGGATACGGGAGGGGTGGCGGGGAGGAATTGCCGAGAGATCTGGATGAGAGGCAAGGTGGCGGCGTTCATATGGGGCCTCATGGCAGCACAAGATTGCACACGAAACCCAACCATCTGGCATTTTTTTTGTAACCTCGAGGACGGAAAAAAAAAGCGATGGCCTTGACAGGCTTTTACATTAACCAAGCAGCATTCGCTTTCAACACACAACCTCTGCAACGGTTTCGCCCCCCCCTAGGACTCATCAGCAAGAGCCGGGCACGCTCCACAAATACCGCTGCTCTCTCTGCGAATCTACACGCTGGTATTCTTCGTTTTGTAAAACAGTTGCCGAGCACAGTGTGTCCAACTACCCCCACTGGCAACCAAACAGCGGCCCGTCAGTGTCGTAGTGGAAAAGAGTGTGGCGCGTTCCTTGAACAGAGTGGGGTTACTGTCGTTGTTGTTGTTGTAAGAGCTTGGAGAGGAAGAGACGGTGATGGTGGTGGTGATGATGATGGGAGTAGGGAATTCCAGAGCAGTGCAAGAGAAGAACCAGGAAGAGAAGCGAGGTGACCTGCAGTGTGGCGAGTGGGCGAGCGAGTGCGTTATAAGTGTGTGGGTGGAAGGATGGCTGAGTGGGTAAGTGTGGTGTTCTAACCCGCAGTGTGGTGAATGGGTTGTCGAGTAAGTGGGTAGGGGTGGTGCTGTGAGCCGCACTGTGGTGGATGGGTGGGTGAGTGTGGCACATTAGTAATGGACCACTATTTTAATTATTTCCTTGTGCAGCAAGGGAGTAAAGTGTGGTTTTGTGAAAGTCCTTATGTGCTGTGCTGTTCATGAATGCACGTGTGCACACCAGCATGCAGTAACGGAGTTGGGCCTGTGGGTGGCTGTCAGGGTTATTGATTAACCAGACTAGTACACCAGTCACGTGGTTAATGGCGGCTCGGTTGAGGATTGCTGTGTGACACCACGTGCTGTTCCATTTTGTTTTTTATCGTTATAGAATGTTCTAGACTTGTTCAAGACTTCAAGCTTGGCTTCGAATTGTTAGTTTGTGATGTATTCAATAGGAGGGATTTTATCACTGTGACCTGTAAAAGATGACATACTGTAGTTAATGCTTGTATTTCTCTAACCATAATACTATAACCTAATACTATAACCGTCATTATACATTACACTCGAGCACAGATGGACTCGTCTGTCTGAACAACGCTCGCCGCTTTCCGTGGTGCTAACGTTAAGAAAAAAAGGCCCACACAATGCACGAGCTTGATACGCGGTGGTTTGGCTGCTGCAGCTCTTTACTATAAAAATGTCCCTCCCTTTATTACTGCTAATCCTACATAATACACTAGCATAATGACTTTGAGATCCCCCACCACCGACACATTCCACAAGTAGTGACTAATCCCATATCTGCATTTGTCATCAATATGCTAAATTCCTCTGTTGATATGTAAACTCCTTTGTCAAGGCTCTCTCCTCCTCTGACCCAGCTTAAAAATACGCTGCCAAGCTTAGCAGTGTTCATTAGGACGCTGTCTTTCCGACAGCCCTGTTCTTCAGCTGAGGACAGCTGCTTGCGTTGTGGCCGAAACGTCGTGAGAATTTTATCTTATTATGTTAATTTTTATTATTTTATTATTTCCCTTCTATGTGACTTTACCGAAGGAACCAAGAATATTAACCGGACTTGTACACCAGTCACGTGGTTAATGGCGGCTCGGTTCTGGATTGCTGTGTGACACGTGCTGTTCCATTTTACAGATTAACCACAATAAATGTGTTTGCCCTCGATTTGGAGCACCTGCCCACGTCCTTCATTTCGAGTATGCAAACATGAGTGAGTGGGTAAGTGTGGTAGCTACAGAAACGTTACAAGGAGGCGACTGACCGCTGGTGAGCGAGCGGGCGAGCAAGCAGGAGCTGAAAGTGTGGATTTTTCCAAAATTCTTTATTCGTTTACGTCCAGCGCAGGCAAACGAACGTCAACTACAAATACATCACCAAAGTGCAACTCCCAAACCAGCGACACCTTATACTTTGCCACGAAGCACTCCGTTCCGTCTCCACAAACAAAATATGCACTGCGTTTTAAGGTCGACTGGGCCCGGCGCCGCTCCAGGCCAATCCCGCAAGTGCTTTCCGTGCGAGCGTTTGCCTAAGCGAGCAAAATCCGGGCTGATTTCGACCTTGCGCATTTCATCGGCCGACTCGGGGCTTGTTAAACAAACGCGAGACGTCCAAGGCAAGGGCACTCCAACGATGAATTAGGGGGTGCCGATCGACACGGAAAGAAACTGCTAAGTAACTGCCGTGTACAAACACACACACAACGGCACACACACACAACGGCGCACACACAACAGCCGACCGGCCTCTACCTTTGCAAGCGTCTAAACAGATATCTGGCCAAACATTACCAACGCAGAAAATAATTACCTGTATATATATATTTTTTACTCAATTTTGATGAAGCACAGTAAGTAGCATCATCGCCCTCCCACCCACCAAACCCCCAACCCCGTGACAGTGAAAGCTTGGGCCGGAACCCTCTCCTAAAAAACGAAACCCGGATAGACGCGCATAATCGCCGCTAGACAAAGTGGGAAGAGGGGTCTAAAGAAATCCAAATCGGCCAGGTCTCTCTTTATCCGCTCATGATGGGGCCACATTTTTTTTTTTTACTTACACAGACCTTGCCAAAAAAAAAAAGTCCCAAAAAATCCTTACGTTTTCAAGTCTCTCAAGCGGCTGGGCTGAGCCCCACGTAAAAAAAATGGGTGGACGCAATTTAACGCGAGAAGGATTTTTCGCGTAGTCTTTGGTGACCGCGCTGAAGACAGTCAACTCACCCACTGCACTTGAGAATTCCGGTCGAATCACCGGCTGAAACCCGGATTCAAACCCAGGATTGTCAGCGGTGCCGGCTCGGCGTTTCCCCCCGACGTTTCCTCCCGACGCCGCCAGAACCCGAACGTGGCTGTGATGGTTATTTCGCTCAAACTTTGGCACACAACAAATAACATAAACCATCCCTGGACACCCAATCAACAACGCGGCTGGACCCAGGTGAGCCGGCACAGGTGAAGGGTGCATGCCCCCCCCCCCCCCGTGCCCCCCCCTGCATTCAAGGCACTTTGGATCCCGCCTGGGGACTCTTTGGCGAGTGGGTGGGTGCCAGCGAAGCCTGGGGCGCGTAGGTGCTGCCCTGGCTACCCTGGCTGCCCTGACGGTCACTTTGGCTCATTGTCGTTGGTGCTTGGGGCCGTGTTTGTATCGTCCTGGGCTGGTGCCCCGTGTTCCCCTGGCCTGACCTCGCTGCCGCTTCTACCGCAACGTAGTCCTGTGGCACGCAGCTGCGTTGAGATGCTATTCAAATTGAAAATCGCCGCCCCCGCTGCTGCTGGTGGTGGTAAGGCCGCACGGTTCGGTCGTTGCGCAACGCTGGAGCCGTCACGACCACCACCTCCGGGTTGGTTTTGCGTTGTCGTCGCCGTGGAGCCTCGAGGGTGCTGCTCAACGTGGACGGCACTGGGGGTGGGCGGCTCGCGACTCGGCGCCAGAGGAGCGGTGCAGGTAAGCGCGGTGGATTCTGTCCACAAATTCGTCGTCGTTCTGCAACACAGCGCGAGCACGCGTCATCTCTACCGCAGCGGTCTTCATTGCAGGGCCCCCCGCGGGCCACTGGCGGCCCCTAGAGGCCTTTAGTGCGGCCCCCGACAATACACAAATGTTCTAGATTTGAAGTTATGACTGCGAGGATCCATACTCTTGGTTCTTTCGGTAAAGTCACGTAGGTAAAGAAAATAATAAATAAAATAAAAGATAAAAATAAAAATGGTGAAAACACCCCCACCCATCGTCGTGCTGCTGTCAAACCCCAATGGTTTAAAATGTGTGGCGGCCCTCACAATGGTGAGGTCTCATCGGCAAAAGTGGGGCCCCCCCCCCCTCCCCCCCCCCCCCCCCCCCCCACCCCCCCTCTGAAAATGAGTGAAGATGACCGCTCTACCGGCTCCAAACCTCTCACGGCCAGTCTCGTCCATTTCTTATGACCTGGTGGATCCCCTTCTCCTCCTTCTCTGGCCGTCCCGATGTTTCACGTGAGCAAATGTAGAGTTCATTTACGAGACACACACAAAGGCACAGGCAAAGATCCCCCCCCCCCCCCCCCGTATAATCTTCACCGACTGTTGGGGCAAGTGCTGTAACAGAACATCTATGAAGGCCGGCACGGCACAACGGTTGGTGGGTGGCCAGCACCACGCCCGGCCGCCTTTGTCTCCTTAGTAGTGTTTACACACTACACCAGGTGCTCATTTGAGGCCGAGTCGACCTAGGGGAGGCCCAGGACCGGTTCAGATAATCGTCACTGGTGTTGACCGTGAGCAGGAATCAAGGCCGGGTGGCCGGGTTCGTAGCGCAGCGCTAACCGCCGCTGCACTGTCGCTTCCCATCGAAGGAAGAGGTCGCAATCGGGTACCCGGCCGGGTACGGGTACCCGTTTGCGATCCTGGTGCGGCCGGGTACGGGTACGGGTAGGCCGTGAGTCACTGGTGAGTAACCGTTTGTCACTCATTTCCCAACGTCTTGTCTCTTCCTTAATTTTGAAGCTTTCGTGACTGCAGGAATTATTCTTTGGTTCTTTCGGTTAAGTCACGTCTAAAGATAAAATAATAAATTAAAATAATAGCATATTACGACGTTTCGATTGCAACACAAGCAATCATCATCAGGTATAAAAGAAATAGCAACAAAAATCTAACTAGAAAACTATAGACAGACATACAAGCAGACAGACATCACAAGGACACACAGAGAAAGGACACATATCGGCACAAAGAGAGGGGTCGTTTCTGTGACGGTCCCTTAAATATAGAGAGCCTGCAACATGGCTTCATCCCAGAGGTCGCAATCGGGTACCCGTACCCTACCCGATACCCGGCCGGGTACGGGTAGCCGGGTATCGGGTAGGGTACGGGTACCCGTTTGCGACCCTGGTGCGGCCGGGTACGGGTACGGGTAAGGAATCAAAACCCGTTTGCGACCTCTGATCGAAGGCCAACGCACACGCACGCCTACGGTGTCTGCTGCCATCTGGTGGCAACATCTATAAAAAATAAAGATTGTGCGAGGACCCCAGGGTCATGCCCACTCCCCTCCCCGCCCCGGTTCATTCTATTTTGCAGATTTTACCCAGGGAAGCCTCGCCGAGTCTCAAGATTCTTTCTTCAGGGAGGGTCCTGCCAAGGTTTCTGAGCGAGGGAAGCGATGTTGTTGTCGCCGCCACGTGGAAATCCCAGCCGAGTGATTCGCGTGTTTTTATTGTTGCAGCATTGTGGCACGTTTCGCCAATACCCTGGCATTTGGCGAAGCGTGCCAATTTGTCCGTATTGTTTTTAGCTACGGGAGGAAAGCAGAGAAGCCAAAGGAAAACCCCACGCACAACAGGGGGAGGGGAGATACAAATGCCACACAGAGAGGTGCCCGAGTCGTGAATCTAATCCAGGCCCTTCTTGCTCCGGAGCCACGAGTGTTACCAATTTGCTTAAGGTTTCTTATTTAACCAAAAATAAAATAAGGAGTTTGCCGATGAGATGCGGAGTTTGCTCGCTTAGACAAACGCTCGCACGGAAAGCACTTACGTGATTGGCCTGGGGAGGCGCCGGGCCCAGTCGACCTAAAAACGCAGTGTTTATTTTGTCTATGGAGACGGAACGGAGTGCTCCAAGGCAAGGTGTAAGGTGTCGCTGGTTTGGGAGTTGCACTTTGGTGATGTATTTGTGGTCGGCGTTCTGTATACGGTGTTAAAAAATGCACGGCTGTGAAACGATCGAAGCTATGACCGCATCTTCTTGGTTCTTTCGGTAAAGTCACGTAGAAGGGAAGTAATAAAATAATAAAAATAAAACATAATAAAATAATTCTCACGACGTTTCGGCCACAACGCAAGCAGCCGTCAGCCGTCCTCAGGTCTGTCGGGGAGACAGCGTCTGAATGATGCTGTCTCCCCGACAGACCTGGTCTTCACCTGAGGACGGCTGCTTGCGTTGTGGCCGAAACGTCGTGAGAATTATTTTATTTTATTATGTTTTATTTTTATTATTTTATTACTTCCCTTCTACGTGACTTTACCGAAATAACCAAGAAGATGAATCCCTGCAGTCACGAAAGCTTTAAATCTAAATATGACCGCATGTACGGGAAGTTCGGCTGCCAGATTGTGCGTGTAACGGCGAGAGAGTGGAGTGGTGGGGAGGAGAGTGGAGTGGTGGGGAGGAGAGGGGAGGGGAGGAGAGGGGAGCGGTGTAGAATCGGAGGGGCCCCGTGCACCTGCAGCAGGTAGAGCAGTGTGTCCTGCAGCTGGGATTGAGTCAACACAGACGGCAGTGGCGGCGGGGTGGGCGGGATGACGGGTCGAGTGGGCGCGCGTGGCCCCAGCTCAAAATCCCACGGCGTGAGGAGGGTCGGCGGGGTCACCGGCCTCGGCTCGCAAGGCACGGCGGGGCGCAGCTGCGGCAAAGTACAGTCGATGGCGTCGTCGTTAGCGTCGGCAGCGAGAGCAACGTCGTCATTACCACCACCATCGTTGACGTCCGAAGCAAGAGTGATAATTCGCCATCGTTATCATAGGTGCCAGCACCGTCAGGAGCGTCGTCATTATCATCTGCACCATCGTTATCGTCCACAGCAAAAGCATTACGGTCGTCAGCAGCGCCAGCAAAGAGTATCGTTAGCGTTAACGCATCATTGGCATTGACAAGAGCGTCAAAATCGGCCACAACGGAGCCGTGAACGTTATTGGATGGCAGCCGTGGCAGCCGCACCGGGATCTTTGTCGGCATCGCCAAAAAATCTGAATGGTGGCGGCCCGTCTAGTTGCCGTAGGCCGCTCGTTGGGCCGGGGATGGCCGTCAGTCAACGAGGAGAGAGTCGCTCGCTGCCCATCGGTTTACCTCCTCCCGGCTCATGTCGCGGCTCATGTCCCGGCCCATATCCCCCGTGCCTCCACCCAGCGCCGACGGCCGTCGCGGCAGACGACAAAAACCCCCAACGGTCGACCACGAGGAGCAGGAAGAAGAAGAGAACTCGACGAAGGGCGGCGTCGGCAGCTCCACCGTCAGCTGATGCGGCATCAGCAGCAGCGGCGGCGTCTCGCGGTCACGGCTCGAGTCCGACGCCGATGCGCCGCTCGCCCTCCGTGGGTCGGCTGCCTGGAAAACGGTTGTCAGCGCCGCAGGAGGCTGGGGCCCGAGCCGGGCCTCACCGCGGCATGACGCCGAGGTGGCGGCTCTGGACAGCCCCGCCTCGTTTGGTTCTGCCGGGGGACGGCGCGGCGGCCACGGGGAAGAAATATTTTTTTATCAAAACTTAAATTGGAAAAGTGGACGGACAATCACGGCAGCATCGCGGAAACCCCAAGGTTGTACGCATACGGTGCAGTCACAGTGCAGACACACGATATACACAGTACAAACAGTATAAACATACACATTACAGGGCCGAGATCATCAACTCGCGACACTTGAGAAGCCGGTTTAAATCACAACTCGGCGTATGTCGAATCTATGGGTTGCTATGTCAGTCTCGGGGGCTCTGTGCACGACTCGGGGCCGCGGTGTAAGTCACCGAGGACTGGACTGACACCATCATCTTCGCCACACTTGAGAAACCGGATTCGAACCCAGGCTCTCAGCGAAGCTGGCTCAGCGCTCAGAGCCACCCGGTTTCCTCCTCTTGGCTCTGTTGGTGAACACCGTAAGCTACACAACCAACCGAACTAAATTGTACACCGCAGTGCCCGGCGCTTGCTCAGTTCCCGCTGGCTCTGCCTGCCCCCCCGCCTGCCCCCCCGCCTGCCCCCCCGCCTGCCCCCCCGCCTGCCCCCCCGCCTGCCCCCCCGCCTGCCCCCCCGCCTGCCCCCCCCGTCTGCCCCCCCCGCCTGCCCACCCGCCCCTAGGAGCTCTCATCCTGACCCCCAATCGCCGAGGCCGGAGGCGGAGGAGGAGCAAGAAGAGGAGAGAAAGTCCGGCGAGCGCCGGGATCCTGCTGCGGACCGGCACCAGCGTGCGGCCGGGCACCGGCAATCCACGCGGGGACGGGCCGGCCAGTGGGCGCGGGCTCCAGCTGCGGGCCGATCAGCGCCGCCAGGCTCAGCCACTCGGCGGCGCCACCGCCGCGCCGGACGTGTGGCGCGCTCATTTGTACGGCAAACTTTTTTCAAATTTTCTTGCTGTGGTTTTCACACATAATGATGACGATTGCTTGTTGTGCAATCGAAACATCGTGAGAATTTTATTGTTTTATTTTTATTATTTTATTATTTCCCTTCTACGTGACTTTACCGAAAGAACCAAGAATATGAATCCCTGCAGTCACGAAAGCTTTAAATCAAAATCTTTACACCTGTTTTAGTGGCGGAAAGGGTAAACCCTATTCTTATGAAGCTCTTTTTTTTTTTTACAAATGTCCAGTCAGGGCGGGTAAGAACGTTACAACAAACAGTACAAAAACACGACAGCAGTGCAAAGTACAAGAAAATCAGGCAAATCACCGAAACAATACACAACGCAAACTAAACCATCCCCATCCTTACCAGACAAAGCCCACCTCAGACATCAACTTATTTTTTCAAAAGCGACCTGGCCACGAAACGAAAGCTCAACACAAAGCGGCGCCATCATTTGACGAGCAGGGAGACAACTTTGACCTTGAGCTTTGGAGCGCGTCGACTGCCGCGGAGAGGCGATCGGCCTGGCGCCGGACGCGAGGTGCTCGTCGCCGGGCCTGTCGTCGCAATCGGGGTGGGAGGGCCATGACAGCTTGATGGCCACAGGCCTTGCCAAGTCCGGCTTGTTGTGCGTGGTCAAAGAGCTCACCATCGGCTTGGGCTCGGAGACGTGGAACCCCTGGGAAACGGTCGGTGGGGGGGGTAGACAGGGGATTCCGAAACACTTACACAAAGATCCCCCGTATAGCCTCAACAGACTGTTGGGGCAAGTGCTGTTAGCGAGCACCCGTGAAGGCCAGCACGGCGTACGACGGGGTGGGTGGCCAACACCACGCCCGGCCGCCTTTGTCTCCCCAGTGGCAATGTTTCCGCACCGTACCGGGTACTCATTTGGAGGCCGAGTAGACCTAGGGGAGGCCCAGGACCGGTTTGGATAATCGTCACTGGTGTCGTCTGTCAGCGGGAATTGGACTCGCGTTGCCAGGTTCGTAGTGCAGCGTAGCGCTCACCGCTATTACACTACCGCTCACCCCGGGTATGGGGACACGCGGGAGACAGAGGGACAACCGCTTTAATATAAATCACTCTGTTGTCGTATCCTCAAATCTTGTAACTCAATTTTAACCCACTTTCCAATGTGGTATCGACTGCAAACTTTCTATCAAAAAAAAAATATTTGTAAACATTCTTTTTATATGTTATGTTTTCGGCTTGGGTCTAATTGTCCACGCTCAACTCACATTGGCTGTAAATCACTACGGCCCCTTACGTTATGGCAAGCTTTGCGGCCACATCCTGGAGTCGTGGAGTTCTGCTATTACGAGTATGGTACATTTCATTAAAGCGTGTTTTAAAAAAAGTATTTTTAAATATTACTTATTTGTTGTTTTAATTTGCATTCTTCCACGATGTCACCTCGATCGTTAGCTATCCGCCGGTTGTCTCACGGGACGAAGGTGCAGCGCAATGCTTCGTGTTGGGCAGAGAATGGCTCGCGGAAGCAGAGGTCACTCGGAGCTGCCTCTTGAGATGTCTGCGAGCGACCCCTGGCCCACACGGTGGGTGGGGGGGGTGTCAAGCACTCGCCCACCCGCACTGTTACGGAAAGTGCTGTTCGTCACATCACAGTCAAACCGATCATATTTCTAATTCTCAGAGACGGAAGTTTGCGATATTAAGTGCCGTGACCCCAATGGGTTCCCGCTTTCACCCCCCCCCCTTAAAGTTCTCCTCTTCTCCTTAGCCCACCCTGCTACTGCTACTCCAGAGGTCGCAACCGGGTACCCGATACCCGTACCCTACCCGATACCCGTACCCGGTTGGGTATGGGTACCCGTTTGCGACCCTGGTGCGGCCGGGTACAGGTAAGGAATCAAAACTCGTTTGCGACCTCTGTGCTACTCCCTACCCCCAACCCACCAGCTACGACCAGGCCTACCTCAACACCTATTCACCACCTCAACCCCCATCACTATCCCTAGCCCTATCACTACCCCTACTCCCATCACTAGCCCTATCACTACCCCTACCCTCACCACTGTCCCTGCTACTCCCTGCCCCCGTCCACTAGCTACGACAAGGCCTACCCCCAACCCCTATCACTACCCCTATCACAACCCCTCCCACTACCCCTACCTTAACCACCCCCCACCTCTTCTCGCAAAAGTCACCGTAACTACACCGCCGCTCTATTTCATCCACCATTACCTTATGCACAAAAGTGTATAATAATTGTGTTGAAAAGGCACCTCGTATTAATGTGCTACTATTTAAATCTACACAAGATAAGGAGACCGGGCACCTTTGTGCGAATGTGCGACCCGACCGGAGGCGACCGAGTGCCTTAAACAGGGCGGGGAACTGACGGGCGCCTGGCAGTCGGCAGGAGCACAGCAATCTAATTGGGGCACGGTGGGAATATCCGTGACCGAGTATGGAATTGGAATCCCACCAACTCGATAAGAGCTCCCGCGCAAAGCCGTTCTTGCCTTGACAACCACAGCCGCCTTCACTCCTTCAGCAAGCCACTCTCCTCCCTCCCGACAAGGAGAGGTAGAGGGGAAAGTGAATTACAAACTCCCGTCGCGGGGAACTTTCAAGGAGGTACGCTCGATGACACCGAAGCCAGCTTGTCAATGAGAAGAGCGAGTGGCTCAGAGGTCAGAGTGCTGAGAGCCGAGTTCGAATCCAGGTGTCCACTGCCCTCAATTAAACCGGATTCACGAGTGAAGCGAGTTCATGGTTTCAGCCAAGTGAATGACTTGCATAGACACCCACAGATTTACATTAAGAACCACAGGCTCACATAGAGACTCGTAGACTCGCATCATAATGACAAGAGTTGTGATGAAGCCGGGTTCTCAAGTGCAGCGAGTTTTGATTGCGATGACGGTGGTGATAATTTTATGGATAAGATTATAATTGTGATGGTGGCAAAAGTGGTATTTATTTATGGGGAGCGGTTAGCTTTGTGGTTAGCGCGCTGCGCTACGAACCCAGCGACCAACAACAGTGCCGAATATTTTAACTGCTTGGCTCAGCCTCAAATGGGGTACCTGGTAGTGTAAACATCAGCACGGAGGAGACAAAAGGTGGTCGGGTGTGGTGCTGACCACCCACCCCCTCTCGTGTACCGTGCCAGCCTTCATTAGGTGCTCGCTAACTGCGCTTACCCCAGAAGTCTGTTAAGGCCACACGGGGCGATCTTTGTGCCTTCGCAGTGTGAAACACCAGACAGCAATGATGTCAATCGCTAGCCACAGCCAAACGATAGAGTGTTCGCCACTTGTTTTGCGCTTCGAACCCGGTGGGCGCCCTGGTTAATACTGCGGTTGTGTTGACCAACACGCAATGGTGCTGTCTTGCTTCCCAGCGGGCGTTTTGAGATCTTGCGACGTCGTTGGCAGACAAATGTTGTGGCCTGCAGCGGTTTTAGCACACTGCGTGCCAGCTTCGAAAATGATGATGAAAATGACAACCGTGAAGACAACAGCAGTGACAGGTGCCCCCAACGAGCACGGCTACCCTCGCTCACCTGGCCATACTCGGGCCGAGCGGCGGTGGCGACGATCTGTACGGTGCCCGTGGCCCTGTACTCCGAAGGGGCCCTCAGCGACACGGTGGCATCGGCGAGGACCCACGGCGGGGCCCGCGGGAAGCGCACGGAGCTCATGCACGGAGCGCGTCGCCGCCTCCTCCTCCGCCGGTGCCGGCCTGGGCGCCCGCACAGACGGGAGACGCCGCCGTCCGACGATTTCAAGCGAGAGTAGAGGCTTGTGGGTACGCGGGGAGACCCGTGTGACCCCGAGCACGTGCGCATCACCCCAACACGACCTCGGCCATGCACGTTCGTTGAACTTATTTCGAAATTGTACATAGCCAAACCGTGGCTAACCAAGGGGCCCATGTTGGGAGTACAGTAATGTACAAGCACCAACCAAGGCCCGTAAACCTACAGAGATCCGTAGACTCTCACTGAGATTCATCAACTTACACCGAGGGTGGGGGGGGGGGTATCCATTGAGTGTGTACTGGGGCCCACGGGCCAGAGGGGCCCCAAGTGCCAGGCTATGAAGAGGGGGAGGGCCCCCCCCCCCATTTCATTAGTTGCACCAGAGCTCATGCCAACCGTTTGTGAGCAGCACCCAATAAATGCCAACCCGAAGCCACGCTCCCGCTACGCCGCCGCCCACAGCGAGACTTCACGCACCTCTGAACGCCGCCCTGCACCCCGTGCGAATCCTCAACTAAAAACGGGCCCAATACTTCCACGCTATCTCGAGCAGACGGGCGCCACGTGCCCTTCAAGCGAGCGCCAACGCCACATTCCCGTCGGCCGTTTGCCGCCCCGGTCTGGAACACATCTCCGGCCACCGCCGAGTCCGTCCCGCGGGCGTGAGTGACGGGCCCTCCTTGGCCCCCCCCCACACCCCCCCACACCCCCCCCCACCACCCGCCCACCGCCCTCGAGCAGCAGCTACGGCGCCAATCGGCGAGCCTCCCTCGACACGACGGCAGCCCGCGCTCCGGTCTCCTGTCGGTAAAGCGGCTCGATCGAAGCGCACGCGCGGTTCGAGAGCTGGAACGGCGAAGTGGTCTCCATGTCCGCCGGCGCATTCGGATGACGCTTCTGGACAAGAAGAGAGTGGAAGAGTAGGCCAAAGCAACACTCTCGAGAGTGTGGAGACCCTTCCCGCCGGGCAGTGGCGCGAGCGAGCAATTGCAGGGCTGCGCCTTTACCTCTTAACTGGACAAGAGCAACCACCAAGGAAAGGAAGGAATTGACTGTTGAAAGCTGACGACAACAACAAAGACGACAACACACAGCACCGACCAAGAGCACACGCAAGGCAGACACCGCACGCACGAGCGCGGCTTCGCGTTGCACCACGGGGAGTGCGTTCCGCTAGCTGGCCATGGCCAACAAGCTCCTGGGCTTCGTCCAGCGAATGAGGGGGAAGAAGGTGGCGTCGGCGGCGAAGGAGGACGACTCGGACGCCGCCTTCCACGGGAAGGTGGTCAGCATTGGGCTCCTAAAGAGCAAGTACCTGCAGAGCTCCCCACGTGAGTTACCCATGCGCAGCACATGCAGTGCAGAGACGGCGGCCGGTTAACGAGAGTTCAAGTTACGTGTGCGCCGTGCCCAGATTCTGGGAGGATTCGGGAGTTACCCATGCGCAGCACACGCAGTGCAGAGACGGCTGGTTAAGGCGAGTTCAAGTTACGTGTGCGCCATGCCCAGATTCTGGGAGGATTCGGGAGGCGCGGGAAACCGGTCGATAAAACTAAGACTAAAAAAATGTACCCGTAAAAACAAAGTTTTTCACTATAAATCCTTTATATGCGTGGCGGCTAGAGTCCTCTTGTCCTCTGGCTTGAGATGGCTGCCACCTATGGGTCAGATGATTGTCTGCCAGCATTACGCAATTGGTAATTAAATATAATTTTTTTTTTCCCTAAACAGTGTAACATTTTGGAAAAAAAATTTCACGAAAATTAATTGTCACGCACAACGAGTCTGTGTGGAAAATGTCAGCTCGATTGGATCACGGGAAGTGGGTTAAAAACGACCGAAAGATTTGCACGGTCGTAAGCAAGCAAGCAAGCACGCAAGCACGCAAGCACGCAAGCAAGCGAACTTAATATAAAGAATTTAAAACGGTAGCAGAAACTGGCTCCAGCATCGGGCCCTGTTTGGGGAAGTTTGACAAACTCGGTTACTGAGTACTCTTAGGTTTTTCGGTAAAGTCACGTAGGTAAAAATAAATAATAAATAATAGAAATAATAATAGAAATAAAATAATAAATCACGACGTTTCGGAGGCAACACAAGTCTCCATCATCAGGGGGACCGTCACAGCCAGATTTACTGTCTCAAGTGAGGCAAAATTCCAAGAGACAAGCTCTTAAATACAAGTGTTGCCTCTGAAACGCCAAGCTCTTAAATACAAGTTTAAGAGCTTGACTCTTGGAATTTTGCCTCACTTGATACAGTAAATCTGGCTGTGACGGTCCCCCTGATGATGGAGACTTGTGTTGCCTCCGAAACGTCGTGATTTATTATTTTATTTCTATTATTATTTCTATTATTTATTATTTATTTTACCTACGTGACCTAAGAGTATGAATCCTTGCAGTCACGAAAACTTCTAATCTAGAATCGGTAACTGAGTGTTCATGGGAGTAGCCGGAGAGGGGTGGGGGGGGGGGGGCAACGCTCAATCTCCGCACAGATGGAAATGGGAGATTAATCCACTTGCTGTACTGCCATCTCCTGGCGAGCAAGGGTATGTCAACTCAACCACTCACAGGAAGGGAGCACCGCTAAACATTTGTGCGATACACCAAGCCTCGCTGCCCCCTCCGCAGTGCTGGATAACGGGCACGGGGCATCAAAAACGTACCAACGTAGGACCACAGAGCTTGGGCAACTGTTGGTGCCGGTTCCGGCTGCCTTCCCGCTCGCTCGTGGTTTCTGGCGCCTCCTTGTGCGAAAATCTGCGCGCGTTACAAATTCTGTAGCGTTGAGAGAGATACAATTTGCGAGACTGACGCCCCCATCACCACCACATACAAATAAGACATTGCAACGGCCTCGGGCAACACCAGGCACGAATTAAAAAAGTAATAAGTTTGTGTCGTAATCCCTCCTCCACCCGACACAACGAATTAACGAAGTTGTCACGTGAACATCAAACGTGCTGCCGAATCGGTAATTACATTGGCCGCGCTTGTTCAATCACGTGACAACTTAATTAAGTGGCTGTGTCGGGTGGAGGAGGGATTTACGGCACACACATTTTACTTACGCGCTCCGACTCGAAAATAATAAAATGTGAAAATCAGAACATTGCGACGCAAAAGCGTACACAATCACATCCACAGTACAAAGTACAGATACGCAGCACGCACACACAGTACAGTTAACACAGTACACGCAGTACAGATACACAAAGACAAAGATCCCCAAGTATAGCCTTAACAGACTGTAGGGGCAAGTGCTGTTAGCAAGCACCTATGTGGGCCGACACGGCACACAAGGGGGTAGGTGGCCAACACCACGCCCGACCACCTTTGTCGCCCTAGTGGCGATGTTTACACATCACACCAGGTACTCATTTGAGGCCGAGTCGACCTAGGGGAGGCCCAGGACCGGTTCAGATAATCGTCACCGGTGTTGGCCGTGAGCGGGAATCGAACTCGGGTTCGTAGCGCAGCGCGCTAACCGCTACACTATGTGGTACATAGCACATATACACAAGTACACATAGTGCGTGCATACACACAAAGTACCTCCGATTAGCACGGTTGGCTACATCTGGTGCAAAAGAAGTTCAACATACCGTACATACATACACGCAGTACACACGGCTATAGTATTCGCTCGTGAATGTTGTTACCTAGATTCTCCATAACGACGCGAACGATAATGATTGTAAATGTTGTGGCTTGGCACGTTCTGTTTACGTGACAACCCTTACCGATTGGCTGTGTCGGGTGGTGGCGGGTTTAACGACACATTCATATTAACGTGATCAAACCCAAAAAAAACTACTATGGATCAAAGATGGAATTTGTGCAACGGAGGTTAGTTAGTAAGTGCATACCATCAAGACAATTACAGAAAGTAAGCAGCCCAAATATATGCACGACCAATCAAGGCGTTTCTGAAGTTCACCAAGGTTTTAACCCTTTTATGGCAATAAAACAGGAGGTGAAGATGTTCATACTCCGCATTGAAACCTTTTTGCAAGGCCTCAAGACTGAATTGACCACACCTACTTGTGGAAAAACATGCAACACCCTCTGATAATATATGTACAGTGGTACCCCGGAGATCGAACTTAATTCGTTCCAGAAGGCCATTCGAACACCGATTTGTTCGAACACCGAATTAATTTTCCCCGTAAGAATTAATGTAAATGACATTAATTGGTTCCAGACACAAGAAATCTGTCATTATAAAGCATTTTTACACGAAGTTTACAGTAATTACATGCATAAAATCATGCAAAAAACAAGAAACACAATAGATAAATGAATAAATATATGGAATAAATGAAATAAATGAACATAGAACTTCACTTTAGCTGTAGTAAGGAGAGTTGATGGCTTGAGTGGAAGGTGGTGAGGAGGAGGAGGAGGAGGTGATGGTGTTATTGTTTGGAAGGGAAGCCCCCTTTGTCTGGGCAAGAGTCACACACGCTGGCCATACGCGTCTCAGCCGTACAGGTTCTTTCAAGTCGCGATTGGCCGTTCGACCTCCGAATTTCGTTCGGTTTCCGGGGCAAAAAATGTTCGGAAACATCGATTGAACACCGATTTGTTCGAGTTCTGGTGCGTTCGATCTCCGAGGTTCTACTGTATTGTCTTTGAAACTGCTTGGCCTACACCAGAGACATCCTTCTTTAAGTTCTACCCGAGCTATACGCGTTTCCATAGTTGCATTGCCTTTGTAGTGTTCGCCTCTTGGTGTTCTCTGGTCTAACACTGGTGGGGACAAGGCCACAAAAGAAGGCCGTCTCTGGCGTGCAGGCCAATCTTAGGTCCCAGCGAGATATGGTGCCTGCTTGTTTATATAAAACAGGAGGGAACTAAGGCAGGGTGAGTTGGGGCAGAGGAAGAAGAGAAATGTGCAGATTTGGAGTTTCCATGTCTCTCTCTCTCCATGGCCGTGTGGATTGTTCTCAAGCTCCTTCGTTTTTTCCCCCCCCTCCACATGAAGAATCAACATCACGCGTTTAGAGTATTTGGCTACTATAAATTTCCACAGATGATAAGCCACTTCGTTGGGCTATCACATGCGGCCAGGTCGCTTCTGAAAAAAAACATTCCTGCGGAGGGAGCTGGTAGGAACGTTGGGTTGCTCGGTCAATGGCCAGGGTCAACGGCGGCGTGGTCTATTCCGCAAATATGGCAGACTGAGGGCGGGCACAAGCCAGCATGAGTATGTTAAACGTTGAGTTTTATAAGGGCACCACGGGGTGACCAGCGCCTCCCCACCCAGCCCCACCCACCCCCCACCCAGCCCCCACCCAGCCCCCAACCAGCCCCCAACCAGCCCCTCCCCAACCAGCCCCTCCCCGCACGACGGACGGACACAATAATCCCCTGTGGGCTGGTGTAACCAGAGGTTCCTACCAGTAACTCTGGCTGGTGGGTCTCATGGGCAGTTGCACCGCCTGCATACTTGATAGCTACGCCACTTGCTGGAGTCTCTGGTGAAGCAGCTACTGTGTGAGATAGAGAATGAATCCCCTACATAATGTAATCGTGTCTGTATCGGGTAAAAGTAGAAAGGAGATGCCGATTATTTTATGTACTGTACGTTGAACTTCTTTCGCACCGTGCATAGCCAACTGTGCTAATTGTAGGTGGGTGGGGAAAATTTTTTATCGGGAGGTGCGCGATTCTTACAGCGATTAAAAGATGAATTCCAAAACTCGGGGTCACTTGCGTGAAATCGTCGTATGGAAGAATGTAACCGTGCGATGTATTCAAGTTGGATGACATTTGATATGCTAACGTTACATTTAGGCCAAAGGAAACTCCAAATTCTCGGGAACAAACCCCCAGAAAACAAGACAAAGGAAAAGAGAGACAATGGGATTCTTGAATTGTGACCCCCCCCCCACCCCCGAATCGTGCCCATTCATAGAATCGCCGGCCGCAAATTGCCAACGATGGAAGTACGTTGAAACTTACTCTTAGGTTTTTTCGGTAAAGTCACGTAGGTAAAAAATAAAATTAAAAGTTAATAATAGTAATAATGGAAATAAAATTAAATAATAAATCACGACGTTTCGGAGGCAACACAAGTCTCCGTCATCAGGTGGGACCGTCACAGCTAAAATTATTGCATCACCTGATGACGGAGACTTGTGTTGCCTCCGAAACGTCGTGATTTATTGTTTTATTTTATTTCCATTATTACTTTTATTAACTTTAAATTTTATTTTTTACCTACGTGACTTTACCGAAAAAACCTAGGAGTATGAATCCTTGCAGTCACGAAAGCTTCAAATCTAGAATTAATACGTTGAAACTCTTCCGACTTGAGAGGAGGACTTCATCCAGCAGAAGTGGGGGATGTTTACCAATGGGAAGACGACACACACCGTTGTTTTCATTCACACCTCGTTGAGAACAAGGGGGCGGTCGTTCTTTCCTTGAAGAGAGTTGGATGTCTGTTGAGTCAGATCAGTGCCGGATTATCCCAGTAGCACAAGTAGCTACACATGTAGTAGCTACGGGCCCCGCACTTTCAAGGGCCCCGCGCTAAATGCTTTCAAGCTATCAATTCCGGTTCAGTGATTCTGCACTTGCTCTATTACTATAGTACTATACCGCCTTCAACTTTTATGAACGACCGGGTGTATAAGGTTAGCGATTTGTCGTATTATCTGGCTGGAAAGCAAATGAAAAATACAATTACTTTACTATGAAAGTTAAAAATGTGTTTTAATATTAACGGTTTTTTTTTTATTTTAGGGCCCCTTTGTAACATATTCTACAGGCCACCGAACCGGAATTGACAGCTTGAAAGCATTTAACGCGTGGCCCTTGAAAGTGTCGGGGCCCTTAGCTACATCCGTAGCTACTTGTGCTACTGGGATAATCCGGCACTGGAGACAAGGCAGTAAAGCAAGCAGGCGGCTCCTGACTAATTGTCACAGACGGATCTGTGAGCTGTACGCGGCGGGTGTTGCCGGGGTGCAATTCGATTGCCAGAATTGCCCATGCGATGATCATTAAGAGCCACCTCGTCGTTTGTGATAGCCAGGTCGTGTCTGAAAAAAACGAAATGAAGATCTGCGCAGCTTAGAGGGGGGAGGGGGGGGTGCTTACCTGGTGGAAATTAAACAATCAGTTTAAGTAACTACAGGCCCGGCTGTAATGAAGCCTTGCACGGGAGGCAAGGCGGAGGAAGAAACGGGAGGTCGGGCAGACGAGGGGACACGGGGCACGCACGATGCACTGCAAGAGAGAGAGAGCGAGACACCGGCAGAGACACGGAAGGGGAGACAGAGGGAGACACACCGCAAGGTAGAGAGAGAGTGACACAAGGAGACGAGGCACAGGGAGACGAGGGTTTTAGAGGCGTTACACAAGACAGGACAGGTGGGTGGGCACGTGAAGACACGGCAGGCATAGCTGTAAGACGAGGCAGGAGGATAAACGGGGAGACACTGCGGGGAGAACTTAAAAGGCAAGGCAGAGGGATACGGGGTGACACGGACACACAGCAGGAAGAACTGAAGGACAAGGCAGGGGGTAGACGGGTAATGGCGAGACGCGAGAGACGAGGCGAATCTCACCGGGGCAGCTGGAGGTGTCTCTGCGGTTCGTGTGGCCGCCACGAAGAGAACTGCCAAGTCCACGTGGACTGGAGCCCCGCCCCCCGGCACCCCGAGCCCCGCCTCTTAACCCCACCCCACAGACAAACCACGCCCCCTCCCCCAAACCACGCCCCCTCCCCCAAACCACGCCCCCTCCCCCAAACCACGCCCCCCTCCCCCAAACCACGCCCCCCTTCCCCAAACCACGCCCCCTCCCCCAAACCACGCCCCCTACACCCAAACCACGCCCCCCCCCCCAAACCACGCCCCTCCCCCAAACCACGCCCTCCTCCCCCAAACCACGCCCCCTCCCCAAACCACGCCCCCTCCCCCAAACCACGCCCCCTCCCCCAAACCACTCCCCCCTCCCCCAAACCACGCCCCCCTCCCCCAAACCACGCCCCCCTCCCCCAAACCACGCCCCCTCCCCCAAACCACGCCCCCTCCCCCAAACCACGCCCCCTCCCCCAAACCACGCCCTCTTAACCCAAACCACTCCCTCTTCACCCAAACCACTCCCTCTTCACCCAAACCACTCCCTCTTCACCCATACCACACCAATTCTAGATTTGAAGCTTTCGTGACTGCAAGGATTCATATTCTTAAGTTTTTTCGGTAAAGTCACGTAGGTAAAATATTAAAATGAATAAAAGTAAAATAAAATAAAAATAAAAATCACGACGTTTCGGAGGCAACACAAGCTTCCGTCTTCAGGTGGAACCGTCACAGCACGATTGCTGTATCAAGTAATTTTATTTTATTTTACTTTTATTAATTTTAATTTTTTACCTACGTGACTTTACCGAAAAAACCTAAGAATACCATACCACACCCCCTGTCCTCGAACCCCGCCTTTCTCCACAAATCCAGCCGCTCCCCGCAGTCAGAACACGCGCACGTGCATCGAAGCTCCGCCCCTTATATGCTAATTGTCGCCCTTCAGATTGCTTGTGTTGTGGTTATTGCAAACATGATGCCTTGAATAAAGGTGTCAGTTTTGTACCAGTTTAAAGGGTAAAACCCTACACCTATATTTTGCCACTGGTAAAGGAGGTCTCATAGTGTAAGTGCTTGCCCCGAGCTCTCAGTACTCTGATGGTGCGCTGTCTTTGAGTTGTGCGCCTTTTGGCAGTCGTCTGGTCCAACACCAATGGAGACTAGGCTCTAGGGAAAGCTGTCTCGGGTGTGGACCAATCAACTTCAAGGACAGTGCATATCATTATCATCATCAGAGTTGTTTCTTTTTGTTTGCATTTTGACTGCTTGTGTTGTGGTTATTGCAAACATGATGCCTTGTATAAAGGTGTCAGTTTTGTACCAGTTGAAAGGGTAAAAACCTACTACTACTGCCCACTATTGTATATTGTCACTACACCGGCATGGCTCACAACTGTGGCCATGTCCAGTGGCATGGCTCACCACTGTGACCAATTATCTCTGGTATATCAGATTCATTTCAAAAGCCATCACCGTTTGTTTTGTTTTATTTGGTGTCACCAATATGAGAACTCAAGGAGACCAGGTTGGTCTCATTGTGTGTAGGTTTGTTGTCCTTTTCCCCGCACCTCCGATCAGGTACGGTTGGCTACGTACGGTGCGAAAGAAGTTCAACAAAGTACATCGTCAAGAGTGTGACGTGGGCCACCAAAATAACAAAAAGTAAAACAAATAAAACTAAATCGGAGCAGGGCAAGTATGTTAAAAAATACCTGCACAAATAAACATATCAACATTACATAAAAAAACACAATTTCACGTGCCATAAAGTTTTTTTCTCGGTGAGATTTTGTTTGTTGGACCAGTCGAGTTAGCTACATCAGTCTTGTGGGGGGTCGGGGCGGAGGGGGTGGGTGGCATAGATGCCGGTATTCAGCCCTGCCAGGGGCGCAACGATGACTGGTGGGTACGTAGCATTCTAGATTTGAAGCTTTCGTGACTGCAAGGATTCATACTCTTAGTTGTTTTGGTAAAGTCACGTAGCAGCCGCATGTGACGCATAGGGGCCCAGTCGGTCACAAGGGGGCACCGAATGAAAAGATAAAGAAGTAACAAAAATTTCGATTTAAAGCTTTCGTGACTGCAGGGATTCATATTCTTGGTTCTTTCGGTAAAGTCACGTAGAAGTGAAGTAATAAAAGAATAATGAAATAATAAAGTTAAATTTATTTGATTATTTCCCTTCTTCGTGACTTTTACCGAAAGAACCAAGAATATGAATCCCTGCAGTCACGAAAGTTTAACATTTTTAATTCTCTTCTACGTGACTTTACCGAAAGAACCAAGAATAAGTAACAAAAATGTTAAGATTTTTTTTTTAAAGAATTCCAACAATTCACCACAAATGCAAAAAAATAAACCATTGTTACAAATGAGGAAAATAATATTTTCTAAAAAATACCTGGCGTAAAGTATCGTATCCGCTACTGCTGGTGTTTGTGGGTATTGTACTTGTATTAATAACTGTCACTGTGAGACTGTCTTCCTCTAATCCCAAAACACGGTGCAACTAAAACAATATATTCTAGATTTGAAGCTTTCGTGACTGCAAGGATTCATATTCTTAGGTTTTTTCGGTAAAGTCACGTAGGTAAAAAATTAAAATTAATAAAAGTAAAATAACAAAATTAAAAAATCACGACGTTTCGGAGGCAACACCTGAAGACGGAAGCTTGTGTTGCCTCCGAAACGTCGTGATTTTTATTTAAATTTTACTTTTATTAATTTAAATTTAATTTATTTACCTACGTGACTTTACCGAAAAAAACCTAAGAATATAAAACAATATATCTAGAGTTCTAGACATAGCCCTACATATCGTTGTATCCGAGTTACAAAATATCCGCAGCTATTTCAGTAAAAGTGAGTCGGGAGAAAGGAGGTGGGACCGCAATCGTGTCCTGCATAGCCCTGTTTGAAATACAATCACTCCTCTACTTACGAACGTTTGACTTACGAACTTTCAGAGTTACGAACAAACCTCGTCCCTCTTCTTGGTTCTTTCGGTAAAGTCACGTAGAAGGGAAATAATAAAATAATAAAAAATAAAACACAAGGACGGCTGCTTGCGTTGTGGCCGAAACGTCGTGAGAATTATTTTATTATGTTGTATTTTTATTATTTTATTATTTCCCTTCTACGTGACTTTACCGAAAGAACCAAGAAGATGAATCTCTGCAGTCACGAAAGCATTAAATCGAAAATTAAACCTCGTCCCGTATGGCCCGTTGCCTGTTCGCACCGAGAGTCGTAAGTTCAACCACCGCGCAATAGATGGCGGTGGTGGCATCTACATCTGCAGAACTCGAAGAACCAGTAGCCATCTACATCTACAGGAGAGTATACAACTGGTAAAGCAATTCCCCTTGTTTTTAGTCTACACGCCGTACAACGTGTTTGCAATCGGCAAGGAGTAAAGTTGGACTTACGAACAAATCGACTTACGAACAGTAACCTCTGGAACCGAACTCGTTCGTAAGTAGACCAGTCCCTTTAACACGTGTAGGCTTTCGCGACCAATACTATTCATAATCAACGTTTTTGGGTTTAGATCGCGTCATTTATAAATGTGTCGTAACCCTCCACCACCCGACACGGCCAATCAGTAAAAAAGTGTCACGTTGACACCTGACGAATTAATGAGTTAATGATGACGTCACCCTGCTGCTGCTCTATATAAGAACGAGAGACACAGCAGAGCCTCACCATTCTGGCGAATTGCCCGATGATGCTGGATGCAATTACCAGCGAAACGTCGTGCTACTCAAATTGTAAATGTTGTGGTTTCACGCTTCAACACACCGGTGGGCTAAAGCAGTGAACTAATTTGTCTTTTGTCAACGTGACACTTTTTAATGATTGACCGTGTCGGGTGGTGGAGGGTTACGACACATTTATAAATAACGCGATCTAGACCAGTCCCTTGCAAGTGGACGCGCCCCTGAGTCGCTTGCACGAACCCCTCGTCCGACTGGCACGCAGCGTCGCAGGGTGGCACATCAAAGGCCACGCCGCTCACGTGGCAAGCTGCCATCCGCATCGCCCGCGAGGAGGAGGAGCGCATGGGGCGGGCGCGCAAGGCCGCCGGTCCTACCGGCGACGGCGGCGCGGCCGGGAGCACGCGGGCGGCTCGATCGCTCTTCTGCCTCTCCCTGCAAAACCCGATGCGCAGGGCGTGCATCAGCATCGTGGAGTGGCGGTAAGGGGCCGTTCATAAATGATGTCACGCACCTAGGGGGGGCGGGGGGGCGGTCAGATATTTGTGACGATGTGTGACGAGGGGGGGGGGGTTTGAGAAATATGGCGTCACATCAAAATGCAGAACTTTAAATAAATGTAGACAACACGTTCTACTTAATGAAATCGACTGTATTTTTATAAATGTTTTCTCCTACAACATCAGGGTGCAGCGCCACGTTAAATACGCACTACGATGACAATAGTTTAAAGCGATTTGAAGCATGTTTGACATTTTTGGGGGGGGGGGGGCAGAGCTTTGTGACGTCATATTTGAGGGTGGGGGGGGGCTGACTTTTTGTGACGCCGTGTGACGATGGGGGGGGGGGGGGGTGTCAGAAATCGTCCGAAATCGCTTGACGTCATTTATGGACGGCCCCTAATACGGAATAGGGTTCCTCTCGCGCCGTCGCGTCTGTCCGCCGGTGTCACGGAACCATGATGCTGCGCTGGAATGACGATCAGAACCTTTGCTTCCGCTGGAGGAATCCGATGAGCTGTGAAGCTTTTTTTTATACACAAATCAGACGTCCAGTAGTAGGCCGCGGGGTCAGAAAGTTACAGCAGCAGATGGAATTCAATAACACGATAGGAGTTGCAAAGGTAAACAAATCGCAAGTATCTTCTTGGTTCTTTCGGTAAAGTTACGTAGAAGGGAAGTAATAAAATAATAAAAATAATTCTCTATCAGAATTATTTTATTATGTTTTATTTTTATTATTTAATTACTTCCCTTCTAATTCTGAGTGAGAATTATTTTATTATGTTTTATTTTTATTATGTTATTACTTCCCTTCTACGTGACTTTACCGAAAGAACCAAGAAGATGAATCCCTGCAGTCACGAAAGCTTTAAATCGAAAAATTAAATCGCAAGTATATATTTATGTCTATTTTGTACTTTACCGAGTAAAGCCCGACTGAGCTTTTAGCTTATTTTTCAGAAGCGACGTGACCACAAATGATAGCTCAACGAAGTGGCTTATCGTGTGGAATGCAATTACTCCGTTGTACCCCACAGCCCTGCTACATCTGGTTGTTTTTTCATGTTTTCAGCCAAATTATGAGTTGTTTATGCATTCGGGGGAGGAAACCGGAGTACCCTGAGAAAACCCACGCGCGGGTGAGGGAGCAACGCTCTATCCCCGCCCCACCCACGGGAAAAGAGTTGTTTCACAGCAACGTTCGTGTGATCTACCAGCTCTCACTGCGTCCACAGTGCTGGCTTACAGGTCGCGTGCAGCGTAGCCACCATCACTAAATATGTCTCTTACCTGCCTTGCCTCAGTCGTCACCCTGTGGCTGATTAGACTAGCGGCTGGCTGAAATATTCCACTCTTGCTCCGCTCATGGCGATCGCTTCTTGTAGACGAGGTCATCCGGAGGGCTTCGAAGGCAAACGGGGAAATTTGCACAGCAGGGCCGCCCCCCAAACTCCAGGCCAGTTTATTTTGTCGCTACTGAATAACGGAGGCCCACGTGGCAGTCGGCCGTGCGCCACCAGCTCCTGTGCCTTGGGAAATATCTGCGTACTCACGTGTCTGTCTCCTAAGGCGAGATGTTAACTACCTCGCCTGGTATGCAGGAGGTGGTGGGGTTTATCCCGACCCTTGCTTGTATATTTGGAGTGTGCATGTCTCTTTCCCCGTAGGTCGCGTGGATTTTTCTCCCAGTTCCTCTGATTTTTCCCTTCACATTTAGAATCGACGCACGTTACTTTAGAGTATTTGGCTGCTATAAATGTCCACGTGGATGATAAGCCACTTCGTTTGGCTATCACATGCGGCCGGGTCGCTTCTGAAAAAAAGAGCTGTATAGCTCAAATTTCGAGTTAAAGCTTTCGTGACTGCAGGGATTCATCTTCTTGGTTTTTTCGGTAAAGTCACGTAGAATGGAAATAATAAAATATTAAAAATAAAACATAATAAAATAATTCTCACGACGTTTCGGCCACAACGCAAGCAGCCGTCCTCAGGTGAAGAACATGTCTGTCTGTATAGCTCAGTTGGGCCTCACCAGCTCAGTGGGGCCTCATCTGTTAAAATAAAATAAAAATAGTTAATGTCAGTCAATCCACCTCTCGCGTTGGTGGCCGCGACTTTCTCTCTCCTCCCGCATGGCACCACGAGGTCACTCGTGGCAATCTGTTGGCCTCCAATTAATTGCTCACTCGGCACCCTCCCAACCAAACGCATTTAGCTTGCCCCTTGGTTCTTTCGCAAATCTCTCCTCCAAAAGGGGCCCTCCAGCCCCTTTGATCTGCGCCGTATTTCCTCCTTGCCCGACTCGGGCAAGCGTCCGCGAGCAGCGATCGGTGACGTTAAAGGCCACCTCGACGAAGTTCGACTGCCAACAAATGTTTGCGGACAGCCGAGTCGCGATGATGTGACGGGAGGTGAGGGCGAGGCGCGGGTGACCCTCAGTGTCGGTCGACTAGTGCGGAGGTGGGGGAGGGGGTGGGTCGACTGCTGGACCCTCTCTTCTTCTTCTTGTTCGTCCATCAAAGTTGATGATGACCATGGCACGTTTGTCATTTTGTTGGGTTTTGATGAGTGCGCAGATGGCTGAAGAGGCCACTCTGAGCCCGGAGTTCTCTGTGGCACACTGGACAGGTCAGGGAGGATGTAGAGCTCTGAGGTGCAGCCACAGGTCCTTCCTTGGTAGATTTGCGCTGCTGCCTCTTCAAGATAGCACAGGAGCTTCTCCTACTGTCACAGAGGACTGCACCGTCCTGTACAATTTTCTTCTCCAGGCAGGTCGGCCCTGTGCTAGGGATTCCCAGCTTTTCAGGTCGAATCCAAAGCTCTTCAAGGAAGCTTTCAGGGTGTCCACTGTCTGTACCTTCGCACCACGCTGCCCCCCCCCCTCCCTCCCACCTCTCTCCCGTCTCGCAGGCCGTTCGACGTTCTCATCCTGCTCACCATCTTCAGCAACTGCGTGGCGCTCGCCGTGTACGTGCCCTTCCCCGACGACGACACGAGCTCGGCAAACCTGAGCCTGGTGAGCAGCCGTGCGCCAAGGGGACACACCGGGCGGCACACGGCGGAGGGCCTCGGCTCGCGCAGCGGGCCCAGCGAGGACGCTCGGTGGTGGTGGTGGCTGTGGTCCGAGGAGCGGTGGCTCCGTTGATGGTGGTTGGGGGGGGGTTCTCTTTCAGACGGGGGCTGTTCAAGATCGGAATGCGGTGCCCCCCCCCCACCCACCCAACCTCTCCTTTCTCCCAGAGGTCGCAAACGGGTTTTGATTCCTTACCCGTACCCGTACCCGGCCACACCAGGGTCGCAAACGGGTACCCGTACCCGGCCGTACCCGTACCCTACCCGTACCCAGCCGGGTACGGGTAGGGTACGGGTATTGGGTACCTGATTGCGACCTCTGGGATGAAGCCATGTTGCAGGCGCGGGTGGGTTGATTCTAGGAACTTGAATTGTGAGAAGAGACAAGATGTTGGGAAATGAGTGACAAACAGTTACTCACCAGTGACCCACGGCCTACCCGTACTCATACCCGGCCGCACCAGGGTTGCAAACGGGTACCCGTACCCGGCCTAGCCGGGTATCGGGTAGCCGGGTATCGGGTAGGGTACGGGTATCGGGTACCCGGTTGCGACCTCTGCTTTCTCCCGACTCACTTTTACTGAAATAGCTTCGCACGTTTTGTAACCCGTATACAATTGTATGCAGGGCTATAAGGGGCCGTTCATAAATGACGTCACGAACGTAGGGGGGAGGGGGTCAGGCATTTGTGACGATGTGTGACGAGAGGGGGTTTGAGAAATGTGGCGTCATATCAAAATGCGCAACTTTAAAGAAATATAGAATTGTTATAACAACACTAATTGTTATAACAACACTCCTACAACATCAGAGTGCAGCCTCCCATTAAGTACGCACTACAATGACAATAGTTTAAAGCGATTTGAAGCATGTTTTATTTAAAAAATGGAAATATGGTTTTGGGGGGGAGGGGCGGAGCTTTGTGACGTCATATTTGAGGGGGGGTCTGACTTTTGTGACGCCGTGTGATGAGGGGGGGGGGGTAAAAAATCGCCCAAAATCGAGTGACGTCATTTATGGACGGCCCCTAACTACGTATGCTATTTCAGTTGCACCGTGCGTTGGGGTTAGAGGACGACAGCCTCACAGTGGCAGTTATTAATAATCAAGATTTGAAGGTACAAATGCACACAATTGAGTTATCATCTCAGTCAATCCGCCCATTGCGCCTGGAGTCTCGTCCCGTGACCTTCCTGGACCAGCCGAGCCTTCGACACTGCACGTGGCCTTCAAAGTGCACCTGGCCTGGCACCAGCCCGATGGTGACGTCGCCGCCACTTAGTTGGCGAAAGTTGTTGTTCATCTTGCGACCGGGTCTGCGCACATCGGGTAAAAACGATGTCAAGTTCACAGTGGCCGTGATATGTTTGGCCTCGCTTCGTGGTTTTGTGTCTCGCGGTTGACCCTCGGATTGGAGTGAGTGAGAGAGACAGTCCAGGTATTTCGATTTAAAGCTTTCGTGACTGCAGGGATTCATTTTCTTGGTTCTTTCGGTAAAGTCACGTTAGAATGGAAACAATAAAATAATAAAATAAAACATAATAAAATAATTCTCACGACGTTTCGGCCACAACGCAAGCAGCCGTCCTCAGGTGAAGACCAGGTCTGTCGGGGAGACGGCTGCTTGCGTTGTGGCCGAAACGTCGTGAGAATTATTTTATTATGTTTTATTTTTATTATTTCAATGTTTCCATTCTACGTGACCCAGGTATTGCCGCGTTGGGGGTAAAAGTGATCTCGCTGTGGATGCGGGCGATGGGTGGGGCGGTGGCATTTTGTCGCCTGCAGTTGTGCGCGCGGTGAGGCATTTGGAGAGGACGTTGAGGAACGAGGTGCAACCGTGGGAGAGAGATCATGGGACCTTTCTTGACACTATAAAAATATAATAATTGGTTTTACCCTTTCTGACAATAAAACAGTTGTGTTAAGATGTTAAAATACCGAATATAAACCTTTTGTAAGGAATCCATTCTGCATTGATGACACGTACTTGTGGTGAACATGCAAAGAAATATCATGCTCCGGTAGTAAATGATGATGATGCATTGTATTTGAAACTGATTGGTCGACACCAGAGACAGCTTTCTTTAGAGCCGAGTCTCAAACAGTGTTAGACCATCTTCTTGGTTCTTTCGGTAAAGTCACGTAGAAGGGAAATAATAAAATAAGATTTCCCTTCTACGTGACTTTACCGAAAGAACCACGTAGAAGGGAAATAATAAAATAATATTTCCCTTCTACGTGACTTTACCGAAAGAACCAAGAAGATGAATCCCTGCAGTCACGAAAGCTTTAAATCGAAGTGTTAGACCAGAGGATGCAAAAGACGAACAGCACAAAGACAATGCCACTATCAGGGCATTCATAGCTAGGGGTGAGCAGCTATAAAATGTGGCCTTTCTTGCCAGTATCACAATATAAGAATTGGTGGCAAGAGAGAGTTTCAGTGGCTGAGTTGAACCGTGGTGGAGTGCACGGATCGCGGTCTCGCCGGCAGCTGGGACAAGGCAATGGTTGGCGGGGCAAATGTCGTGCAGATGGAACGGAGACGATGCCATCTGCCGTCGACTTATAATCTCGCTCCGTCGATTACACTGGTCAACACACTTTTTCTGGCATAAGGTATTCCAACGGTTGTAATGTAATTTTGGGGTGCTGATTCCAAATCTGGCATCAGTTTTTGTTTATCCCATCAGGTTTTTGAGATATCAAATCTGGCATCAGTTTTTGTTTATCCCATCAGGTTTTTGAGATATCAAATCTGGCATCAGTTTTTGTCTATCACATCAGGTTTTTGAGATATCAAATATTGCATTTTCAATAAAAACTGCGGAAGAAAAATATTAAATAAACGTGGATATCTATATAAAATGATATTATAAACACACTATCCTAAAAATACAGCACCATATTTTAACACTAAAGCAGTCACTGACTGGCAACAACTTGCAATCATAAGTGACGGAGTTAATTTCGGGTAAAATCAATGAAAAGGGGGTATGCCGATAGCATAAAAATGAGATGTGATAGAGCAAATCTGAGAACAGATTTGGAATCAGCACCCTGCAATTAGTCTAAAACAGCTGCAAAAGTCCAGGCCAGAATTATTTTTCTTTTGTGTTGACCAGTGTTATCCGTCTCTTCATATTCCGTCCTGTGCGGGCGCAGGAGAAGTTGGAGTTTGTCTTCCTGATCATCTTCACGGTAGAGGCCGTGTTGAAGGTGGTGGCCGATGGCCTGGTGTTTCACCCGAAAGCGTATCTGCGAAACTGCTGGAACCTCCTGGACTTTGTCATTGTGCTTGTCGGGTGAGCTTGCGTCGGTCCGGCGATCGTCAAACACATCATGGTTGTTGAAACGAGAGCGTAGTGGTGCCACTTACATCACCCCATGCAGAGTCTTCGAGATTGGAATGGTAACTACGGTGCAGTAAATAGAGCAACTTTTTCAGTTATGTTTGTTTATGCCAATTTCATAAATGAAACAAATTTAAAACATTATAGAACATATACGCAACACCTAAAAACATAACGCATGCCCCCTCCCTCCCCCCCCCGCGTGCCCCTTCCCCCCCACCCCGCGTGCCCTTTCCCCCCCCGCGTGTCCCTTCCCCCCCACCCCGCGTGTCTCCTTCCCCCCCCGCGTGTCCCTTCCCCCCCACCCCGCGTGCCCTCCACGTGTGCCCCCCACCCCCAGGCTGTTCAGCGCCGTGCTGGAGCAGGTGTCGCGTGCCGGGGTGGTGCCGGGCTCGCACGCCGGGAAGAGCGGCGGCTTCGATGTGAAGGCGCTGCGAGCGTTCCGCGTGCTGCGCCCCCTGCGTCTCGTGTCCGGCGTGCCCAGTGAGCCGATCCCGGGTCACGTGAGCCGATCCCGGGTCACGTGAGCCGATCTCAGATCCAGTGAGCCGATCCCGGGTCACGTGAGCCGATCCCGGGTCACGTGAGCCGATCCCGGGTCACGTGAGCCGATCCCGGGTCACGTGAGCCGATCTTGGGCCACGTGAGCCGATCACGGGTCACGTGAGCCGATCCCGGGTCACGTGAGCCGATCTCAGATCCAGTGAGCCGATCCCGGGTCACGTGAGCCGATCCCGGGTCACGTGAGCCGATCCCGGGTCACGTGAGCCGATCCCGGGTCACGTGAGCCGATCCCGGGTCACGTGAGCCGATCCCGGGTCACGTGAGCCGATCTTGGGCCACGTGAGCCGATCACGGGTCACGTGAGCCGACCCCGGGCTGCAGCGTTGTGTGCAGATTCCAGGAGACGCTCTGAGTCTGGGTTTTATCTTATAAATCCGAATCCCTGATCTAATCCAAACCCTAGCCTTCTCCGAAACCCTAACCTTCAATCCTTAACACCAGCACCAAACTTTAATTCAAACACGAATGCAAAACTTAACTCCAACCATAATCGTAACATTATCGCCCATCATCACAGTATCTTCAGCGATATTCCCAAATAGCAGCCTTGATCAGTGCCGTATTATCCCAGTAGCACAAGTAGCTACACGTGTAGTAGCTACACGTGTAGTAGCTACGGGCCCCACTCTTTCAATGGGCCCGCGCTAAATGCTTTCAAGCTATCAATTCCGGTTCAGTGATTTTGCACTTGCTCTATTACTATAGTACTATACTGCCTTCAACTTTTACGAACGACTGGGTGTTTAAGGTTAGCGATTTGTCGCATTATCCGGCTGTATAGCAAATGAAAAATACAATTACTTTACTATGCAAGTTATACATTTGTGTGTTTCATATTTACGTGGTTTTTTATTTCGGGCCTCTTTATAACAGATGCTACAGGCCCTGCACTGAGCTTAATCCTCTACTGCCTGCAGGCCTCCAGGTGGTGCTCAACTCCATCATCAAGGCCATGGTGCCGCTGCTGCACATCGGCCTCCTCGTGCTCTTCTTCATCATCATCTACGCCATCATCGGCTTGGAGCTCTTCATGGGCAAGATGCACAAGACGTGCTACTACACGGGCACAGGTGCCCGCCAGCTCCGACACACACTGACGCGCCGTGCTGCTGTCATCGTCGTCCTCATCATCATCCGCACCATCCGATGAGCACGGTCGGCTGCGTACGGGCGCGAAAGAAGTTCAGCAAACGTAGGACGGGGTGGGGGGGAAGGGGCACGCGGGGGGGGGGGAGGGGGCATGCGGGGTGGGGGGGAAGGGGCACGCGGGGTGAGGGGGAAAGGGCACGCAGCTTTGCGCGGAGCGTTCGCGACCACCTCGCCTTCTCCTGCCGCCCCAACCCCGCTCGCGTCTCGCCCCCCGGTCCGCCCGCGGCCGGCAGGGCTGCTGGCCGACGACGAGGAGGTCGTGGCGCCCTGCGCGTTCGCCGGCAGCGGACGGCAGTGCGCGAGGAACGGCACCGAGTGCCGGTCGGACTGGGCGGGCCCCAACGACGGGGTCACCAACTTCGACAGCTTCGGCTTCGCCATGCTCACCGTGTTCCAGTGCATCACGCTCGAGGGCTGGACCGACGTGCTCTACTGGGTGAGCCCCCACCCCTCGCCCCCCATGGTCCCCCCCCTGCCCCTGTGCATGTGCCAGGCAGGTGAATGTGCGTGTGCCAGGCAGGTGACTGTGCGTGTGCCCTGCAGGTGAACGACGCGGTGGGGAACGATTGGCCGTGGATTTACTTCGTGAACCTCATCATCGTGGGGTCGTTCTTCGTGCTGAACCTGGTGCTGGGGGTACTGAGCGGGTGAGTGACTCCACCCATCCCACACATCACCCCCCCCCCCGCCCCCACCCCGAACTCCCCCCCACGTAGTCGATCTCATCGCTGCCTGTGGCAGACAACGCTCAGCCGGGTCTCTTAAAAGCTGCTCAAGGGATTTTGAAACCGAGCTTTAATTGAAATAAAAAACGCTGTAAATATTTTTCTGCACTCTTGGCAATAACTCCCTACGTGTGTGGCCTTAAAAATAAAATAATATATAAAACAGACGACGTTTCGGGCGATGGCCCTTCTTCATATCCCATAAAGCATTCCCCCTCCTTGACCTCCTTTGGTTCCTCTCTCAAAGCCTCTTCTCCACTGCCCATTCCCTGCCTCGTCCCTTCACCTCCCCCTCCACTCCTCACCATCCCTCCCGCAGAGCCCTGGGGTGGGGGGGTGGGGGGCGGGTGGGGGGGGGGGTGTGGCGCGGGTGGAGGGGGGGTGGAGGGGGGCGGGTGGAGGGGGTGGGGCGCGGGTGGAGGGTGGAGGGGGGCGGGTGGAGGGTAGAGGGGGGGTGAAAGGGGGGCGGGTGGAGGTGGAGTGGGAGGAGGGGGAGCGGGTGGAGGGGGAGCGGGTGAAGGGGGGGGCGGGTGGAGGAGGTGGGGCGCGGGTGGAGGGGAGGTGGAGGGTGGGCGATTGGAGGGGGGATGGAGGTGGGGGGTGGAGGAGGGGCGTGGAGGGTGGAGGGGAGGTGGAGTGGGGGTGGAGGGAGGGCGGTTGGAGGGGGGATGGAGGTGGGGGGCGGGTGGAGGGGGTGAGCTTGTGGAGGGGCGGGGACCGCGGGTGGAGGAGGAGCGGGGCAGTTGGATAGGGGGGTGGATGGGGGGGTGAAGGTGGGGGGTAGAGGGGGCAGGTAACCGCGTTAAACCGGGCTGGTAGCGAGCGATCGGGTTGAGTTTGTGACTTTTTCATTTTTATGCGAACGGAGCCTGGAGGATGGACGTCGACTTTGCCGCAGCTTGCACCACCACGCACGCAATCTGGCAAAGAGGAAGGACGCATTGGCCGAGGCGTGGCGGCCACCAATTGGCGGCGCCATTGGCCACGGTGACCTCTTGACATTGACCCGAGCAACGCGATGGTGGCAGCACGGATTTGACCTTTGACTCTCGTTGGTGGGGGTGCTGATGGCAGTGATGCGGTGGTGCAGCGGTTAGCGCCCGGCGACCCGAGTTCAATTCCCGCTCAATGCCAACGCCGGTGACGACTATCTGAACCGGTCCCTGGGCCTCCCTTAAGTCGACTCAGCCTCAAATAAGTACCCGGTGCGGTGTGTAAAATCATCGCCACGAGGGATACAAAGGCGGCCGGGCGTGGTACTGGCCACCCACCCCCTCGCGTGCCGTTCCGGACTTCATAGTTGCTACTCGCTAACAGCACTTGCCCCCAACACAGTTAATGCTACACGGGGGACCTTTGTCTTTGATGGTGATGCGACCTTTCCGCACGCTCAGTGAGTTCTCCAAGGAGCGCGAGAAGGCGAAGGCGCGCGGCGACTTCCAGAAACTCCGAGAGAAGCAGAAACTGGATGGCGACCTGCGCGGTTACCTGGACTGGATCCGGCAAGCGGAGGACATCGAGATGGAGCGCGACGGCACCTCAAGCGGTAAGTGGCACAACGGGGGGCGGGGGGCCGGAGAGGGGGCAGGGGGTGGAGAGGGGGCGGGGGGTGGCGGAGAGGGGGTGGAGAGGGGGAGGGGAGACGAGGTTTGAGACCCGGGTGTTGTTCGTGAATTTCTTCGCGGTACCGTTTACGGGAGAACTTGAAGTGCGGGCAGCAGAGGGGAGCGCAGAAAAATCCAACTGCTACCCATAACACACACTCATCAACCAGGCCCTAACCACACCAGGGTGTCGCGTCTCCACGTCTTTGTGTGTGTGCACCGAGTGTGCGCATGTGTGTGTGCACCGTTAACCGCGAGCTTCTTGCTCGCCCCCCCCCTCGCCGCGTGTAGGAAGCAAGTGTTCGAGCGAAGCCTCGGTCCATTCGGACACCGCCGGGAGCTCTGGAGAGAGGGCGCCCCTGTGGGTCCGTCTCGGGTACGATGGGGGGGGGGCACCTGGCACACCACATCCACCGTGCCTCGCGCAACGGTTGGTGGCTGCTTTCCGAGCTACCGGCGAGCCGGAATAACATCGAGTGTTTCTCTCGGTGGGAGAGCTCACACGTATGGCATGGACGATTGAGTTATCTAAATTTCATGTCCAGTGTTTAGTAACCCGCTCTGATGGATTTCTTTGCTTTGCAGGGACATCATTTTGAAGTCGCAAATCAGGTGAGGTGTGAAAACCATTTCATTTTATTTGAAAGCTTAAAATAAAAAAATCTAATCGCGAATTTACCCACAAACACCAGTGAAGCGTCACCGCGGTCCGCGTCGGTACTAGCCCGCGGAGCGATATGATTCAACAATCGATTTTTACTTCATAACGGCAGTGAAAGGTAGCGGACCTCTAAGTGGCTGCAGCGACCGCGTGAACCTATTACGCGCGGCATTTACGAATCAAGAAGTTACATATCGATCCGTACACGCACGGTCCGACGCCGCGTATCGCGAGCTCAAAAATCAAAATTAATCTACGAACGCAATGCGCCGGTCGACCCCATAGCGATGGGCGACCGATGACCCCGCACGCGACCCCTGACCCTCTCGGGCGCGACCTCTGACCCCCTTCCGCAGCCGCTGGTGGCGCCGGTGGAACCGGCTGGGCCGCCGCCGGTGCCGTGCGGTGGTGAGGTCGCCGTCCTTCTTCTGGCTCGTCATCGTCCTCGTGTTCATCAACACGCTCTCCATCGCCTCCGAGCATCACCAGCAGGCCGCGTGGCTCTCCCACATGCAGGGTGAGCGGCGCAGGGGTCAGCCGCGTTTGTGTAACGGCACGGCCGGAGGTCGGGCAGAGGTCGCAAACGGGTTTTAATTCCTTACCCGTACCCGGCCGCACCAGGGTCGCAAACGGGTACCCGTAACCATACCCGGCCGTACCCGTACCCTACCCGTACCCGGCCAGGTACGAGTAGGGTACGGGTATCGGGTACCTGATTGCGACCTCTGGGATGAAGCCATGTTGCAGGCGCGGGTGGGTTGATTCTAGGAACTTAAATTGTGAGAAGAGACAAGACGTTGGGAAATGAGTGACAAACAGTTACTCACCAGTGACTCACGGTCTACCCGTACCCGTACCCGGCCGCACCAGCGTCGCAAACGGTTACCCGTACCCGTGCCCGGCCGGGTATGGAGAAAACCCACCACCCATGCGAGGGGGCAACGCTCTATCCCAGGGGCCGGCAACCAACATCACAAGACGATTCATAATAAAGATTATTGGGTTAGATCGCGAAAGTATACATGTGTCGTGACCCTCCACCACCCGACACAGCCAGTAAGGTTTGTCGCGTAACCAAAACGTGCCAATTAGTTACTGCCCACCGTGTGTGTTGGAGAGTAAATCCACAGCATCTACAAGTTGAGTCCTGTCACGTTTCGCCGGTAATTACATCAACCGGCATCATCGGCAGTTTTTTCGAATTCGGTAACCGCCCCCACCCCCCCCCCCGGAATATTCCAAGAGCCGCAATGCAGCATGGACGACGTCACAAAGCGTCCCTTAAAGAGCCGCAGGTTGATGACCGCCTGCTCGAGGCCACCGCACACAAGGCACAGACGCTACCACTCCACACTTTGCCCTGCTGCATTATGATGGCGAGCCGAGCGCATTGCAACCTCCTCGACGCCCACGGGAATGGGAGTTCTCGCGACACTTTGTCGTCGTACGCGCGGTGATCCAACAACCCTCGCCGCTGCTACCGCTGCCTCCACAGCGCTGAATCACTGCAGGCAGCCACGTGCAACAGCAGCAGCTACGCTGTTTTTAGAATCCATCCATCCTCATGGCGATGAGGCCTTTCCGCCCGTATGTCTGTACGTACATCAGTCCATCTGAACGTCCGTCCGTTTGTACCTACGTCCGTCCATACATACGTCCGTCTGTACGTCCGTCCGTGTGTCTCCGCACGCGCGCAGACCTGGCGAACAAGGTGTTGCTCACGCTCTTCTCGCTGGAGATGCTCGTGAAGATGTACGGCCTGGGCCTGCACGTCTACTTCACGTCGCTCTTCAACCGCTTCGACTGCTTCGTGGTGTGCGGCGGCATCGCGGAGGCCGTGCTCGTCGGCCAGGGTTTTGTCGCGCCGCTCGGCGTCTCCGTGCTGCGCTGCGTGCGTCTGCTGCGCATCTTCAAGGTCACCAGGTGCCCAGTGGGAGTACGGCAGTGTGATGGATGGGGGTGAGGGTGGGTGGAGTTGCAAGGTGCAGTGCGATTGTTACCGACCCATTGCTTTGACCGACCCGCTGATGTCACGTCCTTGCCCGCCCGGCTCCGTGTGTGTGCCTTGGTGCGTTTGTTCATGTGGAGCGCGGCTCGCGACACCGTTTACGGGAGAGCTTGAAGTGTGGGCAGTAGAGGGGAGTGCAAGAAAATCCAACTGCTACCCATAACCCTAACCCACACTCACCAACCAGACGATAACCACACCAGCCAACCAGGCCCTGACCACACCAGCCAACCAGGCCCTAACTATACCAGCCAACCAGACACGAACCACATCAGTCAAACAGACATTAACCATTCCAGCCAACCAGACACTAACCACATCAACCAGACACTAACCATACCAGCCAACCAGACACTAACCACATCAACCAGACACTAATCATAACCAGCCAACCAGACACTAACCACATCAACCAGACACTAACCACACCAGCCAACCAGACACTAACCACACCAGCCAACCAGACACTAACTATATCAGCCAACCAGACACTAATCATAACCAGCCAACCAGACACTAACCACATCAGCCAAACAGACACTAATCATAACCAGCCAACCAGACACTAACCATACCAGCCAACCAAGCCTTAACCACACTCAACAACCAGACACTAACCACACTAGACAACCAGATCCTAGCCCCTCATAACGCCGGAACAATGTATCCGTGGCGATCAAGGAGTGGACAGATCTTCATGGTCATCATCGGCGCTTGCTCCGCCACAGGTACTGGAACGCCCTCAGCAACCTCGTGGTGTCGCTGCTCAACTCGATGCGCTCCATCGCCTCGCTGCTGCTGCTCCTCTTCCTCTTCATCATCATCTTCTCGCTGCTCGGCATGCAGCTGTTCGGAGGAAAGTTCAACTTCGACTCGACGCAACTCCACCGCAGCTCCTTCGACTCGTTCCCCATCGCGCTGCTCACCGTCTTCCAGGTGGGCGAGCCCCTCCCCCCCCCCGCCCACTTCCCCCCTCCCGGGCCCTGATTGGTCGGTCGTCACAGGGACTCCTCTGCTTACAAAACGAGTGAGGTTCCAGAGGTCTGTTCGTAAGTCGATTCCAAACTTGTTGTACGGTATGTACACTAAACACGGGGAATGGCTTTAAAAGTTGTATAATCTCCTGGAGATGCCACTGGTTCTTCACATTCTGTAGATGTAGATGCCACTGGTTCTTCATGTTCTGCAGATGTAGATGCCACTGGTTCTTCGCGTTCTGCAGATGTAGATGCCACTGGTTCTTCACATTCTGCAGATGTAGATGCCACTGGTTCTTCACGTTCTGCAGATGTAGATGCCACTGGTTATTCACGTTCTACAGATGTAGATGCCACTGGCTCTTCACGTTCTGCAGATGTAGATACCACTGGTTCTTCACGTTCTGCACATATAGATGCCACTGGTTCTTCACGTTCTGCAGATGTAGATGCCACTGGTTCTTCATGTTCTGCAGATGTAGGTCTGATTGGTTCTTCACATTCTGCAGATGTAGATGCCACTGGTTCTTCACGTTCTGCAGATGTAGATGCCACTGGTTCTTCACATTCTGCAAATGTAGATGCCACTGGTTCTTCACGTTCTGCAGATGTAGATGCCACTGGTTATTCACGTTCTACAGATGTAGATGCCACTGGCTCTTCACGTTCTGCAGATGTAGATACCACTGGTTCTTCACGTTCTGCACATATAGATGCCACTGGTTCTTCACGTTCTGCAGATGTAGATGCCACTGGTTCTTCATGTTCTGCAGATGTAGGTCTGATTGGTTCTTCACATTCTGCAGATGTAGATGCCACTGGTTCTTCACGTTCTGCAGATGTAGATGCCACTGGTTCTTCACGTTCTGCAAATGTAGATGCCACCACCGCCATCTATTGCACGGCAGTTGAACTTACGACTCTCAATCCGAACAGGCAACTGGACGCACGGACAGGTTTGTTCGTATCTCTGAAAGTTCGTAACTCGAATGTCCGTATATAGAGGAGACCCTGTAGACCGGGTGGTTGGCCAGCCTCCGCCTGGATTGATTGGCGGACGAAAGTACCGTGTGGCTAAGGTTCCCCGAGTGCAAGCGGCAAGATGGGAGTTGCCGATCATGCGCGTGGGTGGCAGGGGGGAGAGATGTTGAATTCTCGACGAATGGCTTTGTGTTTTTGTTTTGAATTTCAAACGTTCACAACGGTGAGAATTCGGGCCACGACATCTCCTGTGGATCATGCACGTGTCCTGTGCCTACCTTACCATCTGTCCCATGGGCACTGTCAGTGTCTCGTTTGTACTATCTTGTCTGTACTCCCTGTACTGACTCATCTGTGCTTTACGTATACTCATTCCATCTTGCCTGTAGTTATTTTTCTTGTCTGTACTGTCTGTGTCGTACCCTCTTTTTTCGTCCGTACACTATCTGTCCGATCTTTACCAATTGTAACCGTTCGTCTCGTCCGTACTCCGTCTCTCCTGTGCCGCTCGCGTCTCGTCCGCACCGTCTGTAGCCTCTGTACCGTCTCATCTCTACTCCCTCCTGTGTCTGCAGATCCTCACTGGGGAAGACTGGAACACGGTGATGTACAACGGGATCCGTGCCTACGGGGGCCCCTCCTTCCCCGGCATCCTCGTCTGCGTGTTCTTCATCATCCTCTTCATCTGCGGGAACTGTATCCTCCGCTGGCGGTGGAGATGGCGTTTGGGGTTGGGCGGGGGCGAGTCGGTCCCAGCCATGGCCCCATTAATCTTCTCGATTGTTCCGTCACTTGATTGGTTCCGTTAGGCCAGGACACGGCAACCTGTGGCTCCTGAGCCCCCCCCCCCCCTGCGGGCAGCCGTTATTTTTTTACGTTTAATATAATTTGTCGTCAAAATCAGATATGAAATAGCAGGAAATGGGTCACTATGGAATGTCTTGGTGATGACAAAATGTACAGCAGGGGGGGAGGGGTGGGTGTGGACTAAATCGATGCAGCTTCGTCCATCTGCGTCTGTGTTTATGTACAAGGAGCTCTGCTTGTGATGCGGTTCATCAAACTATTTTGGACAAAAACAAAGGCTGCTCTTCTTTGAAAGGTTCCCGACCCCTAGGATAGGTTGATGGGAACATCCCCAGCCCGCTTTGGCCACGACATTCGGCTGTCGCCGGTGTCTCCCCCAAAGCATTCGCGAGTAGCGGGATCTCGTCCCGGTTCAAACCATCGCCCGTCCCCGCGCCCGACTCCCGGTGCGGGAACAGGGCGGTCGCTACCCGAGCGGCACCTTCCGTCTTCGTCGTTTTTCGTTCATCGGCCGGCGGTCGGCGGAAAACCTCCCCCCCCCCGTTCCTTTTTTAAACCCGCGGCGATCGGGGTCCTGAGCAGCAACTCCGCGGCAGACATTCTGCTCAACGTGTTCCTGGCCATCGCCGTGGACAACCTGGCGGACGCCGAGAGCCTCACGTCGGCTCAGAAGGAGGCCGAGGAGGAGCGGGAGAGGAAGAAGACGGCGAGGTGAAGCGGCGCGGTCGGCACGGGCACCCGGTGCAGGGATCGAAACATGCCCCCCACCCCCCCCCCCATTCAATTTCCCCCACACCCCCTCCCCCAACCACCTTTTCGTCCGTTGCAGTTGCACCGTCTGCACTCCCGTAGCCCCGGTGCCACAATCGCTCAAGTAAACAGGATGTCCACATCTTCTTGGTTCTTTCGGGAAAGTCACGTCGAATGGAAATAATAAAAAATAAATAAAACATAATAAAATACAATTCTCACGACGTTTCGGCCACAACGCAAGCAGCCGTCCTCAGGTGAAGAACAGGTCTGTCAAGAAGACAGAGTATGTTCTTCACCTGAGGACGGCTGCTTGCGTTGTGGCCGAAACGTCGTGAGAATAATTTTATGTTTTATTTTTATTATTTTATTATTTCCATTCTACGTGACTTTACCGAAAGAACCAAGAAGATGAATCCCTGCAGTCACGAAAGCTTTAAATCAAAGGATGTCCACAATATAGGTTTTTTTTTGGGTTAGATCGCGTCAATATAAATGTGTCATTAAACTCACCACCACCCGACAGAGCCAATTAGTAAGGTTTGTCACGGAAACAAAACGTGCCAATTCGTTATTAGTACAGCACACCGGTGTGTTGGAGAGTAAACCCACAACATTTAAAATTCAAGTACTGGGTTTACTCTCCAACGTTTTGTTTACGTAACAAACCTTACTCATTGGCTGTGTTATGGATAATATCGGTCGCGAAAGCCTACGTTTTAAACTGAACAGGATGTGCTTGGCATTGTGGGAGGATTGCTCGCTGATAATCGGGCATACATACCACAGTAGCCAAGCAGAATCTAATTGCACTCTTAGCCCTATGTATGTATGTTGAACGTCTTTTGCACCGTGCCAATCGGAGGTGCCCTAACCCGAACCACATCAGCCAATCGGAGCCTCGTCGCATTGCTAAACCCTGGCGATAGCTACACAGGCCGACCGGACCCTGACAAACCATGGCTGCATCCGCACGCGCGCAATTCGTGGCGTCCCTCGTGAATGAGTCAGTCTTCGGCGACGAATTCATGTGTCCGCACTCGCCTCGTCGCCTGGGTAAGCAGAGCGACGTGGTCACGTGACGCTGTGCCGCCACCGTTTACGCCAAGCAGGGCGGCGAACGCGGAGAAGCCGAAGAACGAGCTCGCGGACGCGGCGGAGACGGAGACACAGGGCGGTGCACTGGATGCTGCAGCTAAGGTCAGCCAGGCTGGGGTGGGGGGTGGGGGGTTAGAGTGGACCTGGGCTGGGGTGGTTGTGGGCACCGGGAGGCTCTCAATACTTCTTTTCCATTGCACAACCGAGCCGTGCCGGGGCCGCGTCGAGCCAGCCCAGCATGGGTCAGGAGGCACCAGGTTGTTGTTTTTTCCACTGGGCTGCTGACATCGGACGCGATGATGAACGGGTCGAGTCCGTGTGTAGATGACGCGGTGACTTCGCATCCTCGCAGTGACCTGGCTGACCTCGCGCGTAACGAACGTGTCGTTATCCCTGGCCCTGCTTGGGCCCTGAGCCAGATTCAGACGTCCACTTGCAATGGGGAGATGTTAACTACCTCGCCTGGTATACAGGAGGTCGTGGGTTTGATGCCGACCCTGACGCCTGCTGCTGTATATTTGGAGTTTGCATATATCTCTCCCCGTGGTTGCGTGGAATTGTCTCTGGGTCCTCCGGTTTTTCTCTCCACGTTTAGAATTAACATGCATTTGGAATATTCGGCGGCTATACATTTCCACGGGATGATAACCCACTTCTTTGAGCTATGATTTGTGAGAGCCAGGTCGCCTTCTGAAAAATATCTACGTAGCTTAGTGGGTGGGGCCTTATCTGGTAAACAAACAAAACGTTTTTTATTTATAGGCCAGCAAGCGTGGCACGGTATGATTCTGGATCGGCACGGCAAACAACCAGTGGAATGCCAGTTTAACCCTTAGTAGTCATAGTAGTAGTAGGGCTTTTATGACCCATATTATCCACAATACAGGCGTTTTTTTTGTTTAGATTGTGTAATTATATATATATAATTATAAATGTGCGTCGTTAACCCACCACCGCCCGACACAGCTAATCAGCAATGGTTAGTCACGTGAACAAAACGTGTCAATTAGTTACTACTTCAGCACTAACTGTTTGTGTGTTGGAGAGTAAACCCTCTACGACGTTTACATGTTGAGTTCTGTGACGTTTCGCTGGTGAGTACAAGCAGCTTTATCAGGTGATTTTGCCCGATGTGCCGGTGGGACTCCATGAGTCCGTGAGGGTCCCAGCCACGAGATCGGCTCGGATTTACCGGTGGGAGTCCATGAGTCGGTGAGAGTCCCAGCAATGGACTTGGCTCAGGTGAGCTGGTGGCACTCCATAAGTGCATGAGGGTCCCAGCAATGGACTTGGCTCGGGTTTGCCGGTGGGACTCCATGAGGGGTGGCAAGGATTTGTCTATCGCCTTTGAAGTGCGCCGGCCGCTCTCTCGTGCGATCCCATGTCGATGTTTTGTGCAAAAAAAAAATTGCCATTTGTGGTAACGGACTCTTGCTTGGGGGTGGCGTTTCACCCTGCCGCTTCAGGCTGTTGGAGCGAGAGTGGATCCCAGAGGACACGTGCAAGGACCCTCACATTCTGCTACACACCCCCCAGGTTGGTTATAAATCATGGGACCCCTCAACCCTGCCCCCCCACTCCTTTCCGAGAGAGGATCGATTGGCCAGGTGACGATGCAGCGTCTGCCGCTGTTAAACGATTTAAAAAGATTTTTTATTTCACCAGATAAGGCCCACTGAGCTGTGTGGAACTTTGTCAGAAGCGAAAATTCTAGTGGCCAAACACTCAATGCGTGACGTTGATTCTTAACGTGGAGGGAAAAACCGGGAGGACCCGGAGAAAAATCGTTGTGGCTGCGACGGGGAAAGAGACACGCAAACTCCAAATATACAGCAGGCGTCACGGTCGGAATCGAACCCACCACCTTCTGTGTACCAGGCGAGGTAGTTCCCATCTCTCCACCGCCTGGAGATGCGGTCACGTTTACCCTCCGCCGTGTAAACCCTCAACGGATTGTTAACGGCGCAGCCCCCAGGACATCTCAAGCTGTGGATCCCTCGCCAGGCAACGGGACGGACGACGATGGCGACGGTGGCGTGGTGGAGGAAGAGGGGTCGGCTGCGCGACCGCGACCCCTCCGGCTGTCCGAACTCCGCTTGCCCGAGAGGCAGCAGAGCGTGCCGCGCAGCTCCTCCTTCTTCATCTTCGGCAGCGCGAACCCGTGAGCCCTTCCCGTCGGAGCCGAGCGTCGACGCACCACCGCATCCCTCGACCTGCCCAAATGAGCGCCGATTCGGGGGCCTCGCCTCCCATTCGCAGCCCGGAGGCAAATCGGTGCAATTTTCCTCGTTCACGTGGCGGGGACGAGTTTGCCCGAGGGACGATCACTGCTGATTACTGCCCCCCTCCCCCACACCCCCCACAAAAGTGGTACTGATTTTATCGACCCTCTCCCCCACCCTGAGGGATCGCCCCCCCTCACCACCCCACCCCTCGCCACCCCCACCCCCCTTGCCATCCGCCCCTCGCCATCCCTCCCCCTCGCCAGCCCCCCTCGCCCCCCCCCCCCCCTCTTGGAGATGGCACACTCTCGTTTGCAAGCTCGTGCACTTTTTGCGCAATCTGACAAGGGGGGTGGGGGGGGGGCTTTTCCGGTCAAGATTTTGAGTGCGCGGCCTCAAAGAGAACGTGGCGGACAACCCACCTCACCCCCACCTCACCCCCCACCCCACCGCTCCTTCTTTCTGTCTCCCCAGCGTCCGCGTGTTCTGTTTTCGGGTCGTGAACCGCCTGACCTTCGCCAACTTCATCCTGGCCGTCATCATCCTGAGCAGCCTCGCGCTGGGTGCCGAGGATCCCATCCAGCCACACTCGCTGCGCAACCAGGTTCACACACGCCTCCAGTTTGACACGTGCAAGCGGGCGTAGCCGTTCGGCTTTCACGGCCAATATTATTCGCGATAATGGGTATGGTGGGGTTTGGGGTTAGATCGCCTCAAAATGTAAATGCGTCGTTCTCCCACCACCACCACCGCCGCCGCCGCCACCCGACGCAGCCAATTGGGTGAGGTTTGTCACGTGAAAGAAACGTGCCGATTAGTTACTAGTTCAGCACACTGGCTGTGTGTTGGAGAGCAAACCCACGACGTTTACAATTCGAGTACGACGTTTCGAGTGGCTTGCAGATGGCGCGTTGACGCTGTGTGTTCACTTGCAGCGCGTGGCGTGACGCGGTACCGAGCTGCATTGGCTTCCGGTTGCCGAACGAATTCGTTACGAGGTCGCACTCGTTACGCACACAAAGCGCTTGCCACAAATGAACCACAATCACCTCGCTGATCTCGTCAAGGGGCTATAAACCATCACGCGAACTCCGGTCATCTTCGCAACTGCTTTTGACGAACCATCGAACAAAGACGGTTACCGCATCACGCGCTTTCAAATGCGCTGCGGTGGCCGTCTGGAATGCTCTCCCTTCCGATATTAGGGAGCCACTGGGAGCTACGCACTTTTAAATCATCCAGATTAAAAACTCATTTGTTTAAAACTGCTTTTTGTGATTAGTTTGTTGTCCTTCCTCCGAAACTTTGATTAGCACGGTTGGCTGCGTACGGTGCGAAAGAAGTTCAACGTACACACGTACATAGACTCACACAGTCACTCACCCACTCACATAGTCACTCATCCACACACTCACCCACCCTCCGATTAGCACGGTTGACTACGTACGGTGCGAAAGAAGTTCAACGTGCACACGTACATAGACTCACACAGTGACTCAACCGCTCACACAGTCACTCATCCACACACTCACCCACCTTCCGATTAGCACGGTTGACTACGTACGGTGCGAAAGAAGTTCAACATACGTACGCACAAGGAAGGCCTCACTATCCCCGACCGTGGCCCTGCTTGGCCCCGAGCCAGGCGACGCCGCACAACGAGCGAGCCACGGCGCGTGAAGCTGACCCAGCGGACCACGAGGTTCGGGTCGCGCCGCGACGGCCCCGGGTCTCGGCGCGCCTTGCCTTGCGTCTCACGCCGCGATTTTGGTTTTCAGATCCTGGGATACGCCGATTACCTCTTCACCGGCATCTTCACGCTGGAGATCCTCATGAAGGTGACCGCCACGTGTCCCGCCTCCCGCGCCTTCACGGACCGTCGCGATGAGACGTGTCGCGCCGAGGGCGTGTTGAGCAATCATCAGGCGCGCGTGGTGTATCGTGACCTAATGTCAATGGCGTGGTGATGACATCATCAGCTCAGGGGGTGCGGCGATCGGTCAGCGTGGGGGGCCCCCAACATCTGATTTGTCTCGCACGGTCGCACCCAGGCTATTATTGTATATCGCGGGCTCCTCTTGCCTAATCACGCCATTATGTGTGTGTCGGGAGTGGTAGTGTAGCGGTTAGCGCACTGCGCTATGAACCTGGCGACCCGATCAGCACCAGTGGCAAATGTTTTAACCAGTCCTGGGCCTCCCCTAGGTCCACTCAGCCTCAAATTAGTACCCGGTGCTGCACATAAACATCAGCACTGGGAGACAAAGGCGGCCGGGCGTGGTGCTGGCCACCCACCCACCCCCTCGCCTCCTGTATTCTTGTCAGAAAGGGTAAACGCCTATTATTTTTTCCATCAAGAAAAGTACATTTACAATGGCCGACGTTTCGGGCACTGGGTCCTTCACAGCACACAGAGAGGCCAGCGGAGAGGTAGAGTGGATAAGGGGTTGGAGACGGAACTTCATATACAACCATGGGGCCCGAAAAATAATTCGATTACGCAATTGTTTCCTGACGGAACAGTTTTTTTTCACGCAGTTCACTTTGTGGTCCATTCCTGGGTTCAATTATCGTCTTTATGGACGTGGTTTTGGGGCCAGCCACACCATCCCCTCCTCCAGCGTGCCGGCCGCAAACAGGTGCTCGCTAACAGCACTTGCCCTCAAACAGTGCAGTGAAGAATTCCCCGGGAGATCTTTATGTAATGACGACTTGACAATAGGTTTTGCCCCTTTTTTTCTGACAACAAAACAGGTGTTACGATGTTCAAACACCAAACTGAAACCTTTTACAAGGAATCATGTGTGCATTAACCACACTACTTGTGGTCAGAATGAAAAAAAAAACATACTCTGATAATATATTCATTGTCCTTGAAACTGATTGGTCCACACCAGAAACATCTTTTTTTTGAGCCTCGTTTCAAGACCAGAGGACGCCAAAACGCCTTTTGTAGAAGGTTTCAGTTTGGTGTTTTAACATCTTAACACCTGTTTTGTTGCCAGAAAAAAAGGGGGAAAACCTATTATCATATTTTGGTACTGGCAAAGATGACCCCATGATAATGACGACTTGACACACTTATCTTGAAGGCGCGTTCACTTGACATCAGGCGGAGACCCCCACTGCAACAGCCCCGAGTCTCCCGCGTATCTCTCTCTTATATACCAACACGAGACCACGCCCCCATTCCCGGACCTTCTCGCTCACTCTGGACGCTCGCTCCACCGGCAGACTCTACCGCCACCTGGCCGTGCTCCCTTCTCGATCATTCCCAAAGCCACTAGTGCATTCGCACTGCAGGCTGACTCCCCTGTTATTACCTCCCGTGGCCACTAGTGCATTCGCACTGCAGGCTGACTCCCCTGTCATTATCTCCCGTGGCGACTAGTGCATTCGCACTGCAGGCTGACTCCCCTGTCATTACCTCCCGTGGCCACTAGTCCATTCACACTGCACGCTGACTCCCCTGTCATTACCTCCCGTGGCCACTAGTGCATTCGCACTGCAGGCTGACTCCCCTGTCATTATCTCCAGTGGCGACGAGTGCGTTCGCACTACAGGCTGACTACCCTGTGATTACCTCCCTTGGCCACTAGTCCACTCACACTGCACGCTGACTCCCCTGTCATTATCTCCCGTGCCCACTAGTGCTTTTGCACTGCAGGCTGACTCCCCTGTCATTACCTCCCGTGGCCACTAGTCCACTCACACTGCATGTTGACTCCACATTTGTGTCCGTGCGTGCAGCTCACAGCGTACGGAGCGTTTCTGCACAAGGGTTCCTTCTGCCGGAGCTGCTTCAACTTGCTGGACCTGCTGGTGGTGGGGGTCTCCCTCCTGTCCTTCGGCATGCAGTACGCAGAGCAGCACGCACCGTGCCGTAGACACGCAGCGTGCGGTACACACGGTGAAGTACACAGAGCCGCACGCAGCGTGCGGTACACAGGCAGCGTGGAGTACGCACAGCGGCACGCAACTTGCAGTACACACCTTGCAGTGCACATTGCAGTACGCACCGTACTGTCGCGGCGGAGACCCCACGTGTGTCGCGTGCCGCTGCCCCCCCCCCCCGCTGTCCCCCCCCCCCCCCCCCGCTGCCCCCCCCCCCCCCCGCTGTCCCCCGGCAGGTCGAGCGCCATCTCCGTGGTGAAGATCCTACGCGTGCTGCGCGTGCTGCGTCCACTCCGCGCCATCAACCGCGCCAAGGGCCTCAAGGTACGCCACCTCCGGCCCCCGAGGAGCCGCTCGGCCCGCCCGTGACAATCCGTGGGACGCGCTCGGTGATGATGGGACGGTGGGGGGGGGCCTCGACCGGACTCGAAGGTGGAGTCAGTGCCCCTCTCCCGCGCCGCTGTGCGCCTGCCTCGGCAAGGCGAGCGTGTCGATAATAATGACGACGAACGACGTTTGATGTTTACGAAGAACGGTAAAAGTGCAGGCGGTGGGCTAAATGTTACGCTTGAGCTCACGGAGCGAACGAGATGGAGAAACGGAGAAACGATCCGCATGAGACGAATAAGGGAAACGGGCGCGGCACGCGGACTTAGAGGAGAGATGGGGCTGATGTGGCACGGGAGGACGTGGAGCTGAGCGGCGGTGTCAAGGCCGGCCTCTGTGGAGGAGGCTCGTGAAGGACGCTGCTGCTGCTGCTACTGGGCAGTGGGAGGCAGTCGCCCTGCAGCCACAACGGATGGCAGAGGAGCGACACTCACAACAACGAGCGGAGCGCCGGGCGGCTAAAACGCAGCGAGTTGGCACAGTAGGGCGCGCAGGTGATGCGTCGGCCCGTCGTCTCAAGTCAGTCGACCCGTGGCACCTGAAGGGTCTGTCCCGTGACCTGGCAGCAGCGAGCCTTCGACACTTTACGTGACAGTCTCGACGTGCACCTAGCCTGGCACGAACGCAGTGGCGACGTCACCGCCACTTGGCTGCCATTGACGTCGTTGATCGTCTTTCGTGCGCGCGCGTTTGAGATGGTGCGCGAGAGTGACGCGCGTGCGTGTGCGCAAATGCGCCGTGTGAATTTGTGTGCGTGCGTGTGTGTGCGCGTGCGCACGTGTGCGCTCACGCGTGTGCTCGCCCGTACGCGCGTCTCTACATGCCTGTCCGTGCATGTATGTGCACTTGTGTGTGTGCGTACGCACGTGCACAAGTGTGTGTGTGTGTGTGCGCACGCGTGCGTCTGCGCGTGTGCGTGCGCGTGCGTCTGCGCGTGTCTGCGGACGACGCAGCACGTGGTGCAGTGCGTGTTCGTGGCGTTGCGAACCATCGGGAACATCCTCCTGGTCACCACGCTGCTCCAGTTCATCTTCGCATGCGTCGGCGTGCAGCTCTTCAAGGTTTGAGACCGTGCGGTGGCATCATTATCATCAGTGTCGTCATCATCATCATCATCGTCGTCATCATCATCATCATTCTCGTCATCATCATCGTCATCATCGTTGTCGTCGTCGTCATCATCATCGTCATCATCATCATCGTCGTCGTCATCATCCTCGTCATCATCATTGTCGTCATCATCGTCGTCGTCATCATCATCGTCGGCCGCGGTCACCTCCCTTGCCATTCCAAGCCAGTGCCGTAGACGTCGCGCAGACGAGCGCAGTGCCCCTGAACCCCACCCGTAGCCTTTGACAGGCTGTCGGCGAGCACCTATTAAGGCCGCCACGGTGGTGTGGCCGGGGTTCCGTGCCCGGCTGCACCCCCCCGCCCCCCCCGCCTGCGAGAGGTACCCGTTTAAGGCTGAGTCGACCTAGGGGAAGCCCATATTAGAGGTGATGATGGGTACCTGTAACCCAGCGACCCCCCTCCCCACCTCCTTTGCGTAACTGATCACTGATGACGGCCGTGAGTGGGAATCGAACTCGGGTGGGGATGCCCGGTTCACGGCGCAGTGCCGCTACCCACGGTGCCAGCGCTCATTGAACCGCTCATGTCAGGCTTGTTGTACGCGTGTCTCATGTGCTACACGTGCTATGCGTCTTGTATGTTGTATGCATGTTCCGTGTCACGTGTGCTGTGTGTCGTGCGTTTTCACGCGCGCTGTGCACCGTGCATGTCGCATGCGTGTCTCACATGTGACGCGTGCTATGTGGTTCAATTACGATCTGTGGCTCACGTGTCATGTCAAAAGCGTCAGGCGTGTTGCATGCTCGTCTCGCATCTCACGTGTTATGCGTCACGCGTGTTGCACGCTCGTCACACGTGTTGCACGCGTCACGTGTGTTGCACGCCTGCCTCACTTGTCACATCTGATGCGTCACGCGTGTTGCATGCTCGTCTCGCATCTCACGTGTTATGCGTCACGCGTGTTGCACGCTCGTCACACGTGTTGCACGCGTCACGTGTGTTGCACGCCTGCCTCACTTGTCACATCTGATGCGTCACGCGTGTTGCACGCTCGTCTCGCGTGCCGTGTGTGCCGTGAGCAGGGGAAGCTGTTCAGCTGCACCGATCAGTCAAAGCACAACCCAAGCGAGTGCAGGTCCGTGCCCTCCCAAGTCCGCATCCAACGAGTTTGAGTAACGGTGAACCGATTGATTAATGGGCGCCGCGGTGGCGAGGAGATGTTACCTACCTCGCCTGGTACACAGGAGGTCGTGGGTTCGACCCCGGCCCTGACGCCTGCTGCTGTATATTTGGAGTTTGCGTGTCTCTCTCCCCCTTGCTGCTCTTTGGCTGCCCACTTGCAGGCAGCCGTTTTAAAAAAAAAACGTAAAGCTTAAACGTAATTTAACGTTACATATTTGATTAAATATAGCAAGGAATGGAGTCCATATGGATTGTTTTGGGAAAGACAATCTACAAGAATAACTGTCAGAATTTGTTTGTCATCATCACGGTGGCTAGGGGATGTTAACTACCTCGCCTGGTATACAGGAGGTCGTGGGTTCGATCCTGGCCCTGACGCCTGCTGTTACATTTGGAGTTTGCGTGTCTCTCTCTCCCTGTGGTCGCATTTTTCCCTCCACATTTAGAATCGGCGTCACGCGTTTAGAGTATTCGGCTACTGCTATAAAATTGCACACGATGATGATGATGATGCTGCTGAGCCACTTGGTTGCGCTATCGCTTGTGATGGACAGGGCGCTTCTGAAAAATAGCTACACAGCTCAGTGAGCCCTACCCGCTGAAATAAAAAATAGTTTAGTTCAGTGTCAGAGATTAAACTTGGCTGTTGGACAGGGGCTGAACTGGGGGCACAGAATTGCTGTCAGAGACACTGAACCTGCCACCTCGATGAGACCCCTGGGTTTGAATCTGGGCATCAGCTGCCCATGTAAGGCATAGACTCGCATAGCGACCCATAGACTCACATAGAGATCCATAGACTGCCATTGAGACCCGTAGACTCACATAGAGACCCATAAACCCCCATAGAGACCCATAGACTCGCATAGAGACCCATAAACTCCGATAGAGACCCATAAACTTTCATAGAGACCCATATACTCGCATAGAGACCCATAGACTCGCATGGAGACCCATAGACTCACGTAGAGACCCATACACTCCCATAGAGACCCATAGACTCACATAGAGAACCATAGACTCACATAGAGACCCATAAACTCCCATAGAGACCCATATACTCAAATAGAGACCCATATACTCGCATAGAAACCCATAGACTCGCATGGAGACCCATAGACTCACGTAGAGACGCATACACTCCCATAGAGACCCATAGACTCACATAGAGAACCATAGACTCACATAGAGACCCATAGACTCGCATAGTGACTCATAGACCCATAGACGTACATAGAGACCCATAGACTTGCATAGAGACCCATAGACTCACATAGGGACCCATAGACTAGCATATAGACCCATAGACTAGCATAGAAACTCATAGACTCGCATAGAGACTCATAGACTTACATAGAGACCCATAAACTCCCATAGAGACCCATCGACTCGCATAGAGACCCATAGACTCACATAGAGACCAATAGACTCACAGAGATACCCATAGACTCACATAAAGACCCATAGACGTAGACTGAGCGTTGGTCAAACCGGGTTCCCAAGCGTAGCGGGGTTGATGGTCTCAACCCGGTCACCAATGACTGCACGAGAGAGAGAGAGAGAGAGAAAACCCCGGTCACATCCACGAGGCTGGCCGAAGGGTTGTCGTCCCCGCTGACGAGTTCCTTCGTTACGGTCTCGTTAACCCCTCTCCCGTTCCGAGACGTCTGCAAGTCGCGGGGTGGGGGAGGGGGGTCCCCGTTCACCGCCGCATCTCGGAACGCGCGAGCGGCTGGCGTTAATTTTATTGAGGGAGACGTAGTAGTAGCGCCGCTGTTTTTTTAAGACGTTGTTACTCACCGCACAGAACCGTAGCGACACAACCGCCGCCACTCTACGATAGCCGGCGCCAAAACTGCCGCACGCCCTCCCCGCATGGCCTTGTGGAAGTCTCGGTGCAGCGATAAAGTTATTTTAATTTTAGTCTTTTTTCGGTCCCGTTCCGATGACGTACACTATCGGTACACGTACGTCATCAGTACACGTACGTCATTGGTACACGTACGTCATCGGAACGGGAAAGGTTTTAGCTGAGCTGAGCCATGTTTGGACCGTAGGTCGGCGAGCGCACATTGTTGTTGTTGTCGTTGTTATTGTTGTTGTTGTTGTTTTGTGAGCATGGCGTCATCCTCCGTACAGGGGATACTTCGTCGTCGTGCGGGAGCACGGGCCTCCCGTGGCCGTGAGGCGCGAGTGGCAGAACAGCGAGTACAACTTCGACGACGTCCTCTCCGGCATGCTCACCCTCTTCACCGTGTCCACCTTCGAGGGCTGGCCCGGGTGAGTGTCAGCGCTCACCCTTCTTCACCGTGTCCACCTTCGAAGGCTGGCCCGGGTGAGTGTCAGCGCTCACCCTTCTTCACCGTGTCCACCTTCGAAGGCTGGCACGAGTGATTGTCAGCGCTCACCCTCTTCACCGTGTCCACCTTCGAGGGCTGGCACGGGTGAGTGGCACTGCCCATAGCGATCCGCGTGCCACGTACCGCCGGTGAGTCTCACTGTCCAGAGTGAGTGTCACTTCTATAGTGCGCTGTGAGTTTGACCTCCGGTGGCCGTGATGCTGATGAGAGTGATGATGACGCTGCTACCGCTCGTGATAATAATGCGCGTGTTCATGACGATGACGATTCTGAAGATGCTGGTGATCGTACTGACGATGATGTTGGTGATCCTGCCGATGATGATGCTGCTGATGATGATAGTGATAGCGATGTCGACGTTGATGATAACGGTGTTGACGGTGATCCTGGCGATGCCACCGACAATCACGAAGGCGACAGCGATGTTGACGCCGCTGGCGGCGGCGGCGATGACGCTACCGACAGAAGACGACGTCGACGCTGATTTTCCCGTCGTCCCCCGCAGGCTACTGTACAAGGCCATCGACTCTCGTGCCGAGGACTTGGGCCCGGCACACAACCACCGCCTGGCCGTGTCCATCTTCTTCATCGTCTACATCATCATCATCGCCTTCTTCATGATGAACATCTTCGTGGGCTTCGTCATCATCACGTTCCAGGCGCAGGGCGAGCAGGAATTCGAGAACTGCGAGCTGGACAAGAACCAGGTGAGGTGACGTGCGCACGCTTCCCCTCCGCCATGATCTATCCACTGCTGGATTAAGGTCTGTGTGACTCATTGGAACCGATATTTAAATTCTCAGACCTGGACTGTATCCAAATTAAGTGCAGCAGAACCCGAAATCTACGTGACCAGGGCGGAGTCCATCAACCTCACCACTCGCAAGAACCCAGTTCAGTGGCAACTCAGTCTATTCGAGTGTACGGCTATCATTGTGCCTCTCTGGGTCTCTTGAGGTTGTGGGTCTCTATGAGGTTATGAGTCTCTGTGTAAATCTATGGGTGTCTGTGTAAACCGGTAGGTGACCAGGGCAGGGTCCATCGGCCCGCGAGTCTTGAGATCCACGTTGTTTTTGTCTTTAGCCTATTGTCCTCCCCCCCCCCCCCCCCCACCTCCGATTAACACGGTCGGCGCGAAAGGAGTTCAACATGTGCACACGTGACGTCGTCCACAATTATTCGCAGGCGGCTGAAACCCGGATTCGGATCCGGCCAGTTCCTTGTCTCTTGACCCCTCTGGGCCGCTCGGCCACCTCACCCTGAATGTGAACCTCTCCCGCGCACATCGCTCTGTCCCTCCGCCTCTCCCGCCGACTGCCGCCGCCCGCCCGCCCGCCTGCCCGACCGACCGCGGCCAGCGCAAGTGCGTGGAGTACGCGCTGAAGGCCCGCCCGCTCAAGAGGCAGATGCCCGCGGGAGCCAGGCAGCGGTGGGTGTGGAGCATCGTCACCTCCACGCCCTTCGAGTACCTCATGTTCGTCCTCATCCTCCTCAACACGCTGTGCCTCGCCTCGCAGGTGCGTGGCCGCCCGACGGCGAGTGGACATCGAGTCACGGGCGAGCGAGGGGCGTGGGGGTTGGAGGGTGGAGGGGGTGGGCGGCTCTGCCGCTCGTCCGTCGTTCCTCGTGCATCTTGAATCGTTCGCGCTCTCTTGGAGAGCGAATGTAAAGCGCGCGCGTGCCGGCGACGCGTCACAAGTTACCGTCGCGTGACATCGACACGAGCGACCTTCTCGCGTGCCCGCCTCTACCTCGCTCCCCGCGGTGGCCGGGGAAGGCCGAGTCGTCGTACCGGAGTCGTTAATTTCGTTCTGCTTATTGTTGTCTTGTTGTTGTTGTCGCACAGCACCACGGACAGAGCAAGGGATTCAGCCGCTTCATGGACATTTGCAACGTGATCTTCACCGTGCTGTTCGCGCTCGAGATGCTGCTCAAGCTCATCGCCTTCCAGCTGAAGGTGAGGCGAGCGCCGCAAACGCCCGGCGCGGACCCACGGACTCGTGGAGTCAGACTCGGTGGAACGCATCTCCCCCCCCCACCACCGCCCCCCCCCCACCACCACCCCCAGTCCGATCCACTTGGCTGAGCCGTCGCTCACCCACCGCCGTGCCGGTCCGCCGATGGCGCTTGCGGGCGATTACTTTAGGAGCGTTCGCCCCGCACTGCAGTCGCTGTGGCCAACCTCTCACGAGCAGGGGTTGGCAAACCTTTCTGTGGCCGAAATAGTTCAAGAGGCTCATATCACACGCAGAGCTACTCGTACACAAACAAATTCTGACGGTTATTCTTGTACATTGTCTTCCCCAAAACACTCCATAGTGACTCCATTCCTTGCCATATTTAATCAAAATGTTTTACGTTAAATTACGTTTAAGATTTAAGGGGGAGAGAGACACACAAACTCCAAATATACAGCAGGTGTCGTCAGGGTCGGGATCGAACCCATGACCTCCAGCATACCAGGCGAGGTCGTTAATCTCTTCTAGCCACCGTGATGAAGAATGAGAGACACTCACGGACGTGTCCCGCCCTCGGCCACCATCCCTTCTATTGACCTGCGCCAGTCCAATCTTTGTACAAACTTCTTTATTAATGACGGCCTTCCACCCCTATGTTCCCTCCTTCTCCCCTCCCCCCTCCTCCCCCCTTCTCTTCCTTCCCTCCCCCTGCGTAGGGCTACTTCAGCGACCCGTGGAACACGTTCGACTTCCTCATCGTCGTGGGCAGCGTCATCGACGTCGTCGTCAACGAGCAGGAGGTGAGGGGGCACGGGCGCCGCGGTTACAGTGAAATCGGATTCCCGAAGAAATCGCCGATCAATATATGGAAGACAGTAGGCTTTCTTGATCGTATCAATTCGCCGCCCAGTCGATCCGGCAGCCGGCTCGGCGTCGACCGTAATTTGGATGTTAATCGCCGTGTCCCATTGGGTCGGTTGAGCGTCGTGTGACATGCCCGCACCTCTCTCTTTGTTTTTTGATTGGACAAAATATCCGCACCGTCGTTGATTCCGCCGCGGCCCGTTTTTTTTTGCGCTGACCCCGCCACGGTGACCTCTCTGCAGTTACCCTCCACGGTGACCCCCCGCGGTGACCCCCCACCTCCGACGAGTTTCCTTGCCGCGCCACCCCGGCACCCCCACGATTGGCTTCCGCCGCTCCCCCAAAACCGTAGGAGCAAACGCCGCGGAGTTCCCGAGGGAAGCTCCCCCGGCACGCGGAGAGGGGGGGGGGGGGGGTGCGGGGCGGCCGGACCGATCGTCGGGGCATCCACCACGCACCGACGGCCAAGCGGCGCAGGCCGGCCGGGAAACACGTCGGAGAGCCGCACAGCCCCACCGCGGGGCAAAACTACGCCCCCCGCCCACCCGCCCACCCGCCCTCCCGTCCCCCGCCGCCCCTCGCCGCCCTCCCGAGTAGAAAATTCTGGATTTTCGAGCAAAGCAAAACGCGACCCGAATTGGCGCAGTTGGCGGGCAACTCGCGGGCACTTGCCCGGGGTCATCGTCTCTCGTTGAGGCAGCTGCCATCCCGGGACGTCTACTTCACGTGATCATGTATGCCCCGGGTTTTTATGCATCTCGGAGGTAGGCAAACCCCTGAGCGTACTGCGTCATTGCTGGCACTGGCCTGGGTCGTACGCAAGAGCTCTGGAAGTGATGGGTCGGTCAGGTGGTTAAGGTGTTTCGTGGGTCGCGCTAACCGCTGCTTGGCTCTGTTTTCTAACAGCTGTTGTTGCTTTGCTGCAAGTTCCCCTCCACCACCGCTGGTGCGCTTCTGGTAAGAACTCCCACGGGCTGCACGGTGCCAGATCAGAGGTTTTCTCGGCTAAGCCGTTCTGGCACCTCCGCCCGCTTCTCCTGGCCCCTGTCGCCGTATCGTAGCAAAACCCCGGTCTGTCGCGGCACGGCGATACCAGGATATGCGCAGTACACACGCAGGTCGAACGGCCGGTCGCGTGCGGTTGGGTAAAGTGCGGGTGACTCCCGCCCTCTTCCAAGACATCTGGCCAGCGTGGAAGAGTAGGCCAAATTATCCTCGAGAGCGGCGCGGTTCCAGATCTCTCTCCCCGTGACCGCGTGGATTTTTCTCCGGGTCCTCCGGAAAAATAAAATATCTAGATGTCATATATATTTTTTTCTTCTTCTTGGTTCTTTCGGTAAAGTCACGTAGAAGGGAAATAATAAAATAATAAAAATAAAACATTATAAAATAATTCTCACGACGTTTCGGCCACAACGCAAGCAGCCGTCCTCAGGTGAAGAACAGGTCTGTCGGGAAGACAGCGTCTGAATGAAACACCTCAGGCTTGGAGCGTATATTTAAGCTGGGTTGAAGGGGGAAGAGCGCCTTGACAAAAGAATTTGCATATCAAGAGGAATTTAGCATATTTATGGGAAATGCAGATATGGGATTAGTCACTACTTGTGAAATGGTGGTTTCAAAGTCATATTATGCCCGTGCATTATGCAGGATTAGCAGCATCAAAGGGAGGGGATAGGGGTAGCATTAATAAAGGGGAAGGAATGTTAATAGTATGTAGCTGCAGTAACTAAACCACCACGCAAAAAACTAAAAAAAATGTCACCATAAATGAAGAATCTGGCAGGGCGATTAGCTCCCGCTCACCATCGAGCGATGGGCGCCCTGCGACAGATCCGCAGGTCGCGGTCACTTCCCACGGCGGCTCTCCTAGCGGTGGGTGGCGGCTCGCTCTCTCTGACCCCGTGCCCCCTACTGGACGTCCGTGGGGGAAAAAGAAGAGCTTCGTAGCTCATCAGATTTTTGAGAGCGGCTGTCTGTGGCTCCCTCTGGCGGAGGCCCTCTCCCAAGCGCAGCGGTGGCACCGTGAGCAAACCACTCGCGGGGGGGCCACGTATTTACCTCCACCCCTGCCCCCGGCCGCGCCCCTCCAACCTTTAATAACCGTGCGACACCGTGAACGACCGTGCGTGCCGCGTCAACTCCGCGGTCGCGTTTGCCGCCGCGACAAAAAATGTGGCACCGCTGCAGGCCACCGCGCCGGTGTCGACGGTGTCGACGGGAGAAAGGAAACCTCTGATCATGGCCTCCTCCACGTGGTGCCCTGTTGGGTGCTGGCCAGGAGCCATGTGGGCAGCTCGGGTCAGCAGGCCCCGTGTGCTTTCATTTCTTGTCCAGAGTTTTTGGGGGAGGGGGTTGCTTTGACATGTGGCCCCCCCTCCCTTCCACCCCCCCGCACCGCCCCCTCCCCTCCCCCCCCCGCTCACGAACAATGCACGCTCGCACTCGCAAAGGATTGCGTGTCGTTTGGTTAAGGTGAAATAAACTTTTTTATTTTTCTAAGGGATCCTTTCGGAAAAGAGTTTCGTGAATGCTGAGCCGGCCGCCGCTGAGATCCTGGGTTTTCGGATCCACGTTGCCGCCATCCCCGCGATTTAAGCCGGGTTCCCAAGTGCGGTTTTAGTCAATGGTCCCGGGTCTCGTCGCGGATGACTCGCAGAGTGAGAGACCCCTAGACGTTCACGAAGGCCCATAGGCCCAAATAGAAACCCATGAGCTCACATAGAGACTCGAAGGCACTCGCATAGACTTGCTTGTTATTAAACCTGGTTCCTAAGCGTGTGTGTCAGTCCGGTCACCAGTGACTTACACAAAGTTCAGTTCAGTTCATGTATTAGGTATAGCCCTGTGAGCCATTCGGCTCTTGAATCGGGTGCAACCGCAACAAACAAAAACCTGAACAAGAAACATCTTAAAGTGACTACACGCAACAGAATAATCCAGGAAAAAACAGCAAAAGTCTTCCAGAATAAGCACCGTATATCAAGGCTGTGTGTGCAAAAATCCCAGTGGGATGCAAGTCAAACAATAACAACCATAAGACAATTTAGATTAAAGTTATCAGAATAACTCTGTACTACAACAAACAAATATGTCTAAACCAGAACGTTTTCGAAATCACCAAAATAAAGCTATAAAAACAATGTAACAGTGATCATAGGAACTGTGATACAAATGTAACAATACACGATATACATAACATGTACGACCAAACTCCATAACAGCAGGAGTATCAGTAGGAGTATCAAAAATTTTCAATGCACCTTTAAAGACCCAGAGACTCGCACTCAAATTCATAGACTTACACAGAGGCCCATAAACTCACATCGACTGCGATTAAATAAACCGCGTTCATAAGTACCGTGAGTTTATGGGTTTCAGCCTGCTCACCGATGACTGCACAAACTAAAAATCACTTAAAACGAATAAAAGGCTCACCGCCTTTCCAATGTGCATCTGTGCAAGGGCATACCCACAATTGATCACGTGATACTTCTCCCATTTTTTGACGAAATCTGAACAACAACAACAACAGGAGAGACACCAGGGTGATTTTCGTGGACAAATTAAAAATACCCGACGCGGATGACGCTTAGCGAGGCGAAAATCTTCCGTCTTTGTTTGCGAGGGGGTGTCCGTTCTCGGTGTGAGGCCTTTTGCGACCGGGGCCCTTCGCTCGCCTGGCTCCTGCGATTGTGGAACTCGCTGCCAATGGCTGTCCAGACAGTCCGGGTCGCCGGCATGGAACCTTCAAGTACTTCCGCCCCCCGTTCGGAAGGAGTTTCCTTGTTGAGCGAAGTCGCTTCTTCACTCTTGCGATTTTTATGAAAGGTTGCTGCTGCTGTACGATCCGTAATTATTACACTGGTCAACAAAAAAAAACATTTTCTGGCCTGGACTTTTTCAGCTGTTTTAGACTAATTTCAGGGTGCTGATTCCAAATCTGATCTCAGATTTGCTCTATCACATCTAATTTTTATGCTATCGGCATACCCCATTTTCATTGGTTTTACCCGAAATTAACTCTGTCACTTATGATTGCAAGTTGTTGCGAGTCAGCGACTGCTTTAGTATTAAAATATGTATTTTTAGGATAGTGTGTTTATAATATCATTTTATGTAGATATCCACATTTATTTAATATTTTTCTTCCGCAGTTTTAATTGAAAATGCAATATTTCAAACCTGATGTGATAGACAAAAACTGATGCCAGATTTGGAATCAGCACCCAAAAATTACATTAAACCCGTTGGAATACCTTATGTCAGAAAAAGTGTGTTGACCAGTGTTATCATAAGAACACGTGGTTACTGCACAAGAACTCAGCTGGGGCTGCGCTGGCGAGAAATGGAACTGATATCGGTTGCAGAACGTTTCCTGAACGTCTAGGGACTTAACCAAACGTGCTGTTGTGCTGATCCGGCGTTGTTTGCAAGTTGGAATTTGTTTTACAACCCCCAAAAAGAGTGTGGTGGTGGTGTGTGTTTGACTGTTTTGTCTTCAATGGCAGATGTTTGATTTGTGCGTCAATAAATGCCATTTATGTTGGCGAATCAAACATTGTGATGTTTTCCAGTGTCACGGGCACAGCAAAACATGGTGCTAACTTGATGTGTTGTTTATAAAAGCGTGGGCTTGGTGAACACCACTATAGTGATTCATGATTGGTATCTGTTGGGTTGAAATCTCAGCTTGATTCCTAACTATGCACACCTTCGCACAGTTATTGTTCGCCTCATTTCACCAATCGCTAAATGGAAGAAACTTTATTAAACTAGCCCAGGGGTCGGCAACTACTTTTTGAGCTTCGGGATCGTGAATTTTAATTCTTAAATGTTTCTCTTCGGTGCTCCCCATTCCCAAACCCCCGCCCTCCCACCGTGTTACACGCAGGACACGGTACAGTGCTGTATATCCACCCTCATTATTTCAAGGACACACCTTAATTTGTACCCGTCACCTTCCCCATCGCTTGCTGACCCGTCGCCCCCAACCGTTGTGACGTCGTTGTTGCGTCATAGTGACGCCTCAGTGACGTCGTTACGTCATCGTAACGTCGCCGCGACTGTCGTTGTTACGTCGCCGTGACGTCACCGTGACGTCGCCGCGACACCGTCGGTGACGCCGTGGTGACGTCGCTGTGACGCCGCGATGCGCTGCTCCCGCCAGCGCGACCCCCACGCCGGGGTGGAAGAGGAGCGCCACCGCTTCTCCATCACGTTCTTCCGCCTCTTCCGGGTGCTGCGGCTCGTCAAGCTGCTGAGCCGCGGGGAGGGAATCCGCACGCTGCTCTGGACGTTCCTCAAGTCGTTCCAGGTGCGGCGATGGGCCGGCCGACGCGGGTGGTGGCAGGAGGAGGAGGGGTTGATGGTCACATTTCAACTCGTTACACTGCCGCCACCACCTCTCGAAGAGAGAGAGGACGACTCATGATAACTGGGGATTGTCATCATGTACATCGTCATAAATCCAAATCATCTTCATAACCTGCACCACCATCATCATTACCACTTGCACAACATACATTATCATTAAAATTATCACCAATTCAATCTTTCTTATTTCCTGGACCATCATAACCTGCGTCATCACCACGTGCAGCATCACCTGAATAATCATCAACATCATAGACTTCATCCTCCACATTTACCATCACCTTAATACTCATCATGACCTCCGTTATCATTTCCCATTTATATGTACGTATGTTGAACTTCTTTTGCACCGTATGTAGCCATCCGCACTAATCGGAGGTGCAGGGGAAGGACAATAAACTAAACACCAAAAAGCATCTCTAAAGAAATAACTTTTCAATCTTAAAAAATGCGTAGCTCCAGTGGCTTCCTAATATCGGAAAGGAAGAGCGTACCAGACGGCCGCAGAAGCGCATCTGAAAGCGCGCGATGCAAGTGACCGTCTTTGTTCAATGGCAATAGCCAGAATTCGCCGCTGCTGCAAGGATGAAGGGAGGGGAAGGCAGTAGCAAGACGGTGTTCCGGAGCCAATGATTCCCCAAGCTCTGCACTCCTCTGTATACTGAGGTGGTATCAGCCAATTAATGAGGTATCAGCCAATTAACACGTGGGAGGAAACCGGAGGACGCGGAGGAACATCACCGCCATTTTGTTGCAAATGGCGGCCGTTGTTGTTGTTGTGTTCTCGTTGCTCCTGCCAGAATGCCGCAGTGTCTCCGTGTCCCCACAGGCGCTTCCTTACGTCTCACTCCTCATCGCGATGCTCTTCTTCATCTACGCCGTCATCGGCATGCAGGCGAGTTGGTCCCGCATGGCTCTACACACGAGGCCTTGATTACGGCTAAATGATTAATCAATTGTCCGATTCGTCATCTGTTAGATTATTAAAGCTGTACAATTCACCGACTGTCCGATTATTTAAGCAATCTATTACTCTACAGATGATCGTTTCCATCCTTCAACGAATCTGATCGCACAAAAAATAGTTCCGGAATAAAATGCCGCCTCCGTTCCCGTGTGTGCCACTGGACGGGAGGTTAAGGGGCGGGGCTTGGTCACATCATCTGCACCATCAGCCCGGCCGCGGTGGGCCGTACGGGGGTTTCCCACAATCACGACGCGCAACGGTGTGGAAGGCGGCGCTCCGCTTTTAAATAATTGATGACGAAAAAGAGAAATGTGTGGATTGCGACCTCATTTGCCGACCGATCGACGTGATCGACTTGATCGCCCCCCCCCCCCGCGTTCCCGCCGTGTCTGTGGACAGCTGTTCGGCAGGATCGCGCTGCAAGACGGAACGCACATCAACAGGAACAACCACTTCCAGACGTTCCTGCAGTCCATCCTCCTCCTCTTCAGGTGACTCCCGACTGCCAAACTCTTCCGTCCCTCACTGGCCTCCGCGACCCGCCCTGGGTCGCACTGCCGCTCGAGGTGTTTTTTTTATGTTTTAAGAGGAGCTGATTCGTCTTGAGGGCGGGGAGGGTTGCCATGGCTCGTCGAGCCTCACCGGCAATGTGGCAGCGTACAGCGGCAACGGCGATGCCTCCGCGCCCTGCCGAACCCTCGCGCGTCAGCGCTCTGCCGCTGTCAATGAGAGCCAAGCCATGCGCAGACGCAATCGCGGACCAACGCAACGGACCATCAGCTGTCCAAGCGAACCAACCGACCGACTGTCTGACTGACCGACTGACCGGGAGGCACGGTAGCGAGATGTTAACTAGCTCGCCTGGTATACAGGAGATAGACTCACATAGACCCATAGACTCACCACACAGACCCACAGGACTCATCACATAGAGACACACAGACTCATTACTCAGAAACCCACAGACTCACGCAGAGACCCACAGGCGCACACAAAGGCCTATAGACTCATCACACAAAGAATCCACAGACTCACACATATCCATAGACTCACGCTTAGACCCATAGACTCACGCATAGACCCATAGACTAACATATCGACCCAAAGACTCACACATACCTATCACCACACCCCAGGTTTCAGAAGAAGAACCCACTGATGTTAGACCGACCGACCGTCCTACCGACCGTGGTTGTGCCCCTGGTGCAGGTGTGCCACGGGCGAGGCGTGGCAGGAGATCATGCTCGCCTGCATGCCCGGCCAGCGCTGCCACCCGGGGCTCGGTCTCCCGCGCCACGAAGCCTTCTCCTGCGGCTCCTCCTTCTCCGTCCTCTACTTCGTCAGCTTCTTCATGCTCTGCGCTTTCCTGGTGAGGAGCGAGCGCGGGCGGGAGGGGAAGGGAAGGGCAAAGCTCGGGCTGTAGGCGGCGGGTGGAATATGCACATTGAATGTGTCACTGAACGTGCTGAGAGTTTTGCCAGGAAACTGGATTAGGTGTCACGCGACTCTGAGCCACAGCCACTGCGAGCGGTATATGACTAAACTACTATTATATTTCGATTTAAAGCTTTCGTGACTGCAGGGATTTATCTTCTTGGTTCTTTCGATAAAGTCACGTAGAAGGGAAATAATAATAAAAATAAACATATTAAAATAATTCTCACGACGTTTCGGCCACAACGACCTGTCTGTCTGTCGGAAAGACACTGCGTTGTGGCCGAAACGTCGTCAGAATTATTTTATTATGTTTTATTTTTATTATTTTGTTATTTCCCTTCTACGTGACTTTACCGAAAGAACCAAGAAGATAAACTACTACTATTTTTATTTTACCAGGCAAAGCCCACTGAGCTACGTAGCTCTTTTTCAGAAGTGACCCGGCTGTCACAAATGATAACTCAACGGCGTGGCTTATCCACGTGGAAATGTATAGCAGCCAAATACTCTAAGACGCGTGGTGACGTTGATTCTAAATGCGGAGGGAAAGACCGGAGTACCCGGAGAAAAATCCACACGACCACAGAGAGAGAGACAGACACGCAAACTCCAAATATACGACAGGCGTCATCAGGGTCAGGATTGAACTCACGGCCTCCTGCATACCAGGCGAGGGAGTTAACATCTCCCAACCACCGCGGTGCCCTACTGGATGTGGTGTGCCGGGTGCAAAAATATTTTCAAAGTCGCCTACCCAGACATGCCAAGGTAAGGCAGCCGTGCTTTTGGCAAAGGTGAAAGACGAATTTCGGAGAAAGTTGATATCACTTTTTGTAACGAATCAACTCTATTTTTTTTTTGGGATGGTGGTGGGGGGGAGAAACGAATGGACAAAAACAAGAGAAGCCCGCGAGAGGTCGCCACGAGCGAGAGCGCCACGGTGCCAGACGGACGCGCCCAGCAGGCCTAGGACCGGCCATAGGGCAGCAGTCCGGTGGGCCGGTCCATTTCGAGGGCTGGTGGGCCGGTCCGTTTAGCAAATTGCAATTTTTTTTATCAGAGTCAAAAAGAAAGTAAAATATATTTTTGTTAATCAAACTATTTAACTCCCTCTAATGTGTACGCTTCATTGCTTACCAACGCTCTCAGTTGGCATTAAGTCCCCCAAGATATTCGGCAGCCCCAAAGATTATTTTTCGCCGGCGGCTCCCACCACCCCGTTTCCTTTTTTGGACCCAACTCTCTCTCCGCCGAAGCCCTCTCGTCGCGGCCAGCGGCAGCAGCGGTAGCAGCGGCGGCAGCAGACCTCGACATTGGCGTCGAGCTCCGGGCGCATCTTGCCGCCATCGTACGCCAGAGGTCGCTTTTGATTCCTTACCCGTACCCGGCCGCACCAGGGTCGCAAACGGGTACCCGTACCCTACCCGTACCCGTACCTGATTGCGACCTCTGGGATGAAGCCATGTTGCAGGCGCGGGTGGGTTGATTCTAGGAACTTAAATTGTGAGAAGAGACAAGACGTTGGGAAATGAGTGACAAACAGTTACTCACCAATGACTCACGGTCTACCCGTGCCCGGCCGCACCAGGGTCGCAAACGGGTACCCGTACCCGGCCGGGTACGGGTAGCCGGGTATCGGGTAGGGTACGGGTATCGGGTACCCGGTTGCGACCTCTGTCGTACGCAGCAATAGAAGCGGCGCGGCAAAGTCTCCAATTGCTCGCCGCTGCAGAGTCTGCCTCTGGGAACCATGGCGCACTGGAGTTTGGCTTTTGCGCAGGTCTTCACCACCGCGTGGGGGGACCGCGTGTTCACTTGCAGAACGGGTGGCCAGGTTTTGAGCGGAGGGGGGGGGGGCTTAGAAAATGATGGGAGAGAGAGGCAAGCAGGACAGAGTCACCGCACAAGCGACTGCCTTGCTCATCCGTTCACTCGCTCACAAAAAAACACCTCTGTTGGATGAGATTGGTCGCGAAAGCACACGTGTTAAACTGCTGAGGATCACCCGGGCCGGCTGCGTCCGACGGAAGAAAGTCAACGTTGCTCCGGTAACGGGAAATGCGTTTTGTGCGTCACGTCGCCGCCAGATCATCAACCTGTTCGTGGCGGTGATCATGGACAACTTTGACTATCTGACGAGGGACTGGTCCATCCTGGGGCCTCACCACCTGGACGAGTTCAAGCGGTGCTGGGCCGAGTACGACCCCGAGGCCACGTGAGGCGAATCACGAGTGAATCATTAGTGGATCGCGATTGGATCATGAGTGGATCATGAGTGAAACATGAGTTGATCATGAGTGAATCATGAGTAAATGATGAGTGGATCATGAGTGGAACACGAGTGAATCACGAGTGAATCACGGGTGAATCACGGGTGAATCACGGGTGATTCTCTAGTGAAACACGGGTGATTCACGAGTGAAACACGGGTGAATCACCAGTGAAAAACAGGTGAATCACGGGTGAATCACGGATGAATCACGGGTGATACACGGGTGAATCACGAGTGAATCACGGCTAATCTCGCACCTCTGATTAGCACGGTTGGATACGTACGGTGCGCAAGAAGTTAAACGTAAATACACGCGCAACCACTCACTTTACCAGCTCGATCACTAAACATCTCCCTCAACTAACTACCCGCTCGACCATTCCTAAACAAACTCGCTCGCTCCCTCATGCTCTCATTCGTACCGACGCGCACGCTCACACACACTGATCTCCGTGTTCCTTAATTCACTCGATCATTCATTCACTCAATCGCTCACTCAATACCACTCACGACCTCGCTCACTTAAAACCATTCGCTCAATCTTCATTCACACTGCAAGCTGACTCCCCTGTCATTACCTCCCGTGGCCACTAGTCCATTCACACTACAAGCTGACTCCCCTGTCATTACCTCCTGTGGCCACCAGTCCATTCGCACTGCAGGTTGACGGCTGTCATTAAATTCAGGTAATGTACAAATTCGAATTTTGGCAAATTTGGACCGAGACTCCAGTGTGCGCGCACACACACACCACACACTGGCCTGCTACTATTCTTGCCGAACGACTCCACCGGGGAACCGTAAGGTCCCCCTACGGGTGGAGGAAACTGCGGGGGGCTATCGCGTGATCACGCCGTAGTGCCGTCATTCGGTGGGGGCCGCCCTGCCAGATTCGAAAGACGCTGAACCTCTGCGGCGAGCGGGGCGAACTGCTGCTGTGCTACGGTCTGCCACGTATGGTGCGAAAGAAGTTCCAACACGGAAGGCATAGATCCCCCTCTATAGCCTTACAAGACTGTTGGAGCAAGTGCTGTTAGCGAGCACCTATGAAGGCCGGCACGGCACACGAGGGGGTGGGTGGCCAGCACCACGCCCGACCGCCTTTATCTCTCTAGTGGCGATGTTTACACACCGCACTAGGCACTAACTTGAGGCTGAGTCGACCTAGAGGAAGCGGTTAAAATAATCTTCACTGGTGTTGACCGTGATCGGGGAATGGAACTCGGGTCGCCGGGTTCGTAGCGCAGGGCGATAACCACTACACTACCGCTCCCCGTACGGTACGCACACCTACACACGTGTGCTCACCCTGTGAGGATCGCAGGGGCCGCATCAAGCACGTGGACCTGGTGATGCTGCTGCGTCACATCCAACCCCCGCTGGGATTCGGGAAACTCTGTCCCCAACGTGTCGCCTGTAAGGTGAGGGCCGCTCACGCGTGCACACACACACGCGCGCACACACGCGCACGCACACACGCGCGCACACACATCCATGCACACACGTGCACACACACGCACACACGTGCACACACGCACATGCACACACATACACGCACACACGTGCACACACGCACGCACACACGTGCACACACGCACATGCACACACATACACGCACACACGTGCACACACACATGCACGCACACACGTGCACACACACACATGCACACACATACACGCACACACGCGCGCACACGCACGCACACACGTGCACACACGCACATGCACACACATACACGCACACACATGCGCACACGTGCACACACGCACGCGCACATGCTCACATGCACAAAGACAAAGATCCCCCGTATAGCCTTAACAGACTGTAGGGGCAAGCGCTGTTAGCGAGTAGCACCTGTGAAGACCTGCACGGCACACGAGGGGGTGGGTGGCCAGCACCACGCCCGGCCGTCTTTGTCTCCCGAATGGCGGTGTTTACACACCGCACCAGGTACTCATTTGAGGCTGAGGTCAGGCCCACTGCGCTACTCAGCTCTCTTTTCAGAAGCGACCCGGCCACAAACGATAGCTCAACAAAAGTGGCTTATCATCACGTGGACATTTATAGCAGCAAAAGGCTCTGAACGCGCGACGTCGATTCTAAATGCGGAGGGTGAAACCCGCTGGACCCGGAGAAAAATCCACGCGACTACGGGGAGAACGCGCAAATATAGAGCCGCCAGGGTCGGCATCGAATCGAACGCACGACCTCCTGCCTATACCAGGCGAGGGAGTTAACATCTCGTCACCACCACCACCACCAGCGGTGGTGACTCGGCTCGGTGTGGACCTGTGCGCGTCTCCTCGCGTGTCAGAGGCTCGTGATGATGAACATGCCCCTGGGCGGCGACGGCACCGTCAGGTTCAACGCGACGCTGTTCGCGCTCGTTCGGACCTCGCTAAAAATCAAGACGGAGGGTGAGTGAGTGTGTGTGCGTGTGTCTCTCTCTCTGTGTGTGTGTGGTGTGTCATGTCATGTCGCTGGGTCATGTATCTCGCATGCTCAGCCACCGCATGCCTAAACAGCTTCTGTTTGGCCAGATAGAGGGGGCTTAACGGACGTGGCACATACTAGAGATGAGATGGAGTGATGTGGCACAAGATGATGTGGAGCTGAGTGGACTAGCTGATGGCCGTTACCAGCGGTGTCAAGATCGGCCTCTGTGGAGGAGGCTCGTGAAGGACGCTACTGGGCAGTTGGAGGCAGTCGCCCTCCAACAACAACGGAAGGCATAGGAGCGTGTGGTGTGCGTGTGGTGTATGTGTGGTGTGTGTGTGGTGTATGTGTGGTGTGTGTGTGGTGTATGTGTGGTGTGTGCGTGTGGTGTATGTGTGGTGTGTGTGGTGTGTGTGTGGTGTATGTGTGGTGTGCGTCTGGTGTATGTGTGGTGTGTGGTGTGTGTGGGTTCTTGCTAACGGCACTTGCCCCGACAGTCTGTTAAAGGCTATACAGGGGCATCTTTGTCACCGCACTCAGCCTCAAATGAGCACCTGGTGCGGTGCGGAAACATCGCCAGTAATGAAGACAAAGGCAGCCTGGCGTGGTGTTGACCACCCATCCCCTCGTGTGCCGTTCCGGCCTTCATAGGTGCTACTCGCTAACAGCACTTTCCCCAACAGTCTGTTATGGCTATACAGGGGGATTTTAAGCGTTGTGTGTCACTGCACTGTCAGTCATGGGACACCGCACTGACCGCCTGACGCCATCCTTCTGTTAAAGGCCAGCGTCATATTATGAAACGTCGACTCCATCCGTAACTCGTGCAGAGCAGAGCGGCCGCGTGGCCCTTAGGGGTGGGCAGTTGGGGTGGTCAACGAGGATGTGAAGCTGCGAGTGCTGCTGACAGACAAAGTCCGAGCGTGGAAAACGTTTCCCTCTATCTCGCAGCCTTTGCAGGAATGTCTCTCTCTCTCGGTCTCCTCTCTGCGTCCCTTCTCTGCGTCGTCTCTCCCCTCGCCGTCCACTCTCGTCCACGCGTCAGGCAACGTGGACCAGGCCAACGAGGAGATGAGGGCCATCGTGAAGAAGCTCTGGAAGAGAACCAACGTGGCGCTGCTGGACCAGGTCGTGCCGCCGGCCGGAGGTGAGCGTTCCACCGCGTGGCACCGCGGTGCCACCGCGCTACACCACGTGGCCCCGCGCTACACCACGTGACACCACGTGGCACCACGTGACACCACGTGCCACCGCGTGGCACCGCGCCACCACGTGGAGGGATTGTCACGGTGCGTGGCGCAGCGTCCGTTAATTCGAACGCCTTCGTTTCTGTGACCGTTGTGAACTGGGCCCTCTGCGGACACAGAACCGGCATTGCCACTGACCCAGGATGGGCACCACGGCACACGAGTGACCTGGACGTGCGTTGTGAGTGCGCGTGTGTTGGGGAGCGGTTCGCGCTACGCTGCGCTACGAACCCGGCGACCCAAGTTCGATCTCCCGCTCACGGCCACCAACACCGGTGACGATTATCTGAACCGGTCCTGGACCTCCCTTAGGTCGACTCAGCCTCAAATGAGTACCTGGTGCGATGTGTAAACATCGCCACTGGGGAAACAGAGGCGGTAAGGGCGTGGTGCTGGCCACCACACCCCTTCGTGTGCCGTGACGGCCTTCATAGGTGCTCGCTAACAACACTTGCCCCTACAGTCTGTTAAGGCTACATGGGGGGATCTTTGTCTTTCATAATCGAGGTTTTTTTGGGTTAGATTACGTAAATATATAAATGTTGTGTTGTTAAACCCGTCACCACCCGACACAGCCAATTAGTAAGATTTAGTGTCGCGTAAACAGAACATGCCAATTGGTTACGAGTACAGTAACGAATTGGCATGTTCAGATTTGTCAAATCTGGCTGTCGCCTCATGCAGCTGGTTGTAATTACTAGCGAAACGTCGTACTCAGATTGTAAATGTTGTGGCTTGGCTCTCCAACACACCGGTGTGCTGTACTAGTATACTCCACTATGCACTGCACTATACAATATACTACTATACACTACATGCTACACTATACAATATATTACACTATACACTACACTACTATACACAATACACTACATTATACACTAGTGCTGTCCTAGTATACTACAATACACTACACTATACACTACACTACAATACACTACACTATACACTAGTGCTGTACTAGTTACGAATTGGCACGTTCTGTTCACGTGACAACCCTCACTAGTTGGCTGTGTCGGGTGGTGGCGGGTTTAACGACACGTTCATATATTTACAAGATTGAACCCCAAAAGAAAACCTTTATTATGGATGACATTGGTCGCGGAAGCCCGACTACTACGTATTAAACTTTGTTTTGGTTTTTGTGCAACCCGGATGAGGTGAATGGAGACTCACGCTTACTGACCGGTTTTATGTTTTTGTTGACAACTTTATCCCGACCGTGCTATTGGCGTCACGTTACGAGACGGGAGAATCCGTTGAGGGCCACCCCCCCTCGTGTCTGGAGACCGGCCGCCACAGAAGCGGATATCGCAGAACTGCCTCCGAGACCCATTCCGGCGGCCTCTTGATTCGCGCTGCAGAGGGCAGCACTCCCCCGCCCGCCCAGCCCGCCCACGATGGTGACACTCAAAACAGTCCCTCGAAGTTTCGCGGGCTCAAATTTAGCCTCCCGCTCTGCCGCTAATGTCCATCACATGGCGGTCAAACGTCGCGCCCGAACATGCTGGGTCGGCGACGACGTCCCCACGTGACCCAGAAGACGAGGTTGACGGTTTACTTGCTCGCATTTTGTAAATTACTACTCGTAATCGCTTCGTTCTTTTGTGTGTTGGGTCAGATCGCCGTGCAAAGTAAACCGTTAGCGTGTCGTAAAACCCCTCCGCCACCCGGCGCAGTTGTCACGTGGTGAACAGAACAATGAGAAATCGCGCCGCTTTACCCCTGCCCCGGCCGCTCCGGGGCGTTGCTGGAGAGCGATCCACACGCATTGAATCGGAATCTTTATCGAGGCTGGAGGAATCCGAGGGGCTCTGAGGCTCTCCTTTCTTCAGAGACGTCCGGTTTCAGAGGTGGCCGAGCGATGGACGTGTCGCCCGTAGCTACAACCAGCATCGTCAGGCAGTGTGCCACACATTCCTTGTACTGTCTGGTGCTGCCGAAGCCGTAAATTAATCGGTCACGCGTTTGTTCGTCACGTCACAACTTTATTGATGGGCCGTGTCGGGTGGAGGAGGATGTAACGACAAAAGCGTTTTACTCACGGTGGCCGTCTGACCCCAAAAAAAAGTTTCACAAATCACAACGCCGGTCGCGAGAGGCCACATGCGCGTCTTCAATTAACGGTGTCGTTGCACGTGCGAGACAGATGACGAGGTGACGGTGGGCATGTTCTACGCCTCCTTCCTCATCCAGGACTACTTCCGAAAGTTCAGGCAGCGCAAGGAGCAGGGGACCTTCAGCAACGCCGTCATGCTGCGCGTAAACATGCTCCCACCTCCTCCTCCTCCTCCCCTACCACCACCTCCTCCTCCTCCCACACCTCCACCTCACACGGATGTTGTCGTGAAGCTCCCCCCTTTCCCCTGGGCGTCGAGGAGGAGCCGTGCGTGCCCTGGTTCGCCAGGAGACGGTGGTGATAGGCAGTGGACTAATCGTGTACGGGGATCGAGTGTTGCCCCCTCGCACGTGCCGGTTTTCTCCGGGTGTTTCTTTTTTTTGCCCACACGCACAAAACAACTCGTATATTGGCTGAAAACGTCCTAAAGTAAAAGCCCAATGCAGCAGCAGGACCCTCCTGAAAAAAGAGTCCGATGACTCTCGTGATTAATAAGTACATTTTTGGTTCTCTCTGATGGTTGCTGGGTAAACCCTGATGGTCGCTGGGTCCTGGCGGTTGCTGGGTAAACTCTGATGGTTTCTGGGCCCTGGTGGTTGCTGGGTAAACCCTGATGGTTTCTGGGCCCTGGTGGTTGCTGGGTAAACCCTGATGGTTTCTGGGCCCTGGTGGTTGCTGGGTAAACTCTGATGGTTTCTGGGCCCTGATGATTGCTGGGTAAACTCGGATGGTTTCTGGGCCCTGGTGGTTGCTGGGTAAACCCTGATGGTCGCTGGGTAAACCCTGATGGCCGCTGGGTTCTAACGGTTGCTGGGTAAACTCTGATGGTTTCTGCGCCCTGGTGGTTGCTGGGCAAACCCTGGTGGTTGCTGGGTAAACTCTGATGGTTTCTGGGCCCTGGTGGTTGCTGGGTAAACCCTGATGGTCGCTGGGTCCTGATGGTCGCTGGGTAAACTCTGATGGTCGCTGGTTCCTGATGGTCGCTGGGTAAACTCTGATGGTTTCTGGGCCCTGGTGGTTGCTGGGTAAACCCTGATGGTCGCTGGGTAAACCCTGATGGCCGCTGGGTTCTGACGGTTGCTGGGTAAACTCTGATGGTTTCTGCGCCCTGGTGGTTGCTGGGCAAACCTTGGTGGTTGCTGGGTAAACTCTGATGGTTTCTGGGCCCTGGTGGTTGCTGGGTAAACCCTGATGGTTTCTGGGCCCTGGTGGTTGCTGGGTAAACTCTGATGGTTTCTGGGCCCTGATGGTCGCTGGGTAAACTCTGATGGTCGCTGGGTCCTGATGGTCGCTGGGTAAACTCTGATGGTTTCTGGGCCCTGGTGGTTGCTGGGTAAACCCTGATGGTTTCTGGGCCCTGGTGGTTGCTGGGTAAACCCTGATGGTCGCTGGGTCCTGATGGTCGCTGGGTAAACTCTGATGGTCGCTGGGTCCTGATGGTCGCTGGGTAAACTCTGATGGTTTCTGGGCCCTGGTGGTTGCTGGGTAAACTCTGATGGTTTCTGGGCCCTGGTGGTTGCTGGGTAAACCCTGATGGTTTCTGGGCCCTGGTGGTTGAGAGTACCTGCTGGTGACCAGTCCGGGTCTCCTCCTCCTTCCTGCCGGCTGCTCCCAGGCCGGGCTGAGGAGCCGTCAGGAGTTGACCCCCACGGTGAAGCGAGCCATTTCAGGGACGATCCCGGGAGAAGATGACCAAGACAGCGCGGACGAGGAGATGGAGGAGGTGGGGGATGAGGAGGAAGGCCAGGCTCTAATGAGGGTAAGAGCAGCAGAACCGGCGTGGCCACCAAAGTGGCCTACAGAGGCTGTTGGGGAAGGTGCTGTTGGCAAGCACTCTACATACACAAGACAAAAATGCCCTGGATAGCCTATTACAGGCTGTACAAGAAGGGTGGGTGTAATAGGTGTGGGGAGTACAGGGCAGTCCAGAACAATCCATTGTGATCCTGCGGGCAAAGGCCCCCTGTAATCTTAACAGAGCGTCGCGGCAAGCGCTCTTTGCGAGCGCTCGTGAATGCCGGAATGGCGCACGGTGGGACGGGTGGCCATTACCACGCCTGGCCCCCATTGTCTCCCCAATGCTGATGTTTCGCCACCACACCAGTTACTCATTCAAGGCTGAGTCGAGCGAGGGGAGGGCCATGACCGATGTTGGCTGTGAGCAGGAATCAAACTCGGGTCGGTGGGTTCGTAGCGCAGTGTGCGCTGACCGCAACACTGACGCTCCCCGCATTGTTTTTCTGCGCGCACATACACACATCCCCTCCCCTTCACCGAGTCGCAATGACCAGCGTGGTGAAGTATGGTAAAAATAACTCTCACTGCACGCACGGCATGGGGAGGCCCTCCATCCGGCAGTGGATTGACCGTCGGGCTTTTGTTGATCTGCACCGAACACACACTAAATCGAAACTTAAAACTATTTTTTTTATTTAGGTAAGGCCCACTGGAGTGTATAGCTCTTTTTCAGGGGCGACCTGGCCATAAATGATAGCTCAACAAAGTGGCTTGTCATCACGTGAAAATTTATAGCAGTCAAATATTCTAAAAGCGTAATGTCGATTCTAAATGTGGAGGACCCGGAGAAAAATTCACGCCACCGCAGGGAGAGAGGCACATAAACTCCAAATATGCAGCAGGTGTCAGGATCGGGATCGAACCAATGATCTCCTGTACACCAGGCGAGGTAGTCAACATCTCGCCACCGCCCTGACGCGCGTGGCTAGTCACGAGACCATTGGCCTCCCGGTTCACTTCACCCTTTGTCGCAGGTCACGGCCGGCGGGGATCCGGAGGCGCGCCGGTCTGGCGATTCCGTGCCTCCAGCCCAGCGGAGGCCGCTGCTGCTGCCGCCGCCACCGCTGGCGCGGGGCCGGGTGCGCTCGCGGCCTCGCGACGGAGTCCTTCCACGCGGCCCCCGCAGGTCCCGGGCCCGGCGACCCAGGGCCGCCGCCGACGCCGCCGACGCCGCGGTCGTGGGGGGCGGCGGTGCCCCCGGCGAATCCACCGCGCGCGCCGGCGGCGGCGGAGAGAGCCGCGGGGCGGCAGGGACGCGAGCGGTGCCGCCGAGCGACGGAGATGAAGCGGAGATGACGTACCACCCCTCCTGGTCGCTCCGGGTCGCAGCGGCGCCGGGCGACCCGTGTCCTGGTCACGTGTAAGGGAGATGAGTCAGCTGATGAGTCGAGTTACTGGTGACGTTATAGGTGTGTGTTGGACTTCTTTCGCGCCGTACGTAGCCGACCACGCTAATCGGAGGTGCGGGGGAAGGACGACAAACTACACACAAAAAGCAGTTCTAAAGAAATGAGTTTTCAATTTAGATGATTTAGCTTCCAGTAGTTTTCTAATACCTGAAGGAAGAGCGTTCCAGACGGCCGCAGAAGCGCATCCTAAAGCGCCACGCGATGCGGTGCCCACCGCCGTCTTTGTTCGATGGCGAGCAGCCAAAAGCCGCCGCTGCAAAGATGAGGGCCGGAGTTCGCGTGGAGGGTCACGCGATACGATGGCCGACGGGCAAAGCCGACGGCGCCTCCCCGCCTGGACACTTTCCCGTCGCGTGCTTTTCCCCTGGGCCAGGTGCAGCGATATCCACGAGCCTGGCAGCGCATCCGGCGGGGGAGTGGTGGCGCAGGGGTTAGCACGCTGGGCTGTTGTGCGACCCCGCGGTCTGAGTGCGATTACCGGGCCGCGGCTAACACCGTTGCCGAGTAGCCCCTCGCCGACCCCGCGCCCGGCTCATCTCCGGCGCGCACCGTTCTGTGTCCTGGCCAGGCGTCTGCCAATTTAACAAAACAATCGCAGGAGTTTGCACCAGTTCCACAGTTTTGTTTTTCCACGGCAGACCACAATTCTTCACAACCGATGCGTCACGTGAACAAGTATTCGTTTGTTAGTTGCTATAAAGTGCTTCTGGAAATGTCGCACACCCACGGACTCCCAATTGTACCTTGACGGATGGAGCTCTTTGAATTACTAAACTATTTTTTTTATTTTACCAGGCATAGTTATTTTTCAGAAGCGACCTGGCTATCACAAATGATAGCTCAACCAAGTAGCTTATCATCATCATCATCATCACGTGTGAGTCTATGTATCTGTGTGAATTTATGTGTCTGTGTGTGAGTCTATGCGTCTCTGTGTGAGTTTATGGGTATCTGTGTGAGTTTATGGGTCTCTGTGTGGGACTATGGGTCTATGTGTGAGTCTAAGTGTGTCTGTGTGAGTTTATGGGTTTCAGTTTTAAAGTTTTCAGTTTATTGCTGTTTTTTTCTGGATTTTTGCGCATAGTCACTTTAAGATGTTTCTTGTTGATGTTGTTGATTGTTGCGATTGCACCCGATTCAAGAGCCGAATGGCTCACAGGGCTATACCTAATAAATGAAACTAAAAAAAAACTGAAAATGTGGAAATTCACGGCAGCCAAATACTCCAAACGCGTGATGTTGATTCTTAATGTGGAGGGAAAAACCGGAGGACCTGGAGAAAAATCCACGCGACCACGGGGAAAGAGAGAGACACGCAAACTCCACACATACAGCAGGCGTCAGGGTGGGGACCGAACCCACGACCTCGTGCATACCCGGCGAGGGAGATAACATCTCCTGGCCACCGTGGTGCCCCATCTGTTCTCGAGTCCGTCACGGGGAAGACAGGGAGATGAATGGGGGGGGGGGGGGGATGGCAGATACTGCATTAGCCTGAGCCACAGAACTCAAGTTGTGTGTCCCACCGCCCCATCACCAGCACCCCCCCCCCCCCCCCATTAAAAAACAAAGATCCCCCGTATAGCCTTAGCACCTAAGAAGACCGGAACGGTACACGAGGAGTGGGTGGCCAGGACCACGCCCGACCGCCTTTTTCTTCCCAGTGGCGATGTTTACGCACCACACCAGGTACTCATTTGAGGCCGAGTCGACCTACGGGAGACCCAGGGACCGGATCAGATAATCATCACCGGCGTTGGCCGTGAGCGGGAATCGAACTCGGGTCGCCGGGTTCGTAGCGCTAACCGCTGCACCACCGCTCCCCACGACACCCCCACCCACCCGCACGAGGCAGCACCGCGTGCCCGCGTTTGTCGTGAACTCGAAGTTTTCTGCCACCCCATGGAGGACGACGGCAGCCGCTGCGTGGTGCTGATCACACCCCCCCCCCCCTCCGCTCCCCTAGTGCGCCGCGCCGGCCTTAATAGGTGCTCGCTAACAGAATTTTGCCACCACCCCCCCCCCTTCTCCCCCGCGCCAGAAGTCTGTGTCAGCGATTGTGTGTTTTTTTTCTGATTGTCAGATAGAGTTGGCTGCCAGGTTGACCCGGAGCTTGCTGCGTTCCCGTTTGTCAGAATTCCCCTTAGGGGGGGGCCCGAGTGACAGTGGACACGCACATCGACCCGGGGCGTGCCAACCCGCCGACAGCGTTTGCGGGCGCGGCACGAATCGTTTTTAAATGTCACCTACAATTTGCACAATTTCATTTGTCGCCGAGCGCGGCCTCTTGACCTTTCCGCCGCAGGTATTCGACGCATCCTCGGGCTCGAGTTGACGTCGCTTTAAGCGGAGGCCGAGTGAAGTGGAGTCAACTCGAGTTGGTCGTCCTACGGACCCAAAGCACTGGCAGCTTGACAATTGTGCCACACACACCCCTGCCCCCTCCTGCCCCTTGCCTGTAAACAACAACAACAACAACGGCCATCGTTTTTTGACACTTAAGCGGCGGTGTGATGCCACGTCGGCGCTTGTGCCAGGCTAGGTGCACTTTTGAGGCCACGTGGAGTGTTGACAACTGGCTGCTGGCAGGAGGTCACGGGACAGGGTCACGTGGTATGGCTTGACTGACTGGGACGAATCGCAGGGGCGCCACCTGTGCTCCCCACTGTGACAGCTCGCCGTGTTTTAGCCGCACCTGCCTCTCCGCTCGTTGTTGTGAGCGTCGCTCCTCCTCCCGTTGTTTGTAGGAGGGCGACTGCCATCAGCTGCCCGGGAGCCTCAGCGTGCACCTAGCCTGGCACTGCCCAGTTGCATCCTCTGTTGAGCCTCCTCCCGCCGAGGTCAAGGTCCGTTCGAGTTGACTTTGTTGAACCGGGTGAGAAGAATCTCATTCGCAAGAGTCACCCAAAGTGAGGGCGATCTTGACACCGCTGGTACCGGCCGTCGGAGAGTCTTCTCAAGTCCACAATACGCACCGAGTCACACCGAGACGCTCGCCCATCTACCAACAACAACAACACCGACAACACAAACTCGCACGTTAAGAAGGTGGTTGTTTTTTTGCCGAACGGCCAGTGCCGGATTAAGCTAGTGCGGGGCCCTAAATAAAAAAAAACGTAAATATTAAAACACATAAATGTTTTACTTGCATAGTAAAGTAATTGTATTTTTTCATTTGCTGTTCAGCCAGATACTACGACGAATCGCTAACCCTAAACACCCAGCCGTTCATAAAAGTTGAAGGCGGTATAGTACTATAGTAATAGAGCAAGTGCAGAATCACTGAACCGGAATTGATAGCTTGAAAGCATTTAGCGCGGGGCCCTTGAAAGTGCGGGGCCCATAGCTACTAAATGTGTAGCTACTTGTGCTACTACATATGTAGCTATTTGTGCTACTACATAGCTACTACACGTGTTGTAGCTACTACACGTGTTGTAGCTACTACACGTGTTGTAGTTGTAGTAGCTACAACACGTGTAGTAGCTCCTACACATGTAGCTACTTGTGCTCCTGGGATAATCCGACACTGCGAACGGCCACAACAACGTGTTTGGTTTGATGTGCGGCGAAACGCTATTTGTGTAAAGGTGTCCTATTTCAGAATTTGCGTGGGAGAGAGGGGGTGGAACAACAACGGGGGGAGTCGTCGCGAACGATTCTGGCGAATCGAAGGGGGTGGGGGGGGAGGTTTGTATCGGCGCAGCGCGTTCGATCGCGATGGGAGACAAAAAACAATTGGCATTTGTAGGCGACATTTTTGTGTGTCTCACTCACGTGTTGTCCCCCCGCTGACGAGCTGTCCTCCGGACACAGCGTTGGATTTATATTTGTCCAGGGGTGGGGTGAGGGTGGAGAGAGAGGTGGGTGGGTGGGGGCGAAGCGGGGGAGGGGTAGGCAAGGTAAGGGGGGGGTCGGGAGTTTAGTGGCGTGACACATGGACTGGTGATGTGTGGGAGTTCCGAGTTGGTGTTGTGGCACCACCGCGTGAGAGCCCCGATGAGAGCCCAGGGATGCCTCTCATCCATGGGGGACATGAGGGACCCCCCTCTCTCATCCATGGGGGACCCCCCCCCTCTCTCATCCATGGGGGACACACAGAGACACACAACACAGACACACACAGAGAGACACACAACATCGACACACAGAGACACACAACATAGACACACAGAGAGAGACACACAACACAGAGACACACACAGAGAGACACACAACATCGACACACAGAGACACACAACATAGACACACAGAGAGAGAGACACACAACACAGAGACACACAGAGAGAGAGACAACACAGAGACACACAGAGAGAGACACACAACATAGACACACAGAGACACACTATTCACAGAGCTCCGAGAGCGCGCGCTGTATGTAGCCTTCGAAACCCCGACGGGGCCTTCGCACGACCCAGCGGCTCTTCTCCCCGGGGGTGTCTCTGCTGCACCAGCGTCAGAGCCAGACGACACTCGTGTCAGAAGGGGCTCGAGAGGTAACGAAGAGGCGATGGACGAGTCTCGATTGGGGGGGGGGTAGCCTCAGGGCGTATGATCGACCGGAGCGACGCAGGCACAAAGGACGAGAAGGCGACCGCGGGGTGTTCGCACGGTGAGGAATTCGAGCGCGGGGCGAATGTGAAACTCGCGAGCTGTAGGAAACATTAAACAGCATGTCGGGTGAGCATTGCTCCAAATAATGTACTTGCTTCATCGGTTAGATCGCGTAAATATAAATGTGTCGTTAAACCCGCCACCACCCGACACAGCCAATTAGGTAAGGGTTGTCACGTAGACGGAACGTGCCAATTCGTTACTAGTACAGCACCACACCGGTGTGTTGGAGAGCAAAGCCACAACGTTTACAAGCAGTGATTACAACATCAGGCGCACAGCAGGATCTGTTGAGACATCCTCCTCCTGTTTCGTTCCTTAAATAGAGGGGGTAGATGTGATGACATCACTTGTGAGCCCTTCTTGAGCGAAGTGGTGGGGTGTGTGTGGGTGGGAGATGAATAAATGCATATCAATGACAGTGGCTTTCCAGGATGAAAATGAACAAAAAATCATCTGAGAAGTGGTCAGTGAAGCACAGAGGAGAGAGGCCCTGTACGGAATTACACCGAGGGAGAGACACAACAACCACAACACAACAACAACAACACAACCACGGGGGTTTGGATAACAACACGGAACGCTGGGAACGCCGATGACGAAGACTCGTGGAAGTCTTTGTGGTTTTTTAAAATCCTTTATATTAAGTTCGCTTGCTTGCTTGCGTGCTTGCTTGCTTGCTTACGACTGTGCAAATTTTTCGGTCGTTTTTTAACCCACTTCCCGTGATCCAATCGAGCTGACATTTTCCACACAGACTCGTTGTGCGTGACAATACATTTTCGTGAAAAAAAAAATTCCCAAAATTTAAAAATATTTAATTACCAATTGCTTAATGCTGGCAGACAATCATCTGACCCATAGGTGGCAGCCATCTCAAGCCAGAGGACGAAAGTACTCTAGCCGCCACGCATATAAAGGATTTATAGTGAAAAACTTTGTTTTTACGGGTTATATTTGTTTCTCTTTCTGAAGGCTTCTGGGTTGCCCGAGCTCACAAACCGCCCCCTCTGCCCCCGTCACGTTTGAGGAATGAGGAGGCCTGCCCGGCTTTGATGCCTCTGGGCAGGGCTGTGCGCCCAGAGATCTGCGACTGCATTCGTCCAACCGGTTCCCGGTAATTATCCCCAAATCAACAACTTGCCATTCGCGTCTCTAGTACGTTGACGCATCATTCCTAACCATGACACGGATGTGTTGTTTTTGTTCTCGCGCACATCCCCCTCGTTCCCCTCTCTCGTTTTTTTACGATCAGTGGATACAAGAAGATGCTCGGTGTAGTCGGCACTTTGCTTCGTTCATAATTTCGTATTTTTTTTTTTACATTTTTAAACTTTGCTTTATGTAAAACCCCCACCTCTCGCTCACTCTCTCCCCTCTCATCCTTATCGGCCATGATCAATTTACTGCTTGATGACGACCCCCCCCCCAACCCTCCTGCACATCCCCTCGCTCCTTTGTCATCCTCATCGGCCATGATAAATCTTCTGCTTGATCAAGACCTCCCCAACCCTCCCCCTCGCTCTCCCCGCCTCCTCCTCGCTCTCCCCGCCTCTCACGAGCCAGCAGCGACTGCCTGAGCGGAGCGCGCTCATTGCGACGTTCGGCGCCCCATTCAACGCCCACTTCTGTTACAGCCCTTGCAGATCCGGTGGGTGGAAATTACACATTCCTATGGCGAGCCCGGAGAGTCCGCGGCCAGCAACAGCGATTTCGACGACTTCTTCCCGCACGGCCGTGGATTTATAATTCATCGACACCAAGACCATCACCGCCCCACCACGCAAGGCGAAGGGATTTTAACGTCAAATGATGATGGAGATGAAAAGGTTGGGACCGTGGTCGACGATGGGGATGGTGATGGTGGCGACGACGATGATGATGATGGTGATCCCGTCGCTGGCGACTCGGACACGCGACACGTGCAGCGGGAATTGCTCGCAACAGGTGAGTGCGCGTTAACAACGCAACAGGGGGCCATCAAAGACCAACGTTACCTTAGAGTCCAGGGGTCTGGCCCTGCCAAGGCAACCGCAGGCGGGACTAGAATTTCAACAAATCTAGGAGCAAACCTGGAAAAGCAGTTGGGAGTAGCAACATCATCAATACCAGCTAACATCACACGCCTCGCCAAAGAGAAGCAGTTCCAGCCATCGCATTAGGGGTGGGTTAATGAAATGTTTGACCAAATATAATGGGCTAATTTTTAAGTTGAATTAAATATTGTATGGCCCGCGAATGATGTTGTAAATATCCAAATGGCCCTTGGCAGAAATAAGGTTCCTCACCCCTGAGAGCTTAGAGCCTTAGACTCTCCGTGCTTGTTAGCGAACACCTCTATGAATGCCGCCACGGCCGCCCCCGTTGCCTTCCGAGTTGGCGACGTTTTTGTTTGTGTTTTACACATCGCACCAGGCACTCGAGGCTGAGTCGACCTAGGGGCTGAGTTCGCGAGCGGGAATTTGAACTCGGGTGGCGCCGGGTACGTAGCGCAGCACGCAAGCCGCCGCACCACCGCTCCGATTAGTTACAAAGACAAAGATCCCCCGTGTAGCCTTAACAGACTGCAGGGGCAAGTGCTGTTAGCGAGCACTTATGAAGGCCGGGACGGTACACGAGGGGGGGGGGGGTGGCCAGCACCACGCCCGACCGCCTTTGTCTCCCCAGTGGCGATGTTTACGCACCGCACCGGGTACTCATTTGACGCCGAGTCGACCTAGGGGAGGCCCAGGACCGGGGCAGATAATCGTCACCGGTGTTGGCCGTGAGCGGGAGTCGAACTCGGGTCGCCGGGTTCATAGCGCATCGTAGCGCAGCGTAGCGCAGCGTAGCGCTAACCGCTACACTACTGCTCCCCAATGAGGGACACACACACGTCCATACAAAGACGTGAACACACAACATGGTTTAGCCTGTTCTGTTCGCGCGCACCTATGAAGGTCGCAACGGCACACGAGATAGTCGGGTAGCCAACGAGACCACGCCCGGCCGCCTTTGTCTCCCCCAGTTCTCATGTTCCGTGTGTGTGTTCAAATCCAGCGGTCGGCGACAAAAATAACTAGAACAGTCATTTCCTTCGTCGGATTCGGTGAAACGCTCGCGATGTTTCAAGAGTTGCTGTACACCGCGTGGCGGGTCCTTAATAGATGACGCCACGAAGCAGTTCCTTAATGAGGCGCCCATGGTAAACAGGACTCCCATGGTAAACTGGACTCCCATAGTAAGATATATTTCCATGGTAAACTGGACTCTCATGGTAAACTGGACTCTCCATGGTAAACTTGACTCCCATGGTAAATGGTCCCATTTCCATGGTAAACTGGACTCTCATGGTAAACTTGACTCCCATGGTAAACTGGACACCCATGGTAAATGGTCCCATTTCCATGGTAAACTGGACTCTCATGGTAAACTGGACTCTCCATGGTAAACTTGACTTCCATGGTAAACTGGACTCCCATAGTAAGATATATTTCCATGGTAAACTGGACTCTCATGGTAAACTGGACTCTCATGGTAAACTGGACTCTCATAGTAAACCGGACTCCAATGGTAAACTGGACACCCATGGTAAATGGTCGGCAACCAAAACAACAAGAAGAGCCATTTTCTTTCGAATTCGGTAACCCCCCCCCCCCCCGACAACATGTCAAGAGCCAGTTCCGCAACGAGCCACCGCATGCGGCTCCCGGAGCCGCAGGTTGCTGACCCCTGACCCCCCCGTGACTGATATCACCTGCAACTAACGCGAGCCGTGGCAGGGGCTCGAACTCGGGTCCGCCGTGGTTCAGCAGGGCACCCTGCCTCACCTCCTCTGCGGGTATTGTTGGGAATTACAACGGACGTGTTTGCGTTGCCCAATAATCACCGTTGTTTCTTCTCTCTGCCTTCTGTCTCAGGGTCTCGCCTGCACTGTGGTCAAAGGTGAGTTGATCCAAGGCCACATCGTTTGGGAGTCTTGAATGCGTTGACAATAAAAGTAACTTGGACATTGTAATTGGATTGGCGGACGAAGGCAGGTCACGGGTAATCCCTGGTAACCACTCTGAAGATCGCCACGGTGGCTAGGAGATGTTAACTACCTCGCCTAGTATACAGTAGGTCGTGGGTTCGATCCCGACCCTGACGCCTGCTGTATATTTGGAGTTTGCGTGTCCAACTCTCTTATCATCATCACGGTGGCTAGGAGATGTTAACTACCTCGTCTGGTATATGGGAGGTTGTGGGTTCGATCCCGACCCTGACGCCTGCTGCTGTATATTTGGAGTTTGCGTGTGTCTCTCTCATCATCATCATCAAGGTGGCTAGGAGATGTTAACTACCTCGCCTGGTATACAGGAGGTTGTGGGTTCGATCTCGACCCTGACGCCTTCTGTGTATTTGGAGTTTGCGTGTCTTTCTCTCTCCACGTGGTCGCGTGGTTTTTCTCCACATTTATAAGCATATTCCAGGTGGTGATAATGATGATAAGCCACCTCATTCAGCAATCATTCAACCGTGTTTCTGGTTGCTTCACGTTTGGCACTGAAGGGTTGCTTGCTGTTGCGGCTTGCTCACTGATGTTGTGACTCGCTCACCCGCCTCTACTGCACATCTGTGTGAAAAACAGAGCTTCATAGCTCATCGGATTCCTCCTGCAGCCTAAATAAAGATTCTGATTCTGATGGGCCCTGGTGGCTCAGACGAGCTCTGAAGAATTACGATGGATTCTGGTCAGTCCCGGTCGGACCGCATGGTTCCGGGCAGGACTGTGTGGGTTCGGGATTGCGATGGATCGGCCCAGATGTCCCTCACGTGTCCCCACGCGTGTCCCCCACGTCTCCCTCCCGTGTATCTCTCCCACGTGCCCCCCACGTGTCCCCCTGTTTGTTTCCCACGTGTCCCCCCCGCGTGTCCCCCCCCCCCCCCACGTATCCCCCGTGTGTCTCCCCCACGTGTCCTCTACCACGTGTCTCCCCCACGTGCCCTCCACCACGTGTCCCCCCCCCCCTCCCGCATGCCCCTCGTGTGTCCCTCATGCAGGCTGCGAGTCTCTTCTGGGAGGCGACTTTCTGCCCTCGGGCCCACAGAATCTGCGCTTTGCCACCGTGCCCTCGGCCAACGGGACGGCGTTGGTGCTGAGGGTCGCGTGGAGCCTGCCCGTGGATGGTGAAGCCACGTCGTCATCATCATCGTCGTCGTCATCGTCATCATCATCGTCGTCGTCGTCGTCGTCATCATCGTCGTCGTCATCGTCATCATCATCGTCGTCGTCATCGTCATCATCGTCGTCTTCATCATCATCGTCGTCGTCGTCATCATCATTGTCGTCATCGTCATCGTCGTCATGATTGTTGTCATCATCGTCATTATTGTCGTCATCGTCGTCACCGTCATCATCGTCGTCATCATTATCGTCGTCTTCGTCATCATCGTCGTCATCATCATCGTTGTCATTGTCGTCATTGTCGTCATCGTCGTCGTCGTCATTGTCGTCATCGTCGTCGTCGTCATCATCATCATCGTCATCATAATTGTCATCATCATCGTCATCATTGTCGTCGTCATCATCATTGTCATCATCATCGTCATCATTGTCGTCATCATCATCATTGTCATCGTTCGCATCATCAGTAGCAGCAGCGTTATCAGCGCCATTATCATCAGCATCATTGCCATTTTAATTTTCAGCATCAGTGTCATCAAAGTCCTCATCATCATCGGTGTCGTAATCGTGATTAGAGTCATCATCAGGGTTGTCATCATCAGCAGCAGCGGCATTAACGTCATAATCATCAGTCATTGGCGTCACCATCTTCATTCGTATCATCATCAGCATCGTCAGTCATCACCATAATCATCGTCAGCGTCCTAACTGCTCCCTGTTCCTCATGGCATCGCCACACAGGTTACTAACTCGTGTGTCTCCTGTCCCCGTGTCTCCCATGTCCCCGTGTCTCCCACCCATGTCCCCCACCCATGTCCCTGTGTCTCCCATTCTCGTGTCTCCCACTCCTTTGTCTCACTATTCCATCCCCACGTCTCCTGGCCCCGTGTCTCTTGTCCTTGCTTCCTGCCCATGTCCCCGTGTGTCTCCTGCTCCCGTGTGTATCCTGCCCCCGTGTGTCTCCTGTCACTGCATGTCCTCCTGCGTCCCTGTGTTTCCCCGCATGTCCCGGTATGTCCTCTTGTGTCCGGTGTGTTCCCGGGTCCCCACGTGTCTCCGTGTGCCCCTCCGTGTCTCCGTGTGTCCCCGTGTGTCTCTGTGTGTCCCCACATGTCCCCCGTGCGTGCCGAGCAGCGAGTGTGCGCAGCGTGACGGGGTTCTGCGTGAAGGTGAAGATCCGCGACCGGCACGAGGAGGTCTCCCTGCGCTTCCCGAGACCCCCCGCGGAGCAGCGCGACCCGCAGGGGCGGCCGGTGAGCACGGAGGGGGGGGGGGTGTGGGAAGGGGGAAGGGGGGGCGGGGGAAGGGGGGGGGGCAAGTGACGCGCGTAGTCTTGCAAGCTCTAGGGCAGGGGCTGCACGCTGCACTCCCAGGGGGTGAGAGATGCCCTTTATGGAGGTGCGAGACATGGCCACATTTTTTTCGAAAGTAAATCATCGACAACACAAATTAAGCACGGGCACGTAAGTTACAATTAACTTTTTTTTCATCAAACCCTCTATGTATTTGTTAACATTGTAACACATTTTTTTTTACGATTGAGAACCAAAGGGTCGCAAGGCTGCAGTAAAGGTTAAGAACCGCTAAGAGCTGTAAGTGAGCTCCTATTTAGGCCAAACCAATTCACGACGGGGTAGTGAAGCCAGCACCATGCCTGGCCATCTTTCTCTCCGCCAGTGTGGTTTTAGGTAGGGGCGGTCCTGCACGGGCTCCATACTCTGTCCGTCTGCTACAGCAGAGGTGTAGAGAATTTCAACAGGATCTAGGATACGATCAACAGGCCAGTGCTGTGGGTTGTTATTCGTGCTTTCTGGGTCCCTGATTCTGATCACAATCATTAAGGACCTTCACCATGGTGGGCAGGCCTGGGTAAATCTGCGTAGTCGGGAGTCGGAGTCACTCCCTGTTCACGGTGGAGTGCGACAGGGACGTTCTCTGGCTCCTCCACTATTTAACATCATCTTTGAAATAGGTTCAGCAACTGTCCATGGCTTTACTGGAGGAATTTCTGTCTGCTAAGGATACAATGGGAGGCTGATAGATGCCCGGGTGCAATCCAGGGATGGCTTCCTACTGTTCTTCCACGTTATGTGATGTGGATGACCTGGTAACTATTGCTCACTCTGAGAAGGAGCTGGAGATGCCACCCTCACAGTAATCCCTTGGATGACAGAAACAGTGCCGACTGCCGACCCCAAAGCCAAAGATCTCCCGTGTAGCCTTCGTAGACTGTGGGGGAAAATGCTGCTAATGAGCACCTATGAAGGCCGGCATGGCACGCAAGGGCACGCGTGGCCAACACCACGCCCGGCCGCCTTTGTCTCCTCCAGTGGCGATGTTAACTGCACACCGTACCAGGTACTCATTTAATGCTGAGTCGATCTCGGGGAGGCCCAGGACCGGTTCAGTTAATCGTCACCGGTGTTGGCCATGAGCGAGCATTGAACTCGGGTCGCCGGGTTCGTAGCACCTCGGATTAGCACAGTCGGCTACGTACGGTGCGAAAGAAGTTCAACATACACACGCACATACGCAGCGCAGCACGCTAACCGCTACACTACCGCTATCCATACACACGCACATGCGCACACACACGCACGCTGTCTGTGACGGGACGGTCTCCGTTGAGTTGCCCGCGTCTCCGTGCCCCCTCGTGTTGCCCGTCGTGTCACAGTGGAGCTTCACGTACTCGTGTTTCTCCGTGAGGCCCGGGGACTTTGTGTACGCGAGAGTCCACAGCCAGCCGTACGTGGAGAGCGCCAGCGCCAACTACACCGTGCCAGGTACGCTCGCCACCACACAGCCTCGCCAGCGCACCCCCCTCCCTCCCCCCATCGTGCTGGGAACATGCGTGGGCAGAGATTGTACACGGAATCAGACTCACGGCTGGGTCAGACTCACGGCTGGGTCAGACTCACGGCTGGGTCAGACTCACGGCTGGGTCAGACTCACGGCTGGGTCAGACTCAAGGCTGGGTCAGACTCAAGTCTGGGTCAGACTCAAGGCTGGGTGAGACTCACAGTTGGATCAGACTCACGGCTGGGTCAGACTCAAGGCTGGGTGAGACTCAAGGCTGGGTGAGACTCAAGGCTGGGTGAGACTCAAGGTTGGGTCAGACTCACGGCTGGGTGAGACTCAAGGCTGGGTGAGACTCAAGGCTGGGTGAGACTCAAGGTTGGGTCATACTCACGGCTGGGTCAGACTCACTGCTGGGTGAGACTCACGGCTGAGCTACACGAGGTACAATCCCGGGGTTTTAACGCGATACCTGTGCTAGATCAAGGCAGGCAGCATTGATCGTACCTCTGTCTTTCTCTCTTCACAGTTTGTACTGACCCGAAACTTAGGAAGTTACCAGTCTGCAATAGTACGTACAGCACACACCACTCACTGTACATACACATGTACACACTTGCGTGTGTGTCTGTATACGTGTGCCAGCATGTCAGCGGTGGGGAGCGCTGGCGCAGTGGTTAGCGGACAGCACTACGAACCCGGCGGCCCGAGTTCGATTCCCGCTCATGCCCGATGAGTGTGAATATTTCAACCGATCCTGGGCCTCCCCTAGGTCGACTCGGCCTTAAGTGAGTGCCTGGCACTGCGTGTAGACTTCAGCACAGGTCAGAGACGAAGGCGGCCGGGCGTGGTGCTGGCCACTGACCCTCTCACAGGTGCCACTCGCCAAGAGCACTTGCCCCAATAGTCTGTGCTGATAACCCGTAACACCTGGGTCTGTCCCCATGACCTACCAGCGAGCCTTCATGCGATGGCCACACGTGCACCTCGCCTCGCACAAGCACCGAAGGGGTGAGGAGGGAAGGGCCATGGTCGGCAGTTGCACCCCCCCCCCCCCCCCCTTGAGAACCCAACATTTGGGATGTTTTTGATATTTACCGGAGACTATACATTGAACGTTTTTGATGTAGGTTAAACTTCTTTCACATCGTACGTAGCCAACCATGCTAATCAGAGGTGCGCGGGGGGTGGGGGAAGAACAACAAAAGAAACGCAACAACAAGCAGTTCTAAAAGGAATGAGTTTTCAATAAAAAAATTAGTTTTTAATCGAAAATTAGTGTTCAATCTAGGGCAATGTTTAGAAAGCCTTGAAATATCAGGGCCGTCGCAGAGACGAGGATATGTTATCCCCCGTGCCTGGCGCGCAGGAGGTCGTGGGTTCGATCCTGGACCCTGACAGCGCCTGTTGTTGTATATAGGGTGCTTCAAAAAAATCTGAACACTTCGGAGAATTTGTGCCTCCGGGCTCTGGAGACCACCTGGAGAAGATTCCAGGCCACGCATAGACAATGATGGCGAACGAGTGGAGAGACTCTTTGACTATTTGAAACTGTTAACATACATTTGCTATCATGTTACAGTGTATATTATCCGTTCTTTTCCATTAAAAACGAAAGTCCCATATAAGTGTTAACATTGTTTTGAAGCACCCTGTACTTGGAGTCCACGTGTTCTCTCTATCTCCCCATGGTGGTTTTGTCCCCCCCCAACTCCACATTCAGAATTAACGTCACGTCGCCCTTAAGTTTATTGGCTGCTACTGTAAATCCCCAGGCGTGATGGTCACATAAGCCGAGCTGTCATTACGTGTGGCCAGGTCGCCTCTGAAAAAGAGCCAGTTCATTTGGCGGGCTTAACCCGGTGAACAGTCGGACTGCCTTCACCGCATGTATAACTTTCTAGATTTGACTCTTGAGTCGCGGCGGCTTTTGGCTATCCATAGCAACAAAGACGGTGGTCACCGCACCGCACCGCGCGGCGCTTTCAGATGCGCTGCTTCAGCGGCCGTCTGGAACGCTCCTCCTTCCGATGTTAGGAAGCCACCGGGAGCTATGCACCATTAAATCATCCAGATTGAAAACGAATTAAATCAGAACTACTTTTTGTGTTTAGTTTGTTGTCCTTCCCCCGCGCGCACCTCCGATTAGCGTGGTTGTCTACGCGCGGTGCGAAACAAGTTCAACGGACATACGTACGTTCGTCCCGTGCACCGCACCGGCCTTCATAGGTGCTCACTAACGGCGAGCCTGCGTAGGCCCACAACGGGTGGCGGTTTGATTTCTGTCTTCGTGTGCGGTTTGGGGCAGAGTGGACGGCACTCGTCAGCCTGGCCGTCAACGCGTCACCGGGACGCTTGCTGGTGTCCTACCAAAGCTTGGACCCTCGCCCGGAATACAACGTGCGGCTGTGCCACCTCACGTTCGCCAACTGTGCCGACTTGGCACCCGTGAGCACCACCTCCCCTCATCACAAATGATAGCTCAATGGGGAAGTGGCGGCTTTGCATCGCGTGGAAATTTATAACAGCCGTATACTCTTAAACGCGTGATGTTGATTCTAAATGTGGAGGGGAAAAAACCGGAAGACCCAGAGAAAAATCTACGTGACCACGGGGACAGACAGAGACACGCACACTCCAAGTATATACAGCAGGCGTCAGGGTTGGGATCGAACCCACGACCTCCTGTATACCAGGTGGGGGAGTTAACATCTCGCCGATAAGCCCACTCGTCAGAACGTTCCATCTTCGTTGTCTTCGTAGTCTGAGTCACACTTTGCATGGCGTCAGAGGGGAGGTGGCTGCGCAGATTTCCTTTCCTGCGTGAGCTCTTCTCGAGTCACAGGCCACGGTGCTTTCACATACAGCCCAGAGGCTTGGAAGCTAGGCCATGATCACCTAACGTAGAGCCCAGAGGCTTGGGGACTGGGCCGTGGTTACTTAACGTAGAGCCCCAGAGGTTTAGAGACTAGGCCATGATCACTTAACGTAGAGCCCCAGAGGCTTGGGGACTCGGCCATGGTCACTTAACGTAGAGCCCAGAGGCTTGGGGACTAGGCCATGATCACTTAATGTAGAGCCCAGAGGCTTGGAAGCTAGGCCATGATCACCTAACGTAGAGCCCAGATGCTTGGGGACTGGGCCGTGGTTACTTAACGTAGAGCCCCAGAGGTTTAGAGACTAGGCCATAATCACTTAACGTAGAGCCCCAGAGGCTTGGGGACTGGGCCTTGATCACTTAACGTAGAGCCCAGAGGCTTAGAGACTAGGCCATGATCACTTAACGTAGAGCCCCAGAGGCTTGGGGACTAGGCCCTGGTCACTTAATGTAGAGCCCCAGAGGCTTGGGGACTAGGCCGTGGTCACTTAATGTAGAGCCCAGAGGCTTGGGGACTAGGCCATGATCACTTAACATAGAGCCCCAGAGGCTTGGGGACTCGGCCATGGTCACTTAACGTAGAGCCCCAGAGGCTTGGGGACTAGGCCGTGGTCACTTAACGTAGAGCCCCAGAGGTTTAGAGACTAGCCCATGATCACTTAACGTAGAGCCCAGAAGCTTGGGGACTGGGCCTTGATCACTTAACATAGAGCCCAGAGGCTTAGAGACTAGGCCGTGGTCACTTAACATAGAGCCCCAGAGGCTTGGGGACTTGGCCATGGTCACTTAACGTAGAGCCCAGAGGCTTGGGGACTAGGCCATGATCACTTAACGTAGAGCCCAGAGGCTTGGGGACTGGGCCTTGATCACTTAACATAGAGCCCAGAGGCTTAGAGACTAGGCCGTGGTCACTTAACGTAGAGCCCCAGATGCTTGGGGTCTCGGCCGTGGTTACTTCACGTAGCGCCCAGAGGCTTGGGGACTAGACCGTGGTCACTTAACGTAGAGCTCCAGATGCTTGGGGACTGGGCCGTGGTTACTTCACGTAGCGCCCAGAGGCTTGGGGACTAGGCCGTGGTTACTTAACGTAGAGCTCCGAAGGCTTGAAGACTGGGCCGTGGTCACTTAACGTAGAACCCAGAGGCTTGGGGACTAGGCCATGGTCACTTAACGTAGAACCCAGAGGCTTGGGGACTGGGCCGTGGTCACTTAACATAGAGCTCCTAAGGCTCGAAGACTGGGCTCTATTCACGCGCTGGCATTTCAGAATCAGAATCTTTATTAAGACTGCAGGGGCAATCCAAACGGAGGGGTGAAAACGCTCGCACGGTCGTTGCCTCCCGCAGATTCGGACCCTGACAGGGAGCAGCAATTCGAGCGAGTTCATCATAGAGCAAGCCATGCCCTGCCTCTGCGTCGAGGTGAGACGATGGTGGGGGTAGTGGGGGTGGTGGTGGTGGCGGCGGTGGTGGTGGTGGCGGCGGCGGTGGCGGTGGTGGTGGTGGTGACCGCTCCCGCTGCGTTCCCACGGCCCTTCGGATGCCAGACCCGTGCCGTGCCGGCCCTATTCACGGCCTGGCCCGGCTCTCATTGCTTCAAGAGCCACGTGGCACTGTGCTAAAACCGATGAGCTATCAAGCTCTTTTTCATAAATGTCCAGAAGGGACCGGGGTCAGAACGTTACGACAACAAACAGTACAAAAACACGATAGGAGTGAAGTATAGGAAAGATAAACAAATCACTTAAACATATATATACACAAGAAAAACGCAACTATTTTTATTTTACCAGGTAAGGCCCCACTGAGCTACGTAGCTCTTTTTCAGAAGCGACCTGACCACAAATGACAGCTCAACGAAGTGGCTCATTGCGTGGAAATTTATAGCCGCCAAATACTCTAAACGCACGTTAATTCTAAATGTGGAGGGAGGACCCCGGAGGGCAATCCACGCAATCACCACGGGGAGGGAGAGAGAACCCACGCTCCCCACCTGTTCCATAGGCGGCGGAGTGAGTGGGCACTTGCGGGGCTGCGCCTTTGCCTTTAGACGCATTTCGTGGCCGTGGACGAGGTTGTGTTTTACTCCTCGCGGTTTCAACTCCGGCTCTCTGTGCGTGTGACTGCGTGCGCGTGTAAGTGCGTGTGAGTGTGTGCGTGTGAGTGTGTGGCGGTAGTGTAGCGGTTAGCGCGCTGCGCTACGAGCCTGCCGATCCGGGTTCGATTCCCGCTCATGGCCAACACCAGTGACGATTTTCTGAAGCGGTCCCGGGCCTCCCCAAGGTAGACTCAGTCTCAAATGAGTACCTGTTGCGGTGTGTAGTAAACATTGCCACTGGGGAGACAAAGGCGGCCAGGCGTGGTGTTGGCCACCCACCCCATCGTGTGACATTCTGGCCTTCATAGGTGCTCGCTAACAGAACTTGCCCCAACAGTCTTTTAAGGCTATACGGGGGATATTTATCTTTGTGTGTGTGTGTGCCCAGGTCTACGCTACCAAGGAGAGCTCGTTGCGAGTCCGGAAATGTCCCTTTGAGAATGGTGAACGCGCATGCACATGCACGCACGCGCATGCACATGCACACACGCACGCGCATGCACGGTCATTCTCTTTCCACTGCTCGTGTTGTAAACCACCCTGAATTGAGGAAATCTATTCGCAAGAGGAGAGGGAATGGGAAACTTCGCAGGAAATAGGTTCATAGTAACCCGCTTGCTGTATTGATATGACTTTTTTTATTTTAAGGCCACTGTTGTTGATGAGAGCTTTGAGCTTTCAATGTATGTACAGCATGTTGGAACTTCTTTCGCACCGTACGTAGCATGCCAATCGGAGGTGCGGGGGAAGGACAACAAACTAAACACAAAAAGCAGCTCTAAAGAAATGACTTCGTCAATCTAAATGACGATTTAACAATGCCGTAGCTCCAATGGCTTCCGAATATCGGAAGGAAGAGCGTTCCGGACGGCCGCCGGAGCGCATCTGAAAGAGCGTGACGCGGTGACGACCACCGTCTTTGTTCGCTGGCTGAGCCAAAAGCCTCCGCTGCTGCTGCAAGGATGACGAGCGGAGTTGGTGTGGCGATGGCTTATAGCCCCTTGGCTACTCATTTGTGGCGCGCGCGTATCATGAGCGCGACCTTGTAACGTGTCCGTTCGGCAACACGGAAGCCAAAAGAGCTCAGCGAGCACCGGACGGACACGACGGATGATGACAACGACGGCGACGACAACGACGACGACGATGACAATAACCGTGGGGTTGTCCTTGCGGTGTCGGCTTGCCGCAGTCACGGCGGAGTGGGGGGCGTTGCGTCTGAGCCGGGCGCCGGGCGGCGTGATTCTGCGCGCCGACGGGCTGCTGCGCAGGTGCATGTACGAGGTGCGCGCCACGTTGCTGGTGCGACGGGGAGGGCGCGACACGGCCATGGACAGCGCCACCTTCAAGGAACTGGTGAGGGGATCGTTTCGTCACCGCTGGCGGCGGCGGCGGCGTGGTCGCGATCGTCGATCGTCGTAATGATCGCGATCATCGTCGCCGTTGCCATCGTCATCATCATGAATGTCATCGTCACTCGTAGTACCGGTTTGTCTGGGTTAGATCGCGTAAATATAAATGGGTCGTTAAACCCACCACCACCCGACACAGCCAATTGGTTAAGGTTTGTCACGTAAACGGAACGTGCCAATTCGTTACTAGTACAGCACCACACCGGTGTGTTGGAGAGCAAAGCCACAACGTTTACAATCTGAGTACGACGTTTCACCAGTAATTACAACCAGCATCATCAGGCGACAGCCAGATCTGTGGATAAATGCTCCTTGTTCGTTCCTTAAATAGAGGGGTAGATGTGATGACATCACTTGTGAGCACTTCTTGAGTGACGTGAGGGGGGGGATTAATGAATGCTTATAAATGACAATGGGTGTACAATACCGGTTGGGTTATTTATATGGCAATCAACGTACAATATGCATGTGTATATTATACAAGCCGATTGTTCTTGTACCTCCTGTCGAGTGTGTGCACTAAAATAGCAGTACCTGTCATTGTTTGTTCAACGGTAATCACCATCGAAGTATGGTGACCGATGCAGGTCACCATGGACTTGTGTCGTGGTTCAATACGCGCCTGCGCAGGGACAGCTACCCAACAGGGGGTCCCCTGGGCAGCATAACAAAAACAGACGGGCATCGGAGTGGTTGGCACGAGTTGTGGAGATGCATCAGTGTGGTTGGCGTGAGTTGTGGGATGGCATCAGAATGATTGGCACGAGTTGTGGAATGGCATTGGAGTTGTTGGCATGAGTTGTGGAGGCTCATCAGAATGATTGGCACGAGTTGTGGAGGGGCATTGGAGTGGCTGGCATGAGTTGCCGTGGCATCTCAGCCAGCGCCCTGCAAGCGCACACGCTGCGTGCCCACGTGATGTCTTCTCTATCACCTCCTCGCCTCCCCCCCCCACCCCCGTGGCTCCTTGCGGCCCCGCTCTGTGCGCCCTCCCGCCGTCACCTCCCGTCTCGGCCCCCGGGGAACGCGGAGGAATGAGTTCGAGTCCCCGTCTGATGCGAGCGTCCTTCCCCCTCCCCCCTCCCTCCTCCTCCTGTTACCAACTTCTTCTGTCCTCACCAGGAGAGCGGCTCCATCACCCACGAGTTCCCGCTGAACCCCGGAGTCGGGGACCAGGGGGAGATATGCGTCATGGTGAGTGAGACGCGTCATCATCGTCATCGTCGTCGCTGTCATCGTTGTCGTCACCATTATCATCATCGAAGTTATGCAAGTGTATAGGTCTCTGTAAGTGTATAGGTCTCTGTAAGTGTATAGGTCTCTGTAAGTGTATGAGTCTCTGTAAGTGTATGGGTCTCTGTTAGTGTATGGGTCTCTGAAAGTATATGAGTCTCTGTAAGTGTATGGGTCTCTGTAAGTGTATGGGTCTCTGTAAGTGTATGGGTCTCTATTAGTGTATGGGTCTCTGTAAGTGTATGGGTCTCTGTAAGTGTATGGGTCTCTGTAAGTGTATGGGTCTCTGTAAGTGTATGAGTATCTGTGTAGAGTGACTAAGGGATGGTGTAGGAAAGGCGCTGTTGCCCAGGGCTGTTCCTGGCCCAGCAGCAGCCGTGAGAATGCGGCCTTGCCGTGGGAATGTTGCGTGGCCAGACTCTGGTTCAGTGGGTGTGAGCTCGCTCGCTCGCTCGCCTGCTCAACGTGATTTATCGTCTCTCCACCCCCCTCCTCCCACCACCGCTGCCACCTCAGCTCGAGGCGGACAAATTCTACGCGCCAAGCGAAGTCGTGTGCGGTGAGTCGGCGCTTTCTTTCGCAATCGGTCGCCGGTGGGCATGAGGAATTCTTTTGCACGTACGCACGTGCGCTGCGCGTTTCGTAGAACCGCACGTACGTACGCGCGGTTCTACGAAACGTAACTTCGCATCGGTGACATGGCTCACGTCGATGGCGAGTGAGATCGCGATATCGGTCCCGGGCTGCTGCCTTCCCCCCCCCCCCCCCCCCCCCGATGCCACCCGCCGCTTTCATCAACCGGCACTGACCAGCGTGGTGAAGTACGGTCAGTCGTCGGTCACGACTGACACGGGTCGGGAAGGCCTTCATCCAGCAGTGGCACGACAAAGGGTGTTGATGACCATAACGTATCGGTGAGGATCTAACGAAGATGTCGATGACGTTAAAGGTGATGGTGGTGATGATGAAGGTGGCAGTGAGGATGACGGTAGTGAAAACAATGATATTGATGATAACGTAGGCTTTCGCGACCAATATCATCCATAATAGAGTTTTTTTGGGTTAGATCGCGTAAATATACAAATGTGTCGTTAAACCCGCCACCACCCGACACAGCCAACTAGTAAGGGTTGTCACGTAAAAAGAACGTGCCAATTCGTCACTAGTACAGCGCACCGATTGTGTGTTGGAGAGCAAAGATTGTAAATGTTGTGGCTTTGCTCTCCAACACACCGGTGTGCTGGACTAGTAACGAATTGGCCACGTTCTATTTACGTGACAAACTTTACTGATTGGCTGTGTCGCGTGGTGGCGGGTTTAACGACACATTTACATATTTACGCGATCTAACCCAGACAACCTGTATTAGGATGATGCTAATTATGGGTTTATGACGGTGAAATTGAAGACGGCAATGATGATGATGATGAAGCTGATGAACACGGTGGCTTTGATGGCGATTATTACGCCAAAGATGAAAATGACGATGTCGTTCTTCCACATCTCCACCCCCCACCCCGACTCCCCCCACCACTCCCCCCACCACTCCTCTCTCCCTGTGCTCAGTGCCGCGCTGGCGTTGGGTTCCGCTGCTGGCGCTGGGTGCGGTCGTGCTCGTGGGCGCCCTGCTCACCGCACTGGGAGCCTCGCTGGGCCACGCACGAGGACGTAAGCCGCTCACTCACCCCGCCACTCACTCACCCTGCCACTCACCCACCTTGCCATTCACCCACCCTACCACTCACCCTGCCACTCACCCACCCTACCACTCACCCACCCTGCCACTCACCCACCCTACCACTCACCCACCCTACCACTCACCCACCCTACCACTCACCCACCCTGCCACTCACCCACCCTACCACTCACCCACCCTACCACTCACCCACCCTGCCACTCACCCACCCTACCACTCACCCACCCTGCCACTCACCAACCCTGCCACTCACCAACCCTGCCACTCACCCACCCTGCCACTCACCCACCCTACCACTCACCCACCCTGCCACTCACCCTGCCATTCACCCACCCTACCACTCACCCTGCCACTCACCCACCCTGCCACTCACCCACCCTGCCACTCACCCACCCTGCCACTCACTCACCCTGCCACTCACCCACCCTGCCACTCACCCACCCTACCACTCACCCACCCTGCCACTCACCCACCCTGCCACTCACCAACCCTGCCACTCACCCACCCTACCACTCACCCACCCTGCCACTCACCAACCCTGCCACTCACCCACCCTGCCACTCACCCACCCTACCACTCACCCACCCTGCCACTCACCCACCCTGCCACTCACCCACCCTGCCACTCACTCACCCTGCCATTCACCCACCCTACCACTCACCCACCCTGCCACTCACCCACCCTACCACTCACCCACCCTGCCACTCACCAACCCTGCCACTCACTCACCCTGCCACTCACCCACCCTACCACTCACACTGCCACTCACCCCGCCGCTCACTCACCCTGCCACTCACCAACCCTGCCACTCACCCACCCTGCCACTCACTCACCCTGCCACTCACTCACCCTGCCACTCACCCACCCTGCCACTCACCCACCCTACCACTCACCCACCCTGCCACTCACCCACCCTACCACTCACCCACCCTGCCACTCACCAACCCTGCCACTCACTCACCCTACCACTCACCCACCCTGCCACTCACCAACCCTGCCACTCACCAACCCTGCCACTCACCCACCCTGCCACTCACCCACCCTACCACTCACTCACCCTGCCACTCACCCACCCTACCACTCACACTGCCACTCACCCCGCCGCTCACTCACCCTGCCACTCACTTACCCTGCCACTCACCCACCCTGCCACTCACCCACCCCGCCGCTCACTCACCCTGCCACTCACTCACCTTGCCACCCACCCTGCCACTCACTCACCCCGCCTCTCACCCTGCCACTCACTCACCCTGCCACTCACCCTGCCACTCACCCTGCCACTCACCCTGCCACTCACCCTGCCACTCACTCTGCCACTCACCCACCCTGCCACTCACCCACCCTACCACTCACCCACCCTACGACTCACCCTGCCACTCACCCTGCCACTCACTCACCCCGCCTCTCACCCTGCCACTCACTTACCCTGCCACCCACCCTACCACTCACTCACCCTGCCACTCACCCTGCCACTCACTCACCCCGCCTCTCACCCTGCCACTCACTTACCCTGCCACCCACCCTACCACTCACTCACCCTGCCACTCACCCACCCTGCCACTCACTCACCCTACCACTCACTCACCCTACCACTCACTCACCCTGCCGCTCACCCACTCTGCCACTCACTCCACCTCTCACTCACCCTGCCGCTCACCCACTCTGCCGCTCACCCACCCCATCGCTCACCCACCCCGCTGCTCACCCGCCCCGCCGCTCACTCACTCAATCCCTAACTCTCCCTTCCACTCGCCCTGTGCGTGGGGGGGGGACGTCCAACCAACGTAGGGAGATGGAGCTACAACATGGCTACAACATGGTTACAACATGGCTACAACATGGCTACAACATGGGCTTGCGTGCCTTTGCCAGGAGGTGGATTGTAGCAGAGTCGCGAGAGGCAGGTGGTGGCGGTGGTGGTGGGGGCAGCTTGGGGAGACCTCATCCAGCAGTGGACTGATTATGGCTGCTGCTGATGGTGATGATGGTGATGGTGGTGATGATGATAATGGTGGTGATGATGGAGACACCTGCTAACCCGGTGCTACTTTCTCTCTGTCTCTCGCTTTTTTTTCCGTCGCAGGATTTTTTGGAGGCGCCAAAGAAAGCCGAATGGGTGAGTGTACATGTGTGTGTGTGTACGTGTGGGTATTTGTGTACGTGTGTGTGGGTATTTGTGTACGTGTGTTGTGCGTGTGCGTACGTGTGTGCGTACGTGTGGGTATTTGTGTACCTGTGTGTGCATACGTGGGGGTACATGTGCGTATGTGTGGGTACGTGTGTGCGTGTTAGTGTGTGTACTTGTGTGTACGTGTGCGTGTGTGTGTCTGTGTACGTACGTAAGTACGCTGAACGTCTTTCGCACCGCCGCGCGCGTAGCCAACCGCGCTCATCGAGGGGTGTGGAGCGAGCCACTTGAACGACGATTCCGTTACCCCCCCCAACCCCCCGGCGACGAGTCGTCACGACCGTGCGCACCGCCGCCATCGCCGTCGTCGTTCAAGGGAAGTACTACACCAACCCCTCGTTGTGAAAGGGCCGACGCCAGGAGATCCCCCCGGGGTTTTGATCTTCCACGAGGCCGATGCGTGTGCCTGACGCCGCGCAAGCAGAACTTTAAAAACCTGCCGGTAGCGTGCGACCGTAGTCGTCCAGAACGTGCGTTGTGAAGATCGGTCGAACCGGAGTAGCCCAGCTGACCAATAGATGCCACGGCTGCCCCATTGATAGCACGGGGGTAATCACACGCACGCACGCACGCACGCCGGAACGCTCTGTCTGGCCGCGTGTGCGTCTCTCTGTGTATCCGTGCATGTCTGTCTCTGTGTATCCGTGCCTCCGTGTGTCTGCCAGTCGCCATGTTGTCCGTCTGTGTGTCTGTACCATCGGCGATGACGAGGGGTTTGCGATGTTTGTGCCCCGCTTGCTTTGTGCCGAGAGATTACATTTTTTTTTATCCCAACTCATCACCTCAATACGTTGGAAAGGGCACCCCCCCCCCCCCCAGCAGCTGCTGTGTGTGCGATACCAATTGAGTAATTTGCGGTGTCATTTTTCGAATGCTGGGGATGACGTCGGGGTGGGACCACTGATAGTGAAGCAGACGGTGCCGTAGCATTGGCATGGTTCAAACTGCACCACCACCGCTGTGTTAACCAGGGTGGTTACCGGATTCGAACCGCGAACCTGCAACAAAACTAAATTTTTTTTTTATTTTACCAGGTAAGGCCCGCTGATATATATCACTCTTTTTCAGAAGCGACCTGGCCACAAAACTCAACGAAGTGGCTTATCACATGGAAATGTACAGCAGCCAAATACTCTAAACGCACGATGTCGATTCTAAATGTGGAGGGAAAAACCGGAGGACCCGGAGTAAAATCCACGCGACCACGGGGAGAGAGACACGCAAACTCCAAATATACAGCACCAGGCGTCAGGGTCGGGATCAAAACCACGACCCCGTGTATACCAGTCAACATCTCCTAGCCACCACGGCGACACCCACCCATCCCTCCGCGTCTCCCTCTCCCCGCAGTGCTGCTGCTCCACGCCCACGAGGACGGCGCCGAGCGCCCGCCATCCTCGCCGCTGGCGCTCGTCGCGGTGCTGGCGACGTTCCTGCGCCGTCGCTGCGGCGCCGACGTGGTGCTCGACGCGTGGGAGAAGCGGGAGGTGGCGCGCCTCGGCCCGGGGCCCTGGCTCGCCGGGCGGCTCGAGCGGTGCCGGCTGAGCGGCGGCGCCGTCGTGGTGCTGGCGTCCGGCGCCGCGCGGCGCCGCTGGGACGAGATGCGCGGCCTGCGTCTTCCCCCGGTCGGCCGCGGCGGCGCCGGCGATCCGGCGGGCTCGGACGACGCCGGCGGCGCCACCGAGCTGGGCGACCTCTTCACGCCGGCGCTGCGGTTGCTGTGCGAGCAGGACGCGGCGTGGCGGAGCGCGAACGTCATGGTGGCGGTGTGCGTCGACGGCGCGGACGTGCCCTCGTGCCTGCGCTCGGCGCGGATCTTCCGTCTGCCCGGCGACCTCGGGAAGCTGAGCGCGGCGATCGGGGGCGCCGGATCGGTCCGGGACGGCGCTGGCGGCGGCGGCGGGCGGCGCTTGCGGGAGACACCGGAGGGCGCGGCGCTTTTGGCCGAGATCTCCAAAGCGCGTGAGCGGGCGAGCGGACGAGGCGGAGGGACGACTCCGCCGCTCGCCACGGACGCAGCCGTCGAGAAGTCCGCGCCGGGCGCGGATTTCCCCGGGACGGCGATCACGGAGACGAAGCTGCAGATGTGGCCGTTCTTGCCGGATCCGGGCGGCGGCGATGGAGAAACGGACAGCGCCTACAGCAGCCTTGAGCCGGCCGCGCTGGAGGTGGGCGGATTCAGGCTGACCCGGGCTGAGCTCCTGCAGCTCGTCCAGCAGCGGAGCGAGAAAGGACGCGGTGGCCCCTGCCCCACGTGACGCAGAAAAACCGGGACTGAGTGAGCAGCGGCCGCCTTTGGCGGCCACCGCCCCCCCCCCCCCCCCAGGAAAGTCTGGCCACCGACGCAGCCGCGCCCCGCGCCAGCATGAGCCGTCGAGCAAACGGTCCGAACGGAACGGGTCGGGCTGGTACCTTCTTGGAACCGTCAACTCTGCTAGGGAATCACCAGCAGACTGGTGAAGCGTCCAAAAGCGTGGAAGTGGGCCCCCTCCTGCGGTGACTTTGACGTCACGCGGGCAAAACGCTTGGCACCGGGCTGCCTCGGCCGGCGATTGACGGCAGCCTCCTCCCTCCTCCTCCTCTCTCCTCCCTCCTCCTCCTTCCCGCCTCCCTCCTCCCGCCTCCCTGCGACCGATGCTTATTTTGGAAGTTTATTGAGGTTTGAAGCTATGCTTTAGTAGCTTGCCAGTGAAGTTGAAACACAGACATACCTCAACACCAAGAGACACCACTACCTCTTTTTTTCTTTCCCACTGCACAACCAAACCGTGCCGTGGGCTGTGCCAAGCCAGAATCCGAATATTTATTTATACTGGTTGTTTTTTTTTGTTTCACTCCCAAAGCCGAGCCGTTCCCCTGACGTCACGCGCGATGAACTCTGAACTCGTCGTTAGCCCCGCCCCCTGGCTCTGCTTGGCCCCCTCCCCTCCTCCCAGCAAGATTCAAGACGTCTGCCTTGTGGGTCTTGGCTCGGCTCGGTTGTGCCGGTGGAAAAGTGCTTCAGGATAATTACAGCATTGCCGTTATCAACACTGGACAATAATTATTACGGGAGTTATTATCACGGGAATCAACTCGGGGGGGTGGTGGAGTGAGAGGGGTGGGGGGTGCCCCAGTGTATAGCCGTTAACCGTTAACAAACTCCCCCGTTGTTGTCTCCGCGTGTAAGACCACGCGGAGCCTGTTTACAGGCCGAAATGTTACCGTGTATTGATTTATTGCGTAGCATATCACGGGCTGGCTTACGTACGGTGCGAAAGAAGTTCTACAAGAAGAAGAGAGAGGGTTTTCTCATTTATTTTAACTAATGTTCAAACAGACTTCCATAAACACGAATGCATGATTTATCTTTTAAAACTGATTGATAACTTTTATTATATATATTAAACATTACAGGTGTGTGATCTGTGAACATTTATCAATTGTGTTTTATCCCAATGCATTCAGGGTTCTTGGTCGAGTTAAGTAAATGTCGTCTGAGAAGTAAGAAAAAACATATAACAATTAATAATGATAATCAATCAATAAAAATAATGTACAGAATAAAGAATAAAAAAACGTGCGTTTTTTTTTTTAAAGCCAGTATGAAAATAAATCGAATAACCCAATGTGGTCCTGACTGTTGGGGGGTCACCCTTTAAATATTTGCCAGGGTTCATCCCAAACCAGCGATGCAAGCGACGGCTCATAACGCGCCTGGGATGGAGCGGTGAAATCAGCCGGCCTGCTCGGCAGCACGACGGATTTAGCAAATTTTCTCAGACTGCGAATTTCTCTCTCTAACATTTACCAGGCTCTCATAGGTCCATCCGCTCTTTCTCTCCCCCGGCCGCCACGGGGTGGATTTCCACACAACTCTCTCTAAAATTTACCAGGCTTGTTGGGTCTTTCTCTCCCCCAGCCGCTTCGGGTGGATTTCCACACAACTCTGTCTAAAATTTACCAGCCTTGCTGGATCTTTCTCTCCCCCGGCCGCCGCAGGGTGGATTTCCACACAGCTCTCTCATTGACATGCTAATTTCTCTGCTCCAGCAAACCCACCTCTGCCCCCTTCCCTCTCTCGCTATTGAAGGCCACGACACAGAGGCATTGGGTCTCTGTGTCTCTGTGTTGTCTCTCTCTGCTTGTGTGTCTTTCTGTGTGTCTCCGTGTCTGTGTTTTGTCTCTCAAATATAGTTCTACCTGATGACGGTTTGCTTTTGTTGCAATCGAAACGTCGTGCTCTATTATTTAATTTATTTTCTTTCTACGTGACTTTACCGAAAGAACCAAAGAGTAATTCCTGCGGTCACGAAAGCTTCAAATCAAATAAGAAAAAATTGTGTAATAGTTTTAATACAGGGTGCTTTAAAAACTAAATGTGAACACTTCTGAGAATTTGCAACAAAACCACGAGCAATGCGGCGCCTCCGGGCTATGGAGACCACCCAGAGAAGATTCCAGACGTAGCGTTGACAACGATGGCGAACGAGTCGAGATAATCTTTGACATTTTGAAGCTGTTAACGTTGCATTTGTTATCACGTTAGGGGCCGTCCATAAATGACGTCACGCACCTGGGGGGGGGGGTCAGACAATTGTGACGATGGGGGGGGGGGGTTGAGAAATGTGACGTCACATCAAAATGCGCAACTTTAAATAAATAAAGACAACACGTTCTACTTAATTAAACATACTTTTTAATAAATGTTTTCTCCTACAACATCAGAGTGCAGCGCCACATTAAATACGCACTACAATGACAATAGTTTAAAGCGATTTGAAGCATGTTTTATTTGGGGGGGGGGGTGTAGAGCTTTGTGACGTCATATTTGAGGGGGGTCTGACTTTGTGACGCCGTGTGACGAAGGGGGGGGTCAAAATCGTCCAAAATCGCGTGACGTCATTTATGGACGGCCCCTTATGGCGTATTATTATCCGTTCTATTTCCATTAAAAAGGATAGTCCCATATAAGTGTTATCATTGTTTTGAAGCACCCTGTATTGGCCGTGCGTAGTTAGTAATCGTAACAGTAGAAGAAGAATAGCGATGGAATGTTTGGCATTGGTTGTGGGTGCTGGTAAAACAATCAAAGGGAAGGAATTAAATATATAAATCAGGTTCCCCCCCACCAACCAAAACTCCACCAGCCCACGGGGCCTCTCCCCCCCCCCCCTCTCAAACGTAACCCCCTTTGCACGGGGGGCCCGTGCCGCCGGTCTGGGCGGTTGTTTGTGTCGCAGGAGGTGGAGGGGGAGGAGGAGGACATCGGTGTGGAGCCGCGACCCCTCGCCTCGGGGTGTGGGAGCTCGCTGGGCGATTGGCGCGCCCATTCATTTACACCACCAGCACCCACCCACCAGCACCCACCCACCACCTACCACCCAGCACCCACCCACCACCACCCACCCACCAGCACCCACCCACCACCTACCACCCAGCACCCACCTACCACCCAGCACCACCCACCAGCACCCACCCACCAGCACCCACCCACCTGCACCCACCCACCAGCACCACCCACCACCACCACCCACCAGCACCACCCACCACCCACCACCCAGCACCCACCAGCACCACCCACCCACTCACCACCCACCCACCACCACCCCCAAACCACCACCATCCCCCACTACCCACCACCACCCACCACCACCTGCAATACATCACCCCCAACCACCCCCATCACCCCCACCTACTACCCCCTCTACTCACCCACCTAGCACCACCCCCCCAAACACCACCCCCCACCACCCACCCACCCACCACCACCCCCCACTACCCACCACCACCCACTACCACCTGCAAAACATCACCCCCCCAACCACCCATCACCCCCCCACCTACCACCCCACCACCCACCACCACCTGCAAAACATCACCCCCCCAACCACCCATCACCCCCCCACCTACCACCCCACCACCCACCACCACCTGCAAAACATCACCCCCCCAACCACCCATCACCCCCCCACCTACCACCCCACCACCCACCACCACCTGCAAAACATCACCCCCCCAACCACCCATCACCCCCCCACCTACCACCCCACCACCCACCACCACCTGCAAAACATCACCCCCCCAACCACCCATCACCCCCCCACCTACCACCCCACCACCCACCACCACCTGCAAAACATCACCCCCCCAACCACCCCCACCCCCCGGGAGTGTGTGACGAGGTCGCGCAAACTCCTCGCATGAAAGCTCGCGACCTTTCGCTCACCGACCGCCGTCACGAAAACACACAAAAAAATGTGTTTTTTGTTCTAAACTAAAAACCCCAACCACGAGTTCGTTTTTTTACTAGACGTGGCCGCTCAAAATGCGACGGCGAAGCGCAAAGGGCACGGCGAGCTTGGAGCGTTCTGCCTGCCCTACGGCGTGAAAACAAATTACGCGTTGCTTATTTATTTTTGTTTAGTAAATTATGGTTAAACGAGTCGGGGGAGGGGCTATATATTGATTTAACACGTAGGCTTTCGCGACCAACCCTGACTAGTTGGCCGAGTCGGGTGGTGGCGGGTTTAACAACACATTTATATATTTACGCGATCTAACCCCCCTAAAAAAACCCCTCTGTTATGGAGGTATATTGACGTTGCCTTTTTCCACATCGACTTCAACACGATTCCGCTATCGGCGTCGCGGCGAGATGAAGAAGCCACTGTCGCACAGCGGGGTCCCATCGTCCCAGTAGTCATGCGAGAGGGAATGGGCCCGTGGAAGCGGATGTCACAGAACCACTCATTAACATGAGTTGTTCTGTGACAGCCGCACCACCTCTACATAACAAAAGGCTCAGTCCCATTAACACACACCTTTACATCATCCGCACTTAGTTTACACAACAAAGGCTCATTCCTAACAGCGTGCTTCAGCCGCACCGAACCTCACAAAAATAATATTTAGGGCCTACCTTGGCTCCTCCCACCCTCCACCAGTATATATACAATGACTGTTTTCTTGGTATTTATCTCACTTGATTCAGCTATCGTGCTGTAACGGTTCCACCTGAAGACGGAAGCTTGTGTTGCCTCCGAAACGTCGTGATTTTTATTTTATTTTTATTTTACTTTTATTAATTTAAATTTTTTTTACCTACGTGACTTTACCGAAAAAACCTAAGAATATCATTAACATTCCTTGGACGTGACCTCCGTGGTGTCAGCGCAGCGGAGGCGGTGTTTTCTCCACCCGTCGCACTGCGCCACGGAGAGCATGTGCTCCTTCTTGATTTCCCCGTGCAAGTTTCACATTTTTCCACTGCAAAAAAATGTTAAGTACTCTTTGGTTCCACCATTGGTACCTCATTTGCCAGTAAAAAAAAATGATAATTGTTTTTTTACCCCTTTATCTGGCAACAAAACTGACACCTTTTTTAGGAGTGATGTTTGTATAGACCACAATACCTGCAGTCATAATGCAAACAAAAAAACCATAACTCTGATAATGTATGCACTGTCCTTGAAGTTGATTGGTCCACACCCGAGACAGCTTTTCTTAGAGCCTAGTCTCACATGGTGTTGGACCAGATGACGCCAAAAGGCGCACAACTCAAAGACAATGCACCATCAGAAGTATGAGAGCTCGGGTAAGCATTTACACCATTGGTACCTCATTTGTCAGTAAAAAATATGATAATTAGGTTTTTTACCCTTTTATCTGGCAACAAAACGTGAAGAGAAATCCACTTGGTACAGTAAATTTGGCTGTGACGGTCCCACCTGAAGACGGAGACTTGTGTTGCCTCCGAAACGTCGTGATTTAATTTAGTTATTTTCATTTATTATTATTTTATTATTACAATTTTTCACCTACGTGACTTTACCGAAAAAACCTAAGAGTATGAATCCTTGCAGCCACGAAAGCTTCAAATATATCTTTTGGTAAAGTCACGTAGATGAAATTTTTTTTATATAACTAAATTAAATCACGACGTTTCGGAGGCAACACAAGCTTCCGTCATCAGGTGGAACAGCCACAGCAAAATGACTGTAGTGAGCAGAGAGAGAGCTATTTGTGACAAGCGATAATATAGGGTAAGAGAGGGGGGGGGGAGGAGCCAGGGAGGAGGGATGCAGGGGGGGGCGTGTGGAGTCGGGGGGGGGGGGTTAAGCTGAGTTAAGCTGATTCATAACATCCTTTTGGGCTGCAAATTGTCAGGTGCCTTCTGAGCTGTGTCGTGGCACACGACACTGATACTGTTAGGAACCTCCTGGTTACATCAGCCCACAGGGGATTATTGTGTCCGTCCGTCCGTCGTGGAGGGAGGGGCTGGGTGGGGAGGGAGGGGAGGGGCTGGGTGGGGAGGGTGGGGAGGGGCTGGTTGGGGAGGGGCTGGTTGGGGAGGGGCTGGTTGGGGAGGGAGGGGAGGGGCTGGGTGGGGAGGAGAGGGTGGGGAAGGGTGGGTGGGGGGTGGGAGGGGAGGGGCTGGGTGGGGAGGGGCTGGGTGGGGAGGGGAGGGTGGGGGCTGGGAGGGGTGGGGCTAGGTGGGGAGGGGCTGGTCACCCCGTGGTGCCCTTATAAAACTCAACGTTTAACCTACTCACGCCGGCTTGTGCCCGCCCTCACAGTCGGGCATATTTGCGGAAT